CAATAAAATGCTCTCGTCTTTGTTCAAAAAAACAAAAATAATAATAAAGATGTAGATAAGAAAAGTAATTAGATAAACATTAACAACCTGCATCAACAAAAGTATCTGAGGGGGGAACCCAACAACACCAAATGGCAGTGTCATTCTCAAAGCAGCACCAACTTGACACTTGATAAAAAGACATTAGATTGGACCATTTTTAGGGGGGCCTTGTGTGGAATTGGACCATATATGCTCTCACGAGCGAGGCAGGCCTTTGCTTTCTTTTTCTGAATTTTCCAGTTTTCTACTCTAAAGTCTTCAAACCATTTCAGAAACTACACGTTGCTCAATCGTACGGTGGAGTTCCTCTAGCCTCAGTTCTAAAGGCAGCCAAACCAAAACTAAATGTTGCTGGTGGGGAGAGGAACTTATTTTTGGGGATGTCACTGTGACTGTAAGTAAAGTTAATTACGCATAATCAGACATTTTAGTCTTTTATCATGATAATATGCGTGACTAGTTTAAAAACCGTCACAGTGATTCTTGTCGATGGCTAGGGTCAAAAGTAAAGCTACATGATGTATAGCTATAGCTTATTTATCACAGTGCCATCCGTCTCTTCTCTCCTGGTCTCAAGAGAGAGAGAGAGAGAGAGAGAGATGGGCACAAAAGGTGCTTGATTTGATGTGTTCTTTTGGTTATTGTCCTTTCGTTCTTTCAACCTTTCATTTTCCTTTCCCTTGTACTTTGCTTTTTGCTTGTGCTGCCTGTATACACTTTCCCATTCAAAATCTCTTTTGAAGATGTGCAACTCTACTTTCAGATTCCCAAGCAAACATGCGTACGAATACTTGCAAACTACCTTTAGGAATTTATTAAGTGAATTCCCATTTTGTATGTATGTATGGCTTGATTGTTAATTATTTTGATAAATAAATATTGAATAAGTTTTATATAATTAGGCAATAAAACTTTTTAGACCCACAATTAAGATATGCTAGACTCACATGTACAAGTAGTTGTCACTTCTTCTACTAGTGATGTGATTTATTACATAGCGTATTAAAAAACTTTGAAGAAACAACTTCATATACATATTTCCTATCTCTCTCATAATGTATAATGTATAGGTAGATCTCACTTTTGTTAGTGATGTGATTTACCATGATGCGACATGGAATATATAAAAAAAACTTGAATGGAACGGATTCATACTCACCAAATCTAGGTTGAGTGCAAGTCAAATTCAAATAAATACTGTTGGCCCACTTCAAATTGAGTACAAGCCATTACATGTTAATTTTCAAGGTTTGTGGATCATCATAATAATTAAGAAACTAGTGGTTCGATAATGACACTAATGAATTTGACTTGTACTTAACTCAGATTTCACTAATTTCGTGTCGGGTTCGAATCATGTCATAAGTTAATAACCTTACATACACAAGGGTTGGAAGTTTCTGTTAAACTAAATAACAGTTTTACAGTCCAAGAACAACATATGGTCCTACGACCTGTTTCCATCTTAAAATTTCGAGGTCATTTTTGCAGGGACATAAAGCCTACCCTAGAAGCAAACATTTCTTTTGCTGTTGGATAGTTGGACTGACCCAACCCTAGAAGCAAACTTCATCGCAACCGTTCGTGTGAACATAATCTCTCTATCAATCTCTTTATTCGTATCGTAATCGATGCCTCACTCTCTCTCTCTCTCTCTCTCTCTCTCTCTCTCCCCTATAATGTTGGAGTTGATGTTTATGGATCCTAGTGCTATTCTTACACACATATCACTTTCCTTTACTATATTACCCTTTCAGTACCAAAAGAGTCGCGCAACCCAAAACCCAAAACCCACCCCCACAAAAAGCTCTTTGCTCGTGACAGCTTCTTTGGACTTGCATGAACCAACTTGCTGTCCAAAAGCACTTCTATTTCCAAAAGTGCTTCTTAGGGTTCGTGCAGCTCACTCTCCAATCACATGGCCATGGTGAGGGAGGGATGTGAAGCTCAAGTATTGTTTTTAGATATTGTGTGTGTGCGCAAGTGGGCATTTGCAGTGGTTTTTTTTTTTTTTTTTTTTTTTTTTTTTTTTGTTTGTGGTGTATAATAATGGAGGAGGCGTGGCTCTCTGAGACTGAGGGAGCTTTCAACTTCATGAGCACATAGATGGGTCATGAATCTCACTTTCTGCATAAAGTGGCTTTTGCCGATTTCGGAAACACCTGCATCTTTCAGTTCCACCTCGTTCAATGGTTTCTCTTCCTCTTTTAAGCCCAGACCAGAAGAAAAAAAAACCTTAGTTTTTTTTTTTTTTTTTTTTTGCCAATTTCTTTCACATGTAATTTACTACTTTCTTCAAAGACTACTCTAAAAAGTCTAAGTTGTTTCATGAAAAAGAATTGTCTTCTTACATGTAAGAAGATACTCTCCGTTCCTATCAATCATAATTTGACACATATGCAAAAATAATTCATTAAAAAAAAACAAAAAAAAACCTTATGCCCATATATGGAGGAGGGGTTGGTAGTTTAGGATTGCAATTAAAGAAGTGATTAATATTAATTAAATGGGTAAGTTGCAAAGTGAGAATGTTGACTTTGTGGCTTCATGCAAAAGTCAGAGCTTTGCACTCACATTATTATTATTATTATTATTAACAAGAAGGATCATTGGCATCATCAATAGTCCTAGGTGGGTGTTGATATTTTGTTAAATAATAGAGACAAGAAGGCTGCAGTGCAGGGCACCAGAATCCTGCCAGGTGGGTTTTATTAATCACAACTTTAAAGGTGGTTTTTTAAGTGACAAAATCCAGCCACGTCCCCAAAGCTTTATGCTTATCCAATAACACAATCCACATGATTTCTTTTAAGAAATTGTCTCAAACTGTAATCTTGCAAGTGATTTCACGAGAAAAACAATAATTATTCATTAAAAAAATTCCCCAATCTGGATTGAGCTCATTAATTAAGCTTATTTAATTATTTGTCTCTTTATCATTTAGAATAATTTTTCAATCACTTATCACACTTGCATGCACCCAATAATAAAAAGTTTATTTGATTACCGATTTATATTCTCTTATGAAAGGGGGTGTAAAAAGTAAGAGCAAAAGTGGTCGATAAACTTTAATCTATCATTTTCTTAGGAAAAGAAAAATTCTTTAACCTTATCATATATATAAAGTGAAAAAAAGCTAACGTTAAAAAGATGATAAAGTATCACAACAATTAACATATAATTGATTAACGAAGCACGAAGATTCGAACTTGACATCTTTTTTTAATATTTGAAAGAAAAGTAATACTAAATTAAGAACTAGTTAGTACTGTATTATAACCCCATGCATATTGTAAGAAAGATGATACAAAATCGCGCTTAGTACAATAATAATGCAAGCTTACATGGGCTATAGATTTCGCCGAAGTGTCATTTTGGTGTTCTAATTATCCATATTATGTCATAGTTCGGGTTGTTTTCATGCAATGCGAGGGAAACTATGATGAGCCAAACAGGGTGATAATTCCTTGACCATTAAAAAGGAAGCAGGGGTTTTGCCATTAAAAAGATCCCAAAATTGAACGATAAGATTAGGGTTTGATCATGATGTGACACCATTGTAAAATTGTCCATGTAACAAGGACATCAACGGTGATCAAAAGCGGGGAAGAAAATATTGGAAGATCTAATTGGGGCAGTGTGTGGGGGACCAATTCCTATTTTAGACTTCAGAGAGAGGGAAAGATGGTCCCCTAAATAAATGATGGATTTTCCAAATTATGTAAAGATTCTTGATGAACATATTCAACCGCCCACTCACTATGTGGTTGAAAACTACTGAGCACTATTGCCTTTTAACCTTTGCCTAACCCAACTCCATTTTATCTCCTATTTGTGATGGACGCCCCTAGGGTTGGTAATATTGTTTTTTGTACAAGTACTAGACGATCGAATGTCGACAGATATGATGGTATATAAACAAAATTTGAATAAATCTAAAATGTTATATTGTTAGACTGACAATCGAAAAATCTTTTTCATTCATAAGAGGTGGTGGGGATTCAATTTAGGACTTTACCCAACCTCGAAAAGAATAATATTGCTAGATTAAGGGTTAGTAGATAGAATTAGATATTTCACATATATATATATATAAATATTTGCATACAAGTGATATTGTGAGAAAAGAAAATCGAACGCAAGATCTCAATTGCACGTATTAATGATATTAAATTAGCTTGAGGTATAAAATCCTTCAATTATGTTGATACCCATCATTACCTACCATAACAAAGTGTTTGATAACATAACTGAAATTTAAGTTGTATAAATGTCAGACCAAAAACAAAGCGCTCCATCTATTCTTTCACTTCGTTATCGGTGTGAATCTATCAATAAAGTTGTATGTGACATTTGCTTTGGCGTCTTGCGGGCATATGACTTCGATCTAGGCTCAACTCAATGTTGGGCCCTTCAAACAGGTCCAAAATCAAATAACGGGCTTTTTAAATCGGCCCAAATTCTGAAACATCACTCTACTCAAATTTTGAAGCCCAATTAGGACCAATTCGCACACAGTGTCAGTGTGCCTCCCTTATCGTTAAAGAAGCCCTAACAAAACAGACCCGAGCTCTCTCTCTCCTGCTCTCATCTTCTTCAGTCTTCCTTCCATCTCCTGCTCGCCAGTGGCCCCAGGTACTGATTAAAGTTTTCATTTTTGTGAGTTGGGTCTGTCAATTTTGAACTTTTCTTTGTTGCTTTCGCATCTAAACTCGTTTGTGCTTCTGTTTGGCTTAATGGGCATTTGCGAATTGTTCATTTCATTTTCATTTCGGGCATTTTTATTTATTTATAGATTCTGCTTGCTGATTTATTTGTGAAAGCATTGATTTGTGTTTGGAAATGGGATATAGTTCATCGTGCTTGCTGCTTTCCGCACATAATTAGTAGGTTGACTGGTTAATGCTTTTTCATCTCCCACAGTTCTACTTCTTCTCAAACTTTGAACTTTGGCAGAAATGAAAGGTGTTCGATTTGCTTTGCGATCCTTCAACGATGGCGTTTCACGCCGATTTCATCAGCCACATATGAGAACCCTCTCCACAAATGTAACATCAGGTACTTCTCTGTACAGTTCCGTGTGCAGGACCCTGTTGGTGCCAGTTTTCCATGTGGTTTTGATAATTTATAAGTTGAAATTTTGCTTGAACCCCCATGAGTAGTATGGAAATAGATTTTTCTTTTGGAGGTTAAACTTAGGTTTGGTTTGTTTTTTCTTGTAATATAGCTTCTCTATTCCAAGAATTACTCAATGTAACTACAAATAAAAGCTTGACACATTAGCTTTTTTATGTGTTAGGCGGTGAAGTGGATGATGAGAAAAATTCTAATTCATTTGAATCTCCGGATGAGTTTGAGCGGCGTATTTTCGGTGAAACTTCTGGGGGTAATTTTAGATCAGATGCCTTTTTCACGAAGCTTGATAGGCTCGGGATGGGTCATGATGGACAGGGTTTGAATCCTTCTGGAGGAGGTGGAAGTGGAAGTGGTTCTCATATACTCGACGGCTTAGATGAAAGTTTTAACACATTATCAGATGGAATGGATGGAAAATTAGAGAAAGCAGCCACCGACTTTGATATTGATTACGAGGAAATAAACCAAGAGGGCTATTCTTACAGACCAGATGTGAATTTTGAGCTAGGAATGACTTATGACCTTAAAGTATGTTATGGAGCAACTTCCCTTTCTTTTCTGCCTTTTCACTTTTATGTTATTGTTATAATTACAGCTTGCACTTATTTTGTGGTGTTATAAATGTATAACCTGCATTTGAGATTTGTTTGCCCTGAGTGGAAAAAGAATACAAGTTAGCCCGTCCTGCCTTAACACTGAACCATAATATTTTGCTACAGTGTTGTTCTCTTTATGCCTTGTTTGTCTTTAGATATATCCCCGTCTCATGTACGCACCATGTGGCTCTATGCAGGATCTTGATCTTACTAAGCCAGGAGTGCGTAAGTTTACCCCAAGGGATGAGTTTGAAGTAACTACGAAGGAAGTTCTTAGAAAAGCTGATTTCAGGGTATGTGCACTTGTCAGTCTCTCCAATATATGCATGTAGGATCCTTGTTGCTTTGTATATGTTTGCCTGTTTGGTGAAATGTAAAGGATTGTTTTTATTGTTGATGTCCCTATACCTCTTTTCCCTGATACTCATAAATAGAAGCTGAGGACTAAAATTATGCAAAGTAGATTTATCCAATTTTTTTTTTAAGGGATAGTCTATCTTGATCGAGACTCAGTTTCAGAATTAAAGATCTAGATATTATGATATTTGGAGCTTGCTGGCTCAGTGGTTGTGAATGAGCTGCATATTGGCAGGCTATTGCACTTGATTGCCTTAAGGCCTGTTTGATAACCATTTCAATTTAAACTTTTAGTTTTCATTTTTTGTGCTAGAGTGTTGAGGAAAATGAGAGTGAGAATGGGGGTTGGGATGGGATTGAGAGAGGATGAGGGGGGAGGATGGGAGGGAGGAGTAACAAAAGTGAAAACAAAAACTAAAAACTGAAATCTACTTTTTAGTTTCTGTTTTCACTTTTGTTACTCCTCTCTCCCATCCTCCCCTCTCATCTTCCCTCTCATTCTCACTTCATTTTCCCTCTTTTGCCCCTATACTCTAGCACAAAAAATGAAAACTAAAAACAAAAATTGAAATGGTTATCAAAGGGGGCCTTAGGTTTTCTTATTTAATTTTCAGAATATTCTTGATTCTTTATTGAATTCATCAATTGCAACTAATTTTGATTATTAGAAAACTTAAGTTAAAAACTCTGGGCAGGTTGTTGTGATTTCATTATTACTCTCTCTTCTGCTACTAGACATTGAAATGTAGGTTTAGCTGTCCTTTTTTTGTCCCTTGCGTCCGTTGAGATCTGAAATCCTTTATCTTATTTCGCTGGTTTTACTGTTGTGCTTGCTTATCTTATTACGTCCTTTGGATGCATTCTTGCACCAACTGTATTGCTCTGTGCAGAATGTGAGATTCCTGGCAAATTTCTTAACAGATGCTGGAATTCTCATCAAAAGAAGCAAGGTAAAATTGAATGCATGCTGAATGACCTGAACTTTGTTGAAGCTGCATTGAAATACTTTTAAGTTCCCTTGTTCCTTGTGTAGACTGGGATCAGCGCCAAGGCCCAGAGGAAGGTCGCTAGGGAAATCAAAACAGCTCGAGCTTTTGGTTTAATGCCTTTCACGACAATGGGGACAAAGTCATTTGTTTTTGGGAAAACTATGGAGGCTCTCGATCAAGATTACGAATACGAAAGTTATGATAACCCTATGGAAGCCGATGGAAAAGACCCACTGGGGCCCTTTTAGCTTTTATGGAGGGGATCTTGAATCAGTAGAATTCAGTTGACAGCACAACTACAAACCCGCCCCTATCCCCACAAGAATATACACAAGGAGAAGAAAATGATGGAAAAAGATGGGTTCTTATTTAAGGTGAATTCCGGGATGTCGGTAACTCCATGTTTCTGGTTGGTATGTAGGTTAATTCGTTTTTATTTTTTGTAGTTGGTATACATCACTGTAATAACAGCCCAAGTAATTCCCCTTCGTATTTCAAGGCTATTGGGTTTTGGGTTTTCTTATCCAGTAGTTTGCCAATTTGCTGAACTAAGATGAATATTTTGGTACTTTTAGTATACACATAATTGATTCTAGCAAGAACAAAATTGAGTGTGCCGAAGAAGTATATTTTGAGATCGGAATTTGCAAAATTTTTCTTCTCATTTTAGGATTTTAAGTTCAAGCAACGATTATACGGAGGAACATCAGAAACAAGTTTGCCCTATAACGTCAGGACTTTGACGAGGCGATTGACATGCAATATTTTGCTTCTAGATCATGATGGAGCTTTGGCTCAATTATGAAAAACCATCTTCCTATAGTCCTCGTGAGTTTACGGAAAAGAAGCATTTATATTTTCCGCTTAAATTTTTGCATCCTTTTCATAACTATTTGTAATTGGTTTCGGTTGAATGAAGTTATTTCCTTTCGATTAAAAAAAGAAAAGAAAGAACCGAATAAAAACGATTAAAAAAAAACCCCCCGTTATCATCAAACCTAGTTGTCAACAGCCTTTAAATTTAGTGGCATTTTAGTCTCCCTTAAAAGCATATAGTACTGCTGGAGGGTTAAGGGTTGCTTTCATAGCTCAATTTTGTGATGAATTATTCTCCTCTCATCTATTAAGGATAAAAAATAGAAGAAAAAGAAAAATAGGAAGAAACTTGGCCCTTAAACAGTAAGCCAATTATCGTTGTTACTCTCCCAAAATCCTTCACCGAGTTAAGATTTGATTCTCTCGCATGATTGGAAGTGACCAAACTAGCTGACAACAAAGTAAGTTCAGGTTTAACCATTGCATCTCCATCTCTCAATATTCTAACAACAAAGCTCAGGCTTAATTTTGTCCAACTCGAACCATTATTAGAGACCAAAACTAGCTGATTGTTTATTAAGAAATTTTGTGCAAGACACTTTCAACAAGCAGCAATTCCAATTTCTCTTTTTTTGTTGTTACTAATTAGTGATCTATGGCACATGCAATACAGTGAAGAAATTTTAATTCTCCTGACTCTCAGGGATTTTCCTCTTCTGCTAGCTAGGCAACAACATAACCAATCTAAAGGGACCACATGCTCCACAGCTTGCTTATTATATTCTCTCTCATTTCTAGCATTGTCACCTTCTTCCCTAACCCAAATGCTCCTCTCTCTCCCTCTCTCTCCCAATGAAGAAAAAAAAACCAGAAACCTCCACTTACCCATTACCCAAATCTTCATAAATGACACTTGTACATCCACCATCTTCTCTCATTATCACCATCATCTTCACAGCCTTCATATCTTCACTGACACCACATGATAGGGTGGTCCATGGCCTTGGCTTAGCTTCTACCACAGCCATCACATATGGCACTTCCACTGTTTGTGGCATTGTGGCAGACAACCCTACACAGAGCATACAATGCTACCAAAACATTCAGACCATTTCAGTCCAGCCCATTGTTTCTTTTGAAGCCATCTCTGGGGGCAAGACCTTCTTCTGTGGCCTCAGGTCTGGTGGCTTTAGCCTTCTCTGTTGGGACACCAGCTTATCTAGCTCAAGTAGATTCCAACCTAAGCGCATATATCACAGTGACACAATAGCTTTGAGTGATCTGGCTGTAGGTGATGCCCAAGTTTGTGCCCGACAGGTCAACTCCAGAATTGTCAGGTGCTGGAGAGGAGGAGATGGCACAAGAGGGTCTTTGTTTCCCTCACCTGGGGAAGCATTGGACTTTCATACAATCACATCTGGAAGGGGGTTTACATGTGGGATTTTGATGAATGGTAGCAGAGTTCTGTGTTGGGGTCAGAGTAGTGTTGGAGCTGAGATTCAAACAGGGTTTGAGAATGTGTTGATGTCAAGCCTAGTTGTTGGAGAGTCTCATGCTTGTGGGTTGAGTGTGAATGGAGCTTTGGTCTGTAAAGGAAACAACGATTCCGGGCAATTGAACGTACCTTCAAGTACTTCAGCTTTTGAGTTTTCAGGCCTTGCATTGGGATCAAATTTTACTTGCGCTATTCGTCGAAGAAATGGCTTTGTTGTATGCTGGGGAGGAAGAAACAGATTTGAATATGACAGTGATGCTATTGAAAATGTTTCATTTGAGTTGATTGCTGCAGGTTTGGATTTTCTTTGCGGCTTAACAACAAGTAATTTATCAATGATTTGTTGGGGACCAGGCTGGACTAGTTCTCAGAATGATCTTCCACTAGGAATGATTGTTCCTGGTCCATGTGTACAAGGTCCATGTAGTAGCTGTGGTGTGTACCCGAATTCAGAGACTCTTTGCGGTGGTTCTGGGAAAATTTGCAAATCATGCCAGATTGAACTTCCAATTGCAGTGCCGTTGCCCCCAATAAATCCGCCGTCAACACAAGCTTCAGCACCGGCTTCTTCATCATCCATAACCAGAAATAGGCCTTTGTTGGCGTTTGCAATAGTTGGATCAGTTGGGGCTTTTACAGGGCTCTGCACTATTATCTTTTGCCTATGGACTAGAAAATGTGGTTCTTGGTCTAACCATCATGATTCTGTGCAACCCACAAGTACTGTTGCCCCCAATGCAGGTTCTGCAGTTGGGATTGAAAATGATCCTAATGCTCCACCTTCAAGATCAAGTTCCATCAAGGGCTATTTAAGCGGCTCATCATCAAAGCATGGAGACAAGACTGAGTCATTTCACCTAGCAGAGCTTTCCGCTGCTACCAAGCACTTCTCATCAGAAAACAAGATTGGTGCTGGGAGCTTTGGTACTGTCTATAAAGGCAAGCTCTCGGATGGTCGCGAAGTGGCCATCAAGAGGGGAGATACTAGTACCAAGACCAAGAAATTTCAGGAGAAAGAGACCGCATTTGATTCCGAATTAGCATTGCTGTCCCGGCTTCACCACAAGCACTTAGTGAAGCTAGTGGGATCCTGTGAAGAGAAGGATGAGAGACTTTTGGTTTACGAGTACATGTGCAACGGTTCACTTCATGATCACTTGCATAACAAGAAAAATGTTGAGAGAAGTAGCAGCATTGTGAATTCTTGGAGAATGAGGATAAAAATTGCATTGGATGCAGCCAGGGGAATTGAGTATCTGCACAATTATGCTGTGCCAACAATAATTCACAGGGACATTAAGTCCTCAAACATTCTTTTGGATGAAAATTGGACTGCAAGAGTATCTGATTTTGGACTGTCATTACTGGGACCGGAATGTGACCAAGAGATCATGTCATCGAAGGCGGTTGGAACAGTTGGCTACATTGATCCTGAGTACTTTGTATCAAATGTTTTGACAGCAAAGAGTGATGTCTATGGCTTTGGGGTGGTGTTATTGGAGCTTTTGACAGGTAAGAGGGCTGTGTTCAGATTCAGTGAAGAGGGAACAGGTCCAATGGGGGTTGTGGAGTATGCCGGGCCGCGGATGATGGCGGGGGAGCTGCAAAGCATTTTGGATCAAAGGGTGGTGCCGCCAGATCCGAATGAAGCTGAAGCAGTTGAGCTGGTGGCTTATACTGCCAGACATTGTGTGAACTTGGAGGGGAAGGAAAGGCCTAGTATGACTGACATTGTTGCCAATTTGGAAAGGGCACTTGCTCTTTGTGAGGATGAACGTTTTAGCTTCTCTACCACCACAATTTCCCTCCCTTCATTGTGAAATTTCATCCAAAAACAGTATTCATTTATTTATTTTTCCTTATTAATTCTATACCAAATTTTTGTTCTTCACCATTTCGGCTCATATATGATTCTTAGTTTCACGATTTTTGCCATGGTAAAGATTAAGGAATGCCATAAAAGTGATATAGTTCATGAGAAACTATTTAATAAATAAGGCGTATACACTTTTCTCTCACAATCATCTCATCATATGAGTAACACATGATAAATAATTACGTGATGAATAATTGTACAAAAAGGGGCGTATACGACAGTCCACTATAAAGTTATTGCTAACTTTAACGTACACAATAGGCCGGTGGTCTGGTCACTTGACATGATGACCCTATCTTCTTGGTTGAGGTGCATAGTATCTCTCATCTTTTGCCTCCTGAATGTTGGCTGGTCTGGGAGGCAGTGGGGCATGAAGATTTTATTAGTGATTCCAATCAAAAGCATTATCCTATTCCTATATATTGGGATCTTTGATCAACTTAGGGCATATTTACGTATCAGTAACGAAGAAAGTAAGGAATTAGAGAATTTAGGAATCGGGGAACTACTGAATCGGTATGGGAAAAATCATTCTCATTAAGTTGTTTATTAAACATATGGAATTAGTAAAGGAATGAGGTTGATTCCCATTTTTATTGTTTACTAATTTGCATGAATCAGAATTCAAATTAATTTGATTACTAAAATGTCATGCACATTTTCACCAAAGAACATATATAATTCTCAAATTGGCTAACGACACCAAACTAATCCTGCAGCAAACTAGTAAGGCTGTGTAAACATGAGGAATCAATATGCTGAATAAGATGAATAATAAGAGCTCAGTTCAATGATAATGTTAATAACATCTTTGTTCAGAGCCAATTTCAAACGAAAAAATAAACTCCAATAAATATATATCTTTCACCTATGTAACTAGTAAACAATCAAATAATAATAACGTGCATAATCTTCATACGATAAAATACATAATCTTCATTCTACCAAAAAAGAGATATATAATCTCCATAAAAGTCTTTATCCATGACTGTACTTTGTTTTGTTATGAATATGAAGACAAAAGATAGAAGAAGAAGAAGAATATAGATTTCATGGCACAAGGCGTTGTTGTTGCGTTTGGGAGGTTGTGTCTGCAACGCTAATGGGAAAAAGAAGTTGGAGCGTCTTGGAACTTCTTGGTGCCAGTTTTTATTTTTTTTTAAGGGTTTGAGGTGTTTTGGAATTATGATAAAGTGGTAAGAGTATTTTTGGAAGTTAATAAGAGAAAACAGGAATGAGAATCGTATTGACTACTCTCCCTAGTTGATCTGATACTTAGTTTTGAGGGGATGTGATTACGGATTTTGAGGTGGGGCCCACTTATTTTTTCATTTTTAATTGCAAGTAAACGCAGGGGAAGTCAAGAATGGAAATCATTCCTTTTTTTGGAATTCTAGTTACTTGAGCTAGTAAATTTTGCACAGGCAATTCAAGTTTAATGACCAATCTTTGTAAACCATTTTCCACATGATGTTGTTTCAGAAAATTAATTTTATAATTAGCTTCCACAGAAAATCATATAAAGGGTGCCAGTGGCTGCCTCCTTGCCTCAAGAATCATATAAAGAGGTTTTGTGGTTGTTTTTTACTTGGTCGGAGGATGTTTTAAATTTGATTTACGTGAATGTAAGATCGATACATATGTATGATTTGATACTTTGATTAGTTATGAAAGTATAATTTTGATATGCGTGCTATCATGTTGTAAAAATAGTCTTACAAATATTAATATTCTGTTGTTTATAAATAAATAAATAAATAAATAAATAAAGTCTTTTAATGGCAGTCACGATAACAATTTTCTGAAAAAACAAATGTATGGCTTTTGAAATATGCAAATTTTAATTTTGTACTTAGCTGTTTGAAATCATTTAAAATAAAAAAAAAACAAAAAGAAATTAGGAAATATTGGCTTTTGAGTTTTGAATCCCAAGTTGACCCCAAAAAAGAAAAAAAGAAAAAAAGAAAAAAAGAAAAAAAGAAAAAAAGAAAAAAAGAAAAAGACTAATGAGTCACACTAGTTGTCAAACACGGGGCCTGCGGCGGCTGCACCGTTTGATCACAGGCTGTACAACAGCTGGGTGCTGATGAAATGATGAACGTGGGATTATAAAATAGGCTAAACTTTTGGTTAATTAATTATGTGAAGCAATAGGAAACAATAACCTATTACCAATGTGATCAAGACATGGTCATTCAAATCATTGTTTTATTAAGTTGTATTAGGTGGCTTAATTACATAAAAATTAAGAGACACATGAGAATGTCAAAGGTTAATCATTGTCCACCCTCCCTCTTGAATCAAGAAAAAGACAGGTTCAATGTTACTATTTACCATAGGCCATAGGCCATAGGCACAATTTTTATCACATATTATCGATACATGCGAATCTCACGATGCGTTGACTTATGTGTAGGCGATTATCCTTAACATCAGTCATATGATCTATTAAAAGAACATATATGATTGTACTTATTACATAAAGTTAGCTGTGAATAAAAAATATATGGGGAGCTGATTTCCCACTCATCTTTTGTTCACTTACACTCCCGTTGTTAGAAATTGTATGTTTCCACTCATCTTTTATTCACTTACGCTCTCTTGTGGGAAATTGTATATTATAGTAACACTTATTACAAAACATAAAGTAGTGTAAGTAAACAAAAGAAGAGTGGAAAAATAAGCACCCTAATATATGTGACATATGACACTTATAGAGCATCAATAAATAATGCACCATTAATGACGACAAAGAAAATTGCACTCCGTGTTTGATCAACTAGCTCTTTTATCTAGTGATACTTTTCTTTCCTTGGTTGAAAAATATGCCGAATCCAAATAATTAAAAAAACTTCTCATGTCTTGAATTGGAAGGACTCTAACACGTGGCTAAGATAAAAGAATTTCTTGTGTATTAGCAGATGCAAGTTTAGCATGTGATATTGAACATGGATTACAGGAGAGGCATAGCATGAGCAATACTTATTAATTTATTCAGCATAGTCAAAGTCAAATCCCATCAGAAGCCTCACGGATTTATACCTTTGGCCTCTTCTATTATGCAGAGGAACAGCTCGGATCCCAGTTCTGAGCTCTGGAATTGGGAGACATGTTTGGCCACCAAAGTCATGTTTCCCAGAAGTGTCATATTCTTTGACTTCAACTCGGAGCACAGCCAGTTCTGGAACACTCAATGGGAAGATGAACTCCTTGTTCCATACTGGTACCCACTGGTCCTCAATTGGCGAGGTTTCCATCATTTTTGTATCATTTGGCACTCCAGCAATTCCAACCTACAAACACACCAAATTAAGCTTTCTCTTACCAGACTGTTAATCTGAATCATACCATACGTGCTTTCAAATAAAAGTATATTAATCAATTGTCTAGATTGTTGCTTTGACAACATAACATGTCAGACTGTCTATGACATGAGAACATTTTACTATGTTACGTATACTGGTAAAGTTCTCTTACTAGGTACAAATGTAGAATTACGTCCAGATTGTTACGCGAACAACATAATATGTCAGAGTATCTGTCTGACAAGAGAACATTTATAGGGGATGTATATTTGAATGAAAATTTTGGTAACATACCCTCACAAAAAAGTCCGGAGGAGAATAAAGATCAAAGTGTGTGTGGTGGAAATCTGAATGCCATCCTTCACCCATGTATACTTTTACCTACTTGTCAACAAGAAGGTTAGGGAGAAAGTTCGTATATATTTGAAAATAATAAGGGAGTGGCATGGTTACAAGTTTGATCAGAGATTCAAAGCACCTTCAAATTTGTCTTGACTGGTAAGGGTTCATTAGGATCAAAAGCCTCATTATTTGGGCCAAGGGCCAGTAAAAAATCAGGTTTCTTCACATAACCACAGCCTCCATTGGCTCTGAACATTCCATTCATGATCCAAAGGTGCTTTCCATATCCCTTTGAGAAGAAATTCACTATTGTAAGATAAGCAGGAATTGAGGTGAAGTAAAAGCAGAATTCCCAGCAAACAACTATAAGCTAGTTATTTAAAAAGTTAGCTAAAAGTTACAAAAGAAGCCTAACTTGCATATTGAATGCCACCATTTGAGCTCCATGGGTCCATCCAAGCATAGGATCATAATTTGATGAGTCTAAACGTGTACCCTTAGGATACACCCTTAACAAATTTCTTTGTGTAAACCTAGAGAAAGATTAATTTAAGCACAATTGATCATTTAGACGGTGAAGAACATTAAGAATTTAAGAGTAGTTAACATGAAAACCAGTGTAATGTCACCTGACAATATCGGATCCACGGGTTCTGGTTGCATTTTCCAGTTCTTGCTCGCTCAAGCTAAGACGCCGGACCTTAATTGGATCGATATGCCATATATCAAGCCCACCTTTCGGCTTCCCTGCATGAATTGCAATTAACTGCTTATATTCTGGAATGGCATTCTCCTCATCTTCATCTTGATCATCTTGATCATCTTGATCATCTTGATCATCTAGTTCATTGTCCTGCTTTCAAGTGTGTAATGATATACATGATTCTTGGTTCACTAAGCAAATGTGTCAGCACAATGTACACCAGTGTTCACATGCACCTTAATACCTTGTTATCAGTGGCTCCCGATTCCCTAGGTCTCTGAGATTCATGATACTCCGGTGGCTTGGTCGAAATCAGAATCCTTCTCTTCAATGAGTCAGGCGAAGGGAATTCCATTATGAATTCTGAACGAGGGCTGTATAGCGTGTCTCCAAATGTTTCTATGACCATCTACAATCACATTTGAAAAAAGAAGTTCAAATCACAATTGAAGTGGTGCATAAAAAAGAATCATAAGATGGGGAGCCTAATTAAGGTATGAATTCCTATTCACCTTGGCCACTTTAGCTTGAAGATTTGAAGGTAGGTGGTCTTCAAATGTTATGACAACAGGGTATTCAGAAGCAATAAAAGCATTATCCTTAATAGCCCGCAAACATTTGATGAGCTCCACTGGACTAGTAAGAGTTCTAAAGGTTCAAAGAGATCAAATTTTGTTATGCAAATATGACTAACTAGCGTGGACTGAGAATTAATAGTTTTCCAACCAAGACCATGTTCATAATAGAGTTTGAGAGCAACCACAAATTAAATTCATACCCTCCGTGACGAACCTCCACGCCATTTTTCTTAGAATTCGGCCACAAATCTAATTCGATAACTCTAACGCCTTGTAGCAGTGCGTTTATAATTGGGTGGACACTGCTGTCACTGCTGAGTTGATTTCCTGTTAAGTAGGAGTTGTGGCCGGTAAATAGAAAATAATGAGCCAATGGCGCATTCATGTCATGGTGCACCTGAATCCAAACACAGCTGTTCTCAAATTTTGGATCATTAAGATGCATAAACTAATGCAGAAACTGCAAACTAATATTCTTTTTCCAATCATCTTCATAGTTTGCATGTTCCTTAAATGTATAAATAAGTTAGAAAGTTTCATCACTCTGAACAGTGAATGCTATACTCAATATATGAAATTGAAACAATACAAGGTTTGATGAAATTACCTTTGAATAGAAAGGAGGATTAAGGTCACCAAGGAGATACCGAAAGAAGGCATCGAGATGGAGACCCTTTCTTTGAAAGATGTTGAGATGCCTGAGACTGTTGAAAATGGCCTGAGCATCCTCCTTGGTGGCATTGGGTTCTCCTTGAAACTCAATCAGAAAATTCTGAAGGTTATCGATCGTTATGGTGCCATTTTCGGCGTACTGATTAAACAGGTTCTTTATTTCTTCAGGAGGCTCAGCCACCTTGAGCCTAAATATTCTCTTGAAGCAGAAGCAGACCTTGAAAGACTGCTTATTGGACATTTTTGAGACTGGCAGCTTGTGATGATGCCAAAAGTTTCTCTAGATTCTGTTTATATGAAGAGAGAAAGGAAGAACTTCATTAAGTACATCACAGCCTTGTGCATGAAGAGACTTACCGTGGAACTCGCATACATCAACGGCTGACAAGCATTTGGAATTTCCTGACAAGAACTTATAATTTACTTGAAATTCTTAGGCATGGCTTTGCAGCAAAGTCAGAATCTGTGCTCATGCAAAGCTTTAAAATGACAACACTCCACTTTCCCTACTCTTTATGTAATTAATGTCATATATACACGCTATTGTTAGTATTGTATGGCAATTCGTATATCAACCCAACTTTTTCTTGGTCCACAAATAAAGAGAATTCTTCTCTCATACCTGGCTTTCTCGTCTGTATATTCTCTTTTGTTGGTGCAAATTGCATAAAAAAGATCTTTACATCATGAGGCCTCCAACAAAATATACCCTTGCTTTCTTCTTAGATCATTAACCAGACTCTGTAACCAAAACATATCCATGCCATGGAAAGTAAATTTTCTTTTACCGAATTACATGACACGTTATTACTCGAGCTATGTGATTGACAGTTGAGTTGTTAATTTCTTTAATCTGGACAATGTTGCTACTGCAATTGTGGGGTAGGAGAAGGAGAAGTTTGACAATCAGGTTGAAAGTTAAGTTTCACCTAAACCATAGTAGATTTTGTCCTTTTGATCTGCAGGTTGAACGGTTCCTTTATTGAGTTATACCAAAGATGGAATTGTCCCTAAAAACATAATTGAGAAAAAGAAAAAGGGAAAAAGGAAAAGGAACAAAAAAAGGCTGTCATTATATGCTTCTATAGACCATCCACTTCCAAAAAGAAAAAAAAGAAAGAAGGGAGAGAGAGTACCAAACAATCTTTTACAATGAGCAAAATAAACAAAACTTATAGCAGAATTACAGGGGGCAACAGAATAAAAATGAACCGAGGAAAATTCGATGAGCAGAACCAAATGCTCAGATGAACTCAAATTGCATTAGAAGCCTTACTGAGTTGTATTTTGTTCCTTTACGGTCAAAGAGAGGGACTGCACAAATCCCTTGTCTCAATTCAGACACTGGCAAACAGGTTTGGCCACCAAAGTCATCCTTCTCAGACATGTCATACTCATGTACCTCAACTCGAAGCAAAGCCAATTCAGGAACCCTCAATGGAAATGTAAACTCTTCCTCCCAGACTGGTGTCCAATCGTCCTCCTTCTTCTTAGTTTTCTTCATTATTTCATCAGCGGGAACTCCTGCTATGCCAACCTGCCTCACAGATTAAATGGTAAATAGAAGCACTAAGAAGTGTGTATCACTGCATTATTATTAATCAAGCACTTAAAAAGCATACATTATTTGGTTTACCAGTAGACTGACCAAGGTAATCATTTGAAAATAAAACACAGACCATCTTACCCTGGTGTAGAAATCCGGTGGGGAATATAAATCGAAGTGTGTTTGTTTGAAATCCAAATGCCATCCATCTCCCATATATACTTTGACCTGTCAAGAAACATAATTAGTTTAAGAGTCTTTTAAATGAGAGGGGATAAAAACAGTCTTTGACAATCAACTTACAACTTTACATCCAGAGAAAAGGAACAGAAAATGTGGTCACCTTTAAAGTCTTCTTTACTGGCAATTTTGCCTTAGGATCAAAGATCTGATTATCTGATTCGTTCATAATAAAATCAGGCTTTTTCACATAACCGCAACCCCCATTGGCTCTAAACATCCCATGCATCAGCCAAAGAGATCTACCATATCCCTGCTATTGGACCAGAGAAATGTTCATTTTCTGTCTCAAAAATGCTACCAGTTTTCTTATCTTGAAATAACATTGCAAAGCATTATCTTGGTGACTGGGAAGAAAAAATACAATCAAAACAGGAGAAAGTTATAAGAAAAAGAAAATAACTTTTTTTCGGGACAGAAAGGTAAGAACTTTAAACAACCTGCATATTGAATGCAACCATTTGAGCACCATGCATCCAACCAATAAGTGGCTTGTAGTTGGAGGAGTTGAACCGAGTACCTTTTGGGTACACCCTTAAAATGTTCTTCTGGGTAAATCTATGAATAACATTGTTACAGTTTATAGTTGTTCAGTTGGATAACATAGATCAAATACCAAGTAAATGAAGATTTCACTATTGAATTCATCACATGAGGGAATCATTCGGCACCTCATTGTGCTAGGAAAACAAAATGTACCTAACAACATCCGTTCCATGAGATTCAGCAGCCTTTTCAAGTGCTTGTTCACTCAAGCTAAGGCGTCTAACTTTATCAAGTTCAACTTTTAGTGCCTCCTTTAGACCACCCTTGGGTTTCCCAGCATGGATTGTAATTAGACGTTTGTATTCATGTTCCCCTGATGAGAACGATCCACGATTACTGTGACTGTTATCCTCACTTGAATCACTGTCACTCTGCAAGACAATAGAGAAAAATTTAATCACCTAAGGGCAGGACATCAAGCGTAAGTGATGCTAGCAGTAAATATTTTTTTTTCTCAAAACACACCGTGTCATCATTTTCGTGTTCTTCTGTAAGCTCTGAGGGTTCTTTCCCCCATAAGTCTTCCTCACTCTTATGTGAGTCATGTTCCTTTTCATTGGCCGTTTTAGCCTTGCGGTACTCTTTAGGAGGTTTGGTAGAAATAATAATTCGGTACTTAAGTTCTTCCGGTGAAGGTAACTCTTTCAAGCAATCAGATTCAGGGTAAAACAACATCTCCCCAAATGTCTCAATGAGCATCTGGAAATGAAGAAATTTGCAAATTTTAAACAGTAATTATAGTAAGAACATGATTTATTACTCATAAATAAAAAAAGGAAAAGAAAATCACCTGTGCTACTTTAGCTTGGAGATCAGGGGTAAGATGGTCTTCAAGAGTTATGATGACAGGGTATGGAGATTCAGAAAATGCATGCTCTCGAATTGATTTCAAGCATTTAATAAGCTCCACAGGGGTTGTCAAAGTCCTAGATTCACAAATACACACTTTGAATATGAATCCCATGAGTTGGAACACTAGGCTTTCATAGAAATATCGACTAAGAACAGCAACAAAAAGTATTTAGGCTGAAAATAGAATGCTTTAAAACAGAGTTGCCTATCTTCAAGCTTACTTATGATGCACAGACTTAAATATATTCAATGAAATTCATGATCATTAAGACGATTTCACTTGAAGTCCGACGAGGTACCATTAGATTGGAGATAATTAGAGTTACCTTCCATGAAGAACATGCACATTGTCCTTTGTGGAATTTGGCCAAATATCAAGCTCCACCACTCTTACACCTCTCTTGAGTGCCTTTATGATTGGAACATCACTGCAGTCACTGCTGAGCTGATTTCCAGTCAGGTATGAATTATGACCTGTATATATGTAATAATGGGACAATGGAGCTGTCATATCCTGATGAACCTGAAACAAATTACCAAAAGCAGAAATTTGCAAATTGTCTCAATCAAAATCAAAGAAATTATAAAATGCACTTGTTCATTAAAGAAAACACTTCTTTAATAAATTCATATCAATAAAACAGGGCCACAAATTTGCTAATGAATTCAAGTAAACTAGCCCAAGAATTTAGATGTCAAGATATTTGATATGCTGATGAGCATTGCTAGATTATGAGCTATCTATGACAAGTCTCTAGCAGCATGTAGCAGCATGTTGCACACGTGTCAAATTGGAATTTGTCCGCAAGGAAGATTCTTCCACTCAAGCTAGCTATGAGCTGACGGAGTTTCAATATTTACGTTCTTGCAGTTTCCTATACTTTCTCCGGAAATAAACAAAACCCAGAAAAGAAAAACCCAATACCTGATCTCGAATGGGGGGGTTGAGATCGGGAGAGAACAAGTAATGGTGGAAGTCGTCTAGGGTGAGAGTGCGCCTGCTGATCAACTTGGCAATGTGGTGCCTCTTCTGCAGCACCTGCTCCACGATCCGCTCGGCGTCGGACGCCGCCGCTCCGCCGCCTACGCCGCCGTCTGCCTGAAATTCCAGCAAGAAACGCTGCAGCTGCTCCGCTGTCATGTGGGTCCCCCCCTCGGCGTACTTGTTGAATACCTCCTTGACGTCCCGCGGTGGCTCTGCCTCCGTCACCCTGAACTTCCTCGTGAAGCACATGCACATCCTGTAACTCCCCATCGACCTTAACCAATAATTTACACAACAAAAATCAGAGCTTTTGAAAAATGGCAGGCAGAACAGAGAGAGAAACAGAGACAGAGAGAGAGGTTTGGGAATGTAAAGAGCTTTGGGGGGTTTATATTCTTTATTTATGGAATTGTGATCGTCAGATGAAGTTAGACAGTCGACAGCCTTTTTATTTTCTTTATTTATGGAAAATTTTGCCGTTTTGTTTGGCGCCTTTTTGGTTTTATTTATCTTTTTTTTTCCTTTTTAAATCATCACTATTAATTTTGATTGATGTTGACGGTTGCTTAATGGCAACTTTCTCCATGGAGGAATATGTAGTGACGGTCTCATGCGAACTATTAACAACTCTTGCCCCCCGAAATTAATTGAGTCAACGGTTCACAATTGTTTCTGTGTGATTGGATTAATTAAATTTAGTGACAGTTGATGTGTAAATATTTTTATCAACGATTCACATTCGTTCACACGTAAGTGATGATCCACGGTTCAGTGTAGACTCAATAAGAAGTCAAGAAATAAGCTAATCTGTCCATGAGAAAAGATAGAGATCTGATAATGTAGAGACAGGACAGGAGGTCAGAGAACTCTTTCTATTTTTTTTTATTAAAGAAAATTTCTCACGAGATGCACGTTGGTTTTCTTTTACTGAGCCATGCAATAAAGAAACACCAGAGTGAGTAAAGACCTCCCAAAGGTACGTCTGGCCCATTCCACCTGGTTTTATAAACTAACATTTATCTTTGGCGTCAATTAGCAAAGAGGAAAATTAAAAACAATAATAAGTGATGTAATAATCAAATGATTCGAAGACAAATAGAACAATCGATTGGCTTGGTGATAGGATCATTTTTTTGACACTATGTGCGTAGAGGAGGATTGAACTTGAGCATAAGACGGTAAGACGGCTCCTTTAGTCAACTAACCTAACTAGCGGCGGAGCCATTTAAGGTGAAAGATGGCTTTGCCCCCAATTTTCTAAATTAATATATAATATATATATTTACATATGTAGTTTTGGATAAATAGTAAGAGGAAGCTTGAATATGTAAGTATTTTTCAAACTAATATTCACATTTTGGCTCTCGTAACTTTACAATTCTAACTTCTCTCATGGATCACATTCATACTGATAGGACTATTATATATACGGAAACAAAAAATGATTTTGCCATTGGAATGAGGAGAACCAAATGCTCTCAGATGAACTGAAATCGCATTAGAAGCCTTATTGAGTTGTATTTGTTCCCTTTACGGTCAAAGAGAGGGACTGCACGAATCCCTTGTTCCAATTCAGAGATTGGGAAACAAGTTTGGCCACCAAAGTCATCCTTCTCAGAAAGGTCATGCTCATGAACCTCAACTCGAAGCAAAGCCAACTCAGGGACTTTCAGTTGAAATGTAAACTCTTCCTCCCATGAAGGTGTCCAAATGTCCTCTTTTTTCTTGGTTTGTTTCATTATTTCATCTGCAGGCACTCCTGCTATGCCAACCTGCATTACAGATATTATTAGCCATTAAATACAAGCCCTAATTATTTATTGTTAATCAAGCGCTTAAAAGCATACATAATTAATTATTTGGTTTACCAGTAGGACACAGACCATATATCTTTTTATATCTTTTTTGGTCATTCATTAGGGAGGGGGAGGGGGGAGTTTTATATTAGGTTGCCTCAAGATTGTCTCCAATGTGAATCGAACCCGGGTGGACTTACCCTAGTATAGAAATCGGGAGGGGAATATAAATCAAAGTGTGTGTGTTTGAAATCCAAATGCCATCCATCTCCCATATACACTTTCACCTGTCAAGAAACATAATTGACTTTAAGATTGTAAATCAGGTTAATTCCAACTTCACATGCACTAAAAGAAAAAGGAACAGAAAATGTGCTCACCTTTAAAGTCTTCTTTACCGGCAAGTTTGCCTTAGGATCAAAAACCTGATTATCTAAATTCTTCATAACAAAATCCGGCTTTTTTACATAACCACAGCCCCCATTGGCTCTAAACATCCCTTGCATCAGCCAAAGAGATCTACCATATCCCTGCCATTGAACCAGAGAAATGTTATGATCTAGTGATTGTTGGAGGAAACAAAACTAAAAGAAAAAATAACACATTTTTTTTAGGAAGACTGAAAGAAGTTAGAACTTTAACAAACCTGCATGTTGAATGCAACCATTTGAGCGCCATGCATCCAACCAATAAGCGGCTTGTAGTTGGAGGAGTTAAACCGAGTACCTTTTGGATAAACCCTTAAAATGTTCTTCTGGGTAAATCTGTGAACAAAAATTGAAGTATAGTCGGTTCAAAAGCATCGATTAAATACCAAGTAAAAGATGTCATTGTGACAGAGAAAAAGAAAAAGGACCTAACAATATCCGTTCCATAAGATTCAGCAGCCTTTTCAAGTGCTTGTTCACTCAAGCTAAGGCGTCTAACTTTGTTAAGCTCAATTTTTAGTACCTCCTTTAAACCACCCTTTGGTTTTCTGGCATGGATAGCAATTAGATGTTTGTATTCGTGTGCTCCTGGCGAGGACAATCCACCAATATTGCCGCCATTGTTATCCTCACTTGAATCACTATCACTCTGCAAGGTAATAGAGAAAAATTAATCACCTAAGAGGTACGACATTAAGCATGTAATTGGTGTTAGCATGTTCATTTAAAACACACCGTATCATCATCTTCTTCATGTTCATCTGTATTAAGCTCTGATGGTTCCTTCCCCAATAAGTCTTCTTCCTCACTCTTATGTAAGTCATCTCCCTTTCTGTTTGCAGTTTGAGCCTTACGGTACTCCTGAGGAGGTTTCGTAGAAATAATAATTCGGTACTTGAGTTGTTCCGGTGATGGAAACTCTTTCAAAAAATCCGATTCAGGGTAGAACAACATATCCTCAAATGTCTCAATGAGCATCTGGAAAAGCAAAAGAAGAAAAATTGCAGATTTAAAATAGTGATTTTAGTAAGAAGGTGATTTATTACAACTGATAGGATAAATAGAAAATCACCTGTGCTACTTTAGCTTGGAGATTCGGGGTAAGGTGGTCTTCAAGGGTTATGATGACAGGGTATGGAGATTCAGAAAATGCATGTTCTTTAATCGATTTCAAGCATTTAATAAGTTCCACAGGAGTTGTCAAGGTCCTAGATTCACAACAAGACACTTTGAATTAATATTTATCGACTGAAAATAGAATGCTTCAAAAATCAATGTTGGAGGTAGATTGGAGATAATTAGAGAATTTACCTTCCATGAAGAACATGCACATTGTCCTGTGCGGAATTTGGCCAAATATCAAGCTCCACCACTCTTACACCTCTCTTGAGTGCCTCTATGATTGGAACAACACTGCAGTCGCTGCTGAGCTGATTTCCGGTCAGGTATGAATTATGACCTGTGTATATGTAGTAATGGGACAGTGGAGCTGTCATATCCTGATGAACCTGAAACAAAATATCCAAAGCAGAAATTTAAAAAATTGTCTCTAAATCAAAATAAACTAAATTAAAAAATGCACATGATGCAGTAAGACCTCATGATCAAGAAAACAGAGCCACAAATTTGCTAATGAATTCAAGTAAACTAGTTCAAGAAGTTAAATCTCAAGATATTTGATATGCTGATGAGCATTGCTAGATTATGAGCCATCAATGACATTGACAAGTCTCTAGCAGCATGTTGCACGTGTGTCAAACTGGAATTTGTACGCAAGGAATATTCTTCCACTCAAGCTAGCTAGCTAACAGAGTTTCAATATGTACATTCTTGAAGTTTCCTATAATTTCTCGGGAAACAAACAAAACCCAGAAAAGGAAACCCAATTAGTAAACAAAAAAAGTGAATTAATTACAGAAGAGCTAGCTACGTACTACCTGAGCTCGAATAGGTGGGTTGAGATCGGGAGAGAACAAGTAATGGTGAAAGTCGTCGAGGGTGAGAAGAGTGCGCCTGCTGATCAACTTGGCAATGTTGCGCCTCTTCTGCAGTACCTGCTCCACGATCCTCTCGGCTTCGGACGCGGACGTGCCGCCGCCCTCCGCCTGAAGCTCCACCAAGAAATGCCGCAGCTGTTCGGCTGTCATGTGGGTCGCATCCTCGGCGTACTTGTTGAATGCCTCCTTGACGTCCGACGGCGGCTCTGCCTCCGTCACCCTGAACTTCCTTGTGAAGCATAAGCACATCCTATAATTCCCCATCTATCTTGATGAATTAATAATTTACACACACAACGAAAATCAGAGCTTTTTAGAAATGGCAGACAGAACACAGAGAGAGAGAGAGAGAGAGAGAGGTTTTAGGAATGTAATTAAGGGACTGTGTTTGATCAAGTTATAGACGGACAGTCTTTTTATATTCCTTCTGTATTGATCTTTGCCTTTCTTGTTTGGCGCCTTTTTTGGTCTCCTTATTTTCCTTCGCATTGAAGTTGTTAAATTGTGATGGCTTTGATGTATGACTGCATTGTTGCACCTCCCACTAGGTTGGAATATAATGCACTAACGCCAGTCGTGCGTGCGTGAACCAGAATAAGTCTTTTTTCACAATCACTTAATTTGAAGACATAAAGGACGTGGAGTGTGGCCTACTAGTTTGCCCTCCCCCTTATCACCCAGCTGGTCTGGGTTCCAAACTTCCTTTAGAATACAATATCGTTGTAACTCAAAAAAGGTAATTTGACGATATAATTTGGACAAAAAGTTTACTGTGATCGACGTCCCACATGTGCAAGTCTTTTTCATGTCCAGTTTTATTGTTGTAATAGTCTCATGCATTGTCTCACTGTATCAACGGTTGACAATCGTCTGTACACATGCCAGAGTAATCCGCAGTTAAGTCTAAGCACAATTAGAAGCTAAGAAAGAAGTCAATGATGTCCCTCAGAAAAAGAAATGAAAGATAGTGATTTTATAATGTAGGGAAGGGAAGGAACAGACGGACAATAGCTTATCACGACTTGAAGGGACATGTGGGTTTCTTTTAATGGAGTGATTATAGAAGACTACGGACTGAGCCATGCAATAAACAAAGACCAAATGAAAAGATTGACCACCCAAGGCCAAGGGTACATCTGGCTCATCCCACGTGGTCACATCAGCTATGTAGCAAGTATGAACTAACATTACCTTTGACTTTGATTAACAAAAGGTAACGAGTATTAAAATTAAGGTTGGTGTCTCTGAGCTAATTATGACAAAATTAAGGTTGATTGGAAATGGGCAAAACTATAAACATGCTACTGGAAGCCCTTTATAGTAGCACTCCAGAATTTGTTCCATTAATTACAATAATCTTCAGAGGTAATTAGATGGTAATACACAGATGCTAACCCTAAACCTAAATTCTTTACTCTTTCTTAGTTAGGTTAGTACCTGTTTAATATAATACCTTAACTTACCCGAATATAACATGCTTAGGGGCATAAAAGCTAGAAAAATACATTTTTAGTGCCAAGAACTCAATCCGAATCTTATTAGTTTATGCTTTCTATAAAATTTTCTTTTATTTTTTAAAAATTTGTTGCTCAAGTAACTCTACCAAACTGAAAAAACCAATACATACACGATGATAAAATCTTGATGAAGACATTCATGGTACCCAAACCAAAAGGTCCAAAACTTGGATCCAGCGAGACGGTGTAATCTTATCGACCTGTCCGACATGGCCTGAAACACATAGCCAAAGACATAAACAAATGCCTGACCAAAAAACAAAGACTTTTGATGCATAAAAGGTGCACATTGGCTAGGAGGATCGGAAAGCATACTGTGGTACCTAACAAAAGTAGCAAAGACTAGGATTTTGGAGAAGTGTTTCCCTTTTCCTCTGGTAACCAACATTCAGATCATAAATCAGTATCTCTTTAACGTGCCATTTTCATTGGCCAGACATCTATTAACATTGAGATCATATAACATACAATTTATCCAATTCATTGAGCCTTCTGAGACACAAACCACCGAGCTCCATGATTTAACATGATCCTAAAAAAGACTGTTTGTGTACAGCTCACTCCACTGCAACACTAGATCAGTTAAAACTATGAGACAACTACTACTGGTTCAATGGATAGAGCTGCATCAATTGCACAACTTAAGAGCTAATGAAAATGCTAAATCCGTTTTCTACTACAAACACTCAAATATGTTTCACATATAGAACTCCAAGGACATACATGTAAACTGGCCAAACCTGTGACTACTATTTCCTTGGTTAATCTCTCAAACCAGAAGTTTACATTAGCACACAACTCGCAGACTTTTGAACCTGAATTCCACGATCACATGGCTTAAGATCATTTTCTATGAAACCAAGCATGTAAGAACCTACCAAGACATTTAAGTACGGATGATTCATTCAATACAGAAAAACACAAAAAGAAAAAAATGAGATTCACGGAAGAATAAGGGAGAACAACTTATGAGGTAATAACTCAAAATCTTCCGTGCACCCCAACTTATGTGCGATGGGGTTTTCGTCGGGTTGGGTGTGTTTAAGAGGAAGATCTATGAGTGAAGAGAGAGCTAATAACTCAAAATCTGCTCATTTAAAAGGCTAAAAAGCCGAGTAATGGATCGAAAGCTACAGAGCAGAAACAAAGACTTGACCCAAATTTAGGAGATACAGACAGAGCAAAGGATACCAATTACAGATGTCAAATGTTGAATTTTTAACTCTAGCATGACCGAATTCAACTGTTAGCAATCAAACTTAACTTTGATACAACACAATGAATTCATAAAGTTATCTTTGCTTCTCGTTAATTTCCAACAAATCCATCCATTAATCATTATAGTAGAATTGGATGAATATATCTTGCAAATTGCAATGAACTAAGACAAATAGAACTTGAGAATCCAATTGACAGTGATTCTAACAATATTGTTGCCTTGCCTACATCTATAAAAGAAAGAAAGAAAACCCAGCAATAAATCCAAGAGTAAAATTACTCTCTTGAGCCATGAAAGTAAAATTACCACAGCTAATGAATCCAATATGAAAAAATGGTATATATATGGTGCAATGTTCATTATCTTCTAAAAGAGGGGTTTTTAGCCTTTAGCCCTTTGGGCTTCACCCAAAAGCTCCAAAATTCAACTCACCAAATTCAGTCAGACCGAAACGCGTACCTCTCAACCTTCTCGTCATTCAGATTAATCCCAACCATGGCCTCACCTAATCCACAGCTGATCTCAGCCAGCACATCTGGGTCACTATAATGGGTCGAAGCCTGCACAATAGCCCGAGCCCTCCGGGCCGGGTCACCACTCTTAAACACACCCGACCCGACGAAAACCCCATCGCACCCCAACTGCATCATCAACGCCGCGTCGGCAGGCGTTGCCACGCCACCGGCGGCGAACTGCACCACCGGCAGCCTCCCGAGCTGCTTCGTCTGCATCATGAGATCGTACGGCGCCGCGATTCTCTTCGCGTACGCGAACACCTCGTCGTCGTCCATGTTCCGCAAAACCCTGATGTCCCCCATCACTTGCCGCACGTGCCTCACGGCCTCGACGATGTTTCCGGTGCCGGCCTCCCCCTTCGTCCGGATCATCGCGGCACCCTCCCGGATCCGGCGAAGCGCCTCGCCGAGGTTCCTGCAGCCGCAGACGAACGGGACGCGGAAGTTGTGCTTGTTGATGTGGTGCTCGTCGTCGGCGAGTGTCAGGACCTCGCTCTCGTCCACGTAGTCGACGCCGATGGCCTCGAGGATTTGGGCCTCGACGAAGTGGCCGATGCGAGCTTTGGCCATGACGGGGATGGTGACGGAGCGCTTGATCTCCTTGATGAGCTGCGGGTCGGACATTCGGGCAACGCCGCCCTGAGATCGGATGTCGGCGGGGACGCGCTCAAGGGCCATGACGGCGCATGCGCCGGCCTCCTCGGCGATGCGGGCCTGTGCGGGGTTGACGACGTCCATGATGACGCCGCCGCGGAGCATTTGGGCGAGGCCAACTTTGACGGAGAATGGGGAGGATTTGGTCGTGGTTTCGTATATGGCGCCTTTGCCGTATACGGTGACAACGCCACTGCTGTCAGCCATTTTTGGGAAATTGGGAAGGTGAGATCGCGAGGAAGAAGGAAGGTGGTGGAGAGTGGAGAGTAAGTGGAGAGAGAGGAAGAAGAAGATGATGATGACGATATGGGAAATGGAAATTGGATAAAATAAAGGTTTTTAGCCATTATTTTATTAGTAAATCCCCAAACCCAACTCTTAATATTTGGTCTAAATTTCCGTTCTCTATTTTTGGCAACTCCAATTTTCTTTTTCAAATTTTCCTATTAAGGACATTTTTAATTACATGTAAAAGAGAGTAAAAGAGTTACCTAGGTTTTACATGTTAATGTAAAAAATTGAATAGTGTTTAGTTTTTAAATTCGGGACGTCTTTCAGACATGAAGAAGAGAAATATAATTAGATTAAGAATTAGTTGATAAATAATATTAAATTTATGATTTCCATATTTTACTGCACTAGTGTTCTTTCTTTCTTACAAGCATATAGGAATGCCTCTTTTAAAATAAAAAAAAATAAAAAAAAAGCAAATAAATGTTAAGAGTTATGATTTGCCAAACTACAATGACAAAAAAGAAGAAGTGGATTTGGCCTTTATTATTTGAAGGAAAGAAGAAAAGAAGATAATGTTCTATATTCAGGACCATGCATGAGGCATGATGCATGATGGTGAGTTGTAAAGTCCACAAAACTCGGTCACCATGTCGTTGTTGCCTTGTCGTTATGCATATGCCCAACAAAATACACAAAACTGCTCTTTGCTGCCCATCTCATCTCATCTCACTCACTCCAAACCCACTCCACACGCAACAACACAAGCGACAATGAAAGATTTAGAACCAAGTCCATTTATATTTCAAATATTTCAAGGGAAGAAAATAATCACATAGTATTTTATTGTTGTATGTGTCTTTTTCCAGTCCCAAATGTTGTGCACCAATGCTATATTCTTTACACGCAAAAAAATAATTAAGGGGAAGAAAACCCTACTTCAGGGGTCATCTAAGACTACCCACCATCTAAAAACTCTATAAAATTATGATTATATAAAACTATGGCCGCATCCTAGTTTAATCGTCTCCGTTCTTTTGGATTCATATCCTCCACAGCCTCCATTATTTCCTTATTTTTCTGTCTCCATCTCTTGATGAGATTACTATCGGCCGACTGGAGAGTGCATGGGGGGCTAGCAGAAGGGTATGCAGTTGTCTTTTCAAAAAACTGCCTCTGTTTCGGGTCGGCAAGACAAATCAGGGATTCCGCACACACTTCCAGGGCAGAATCTGGAGAGACTGGCTTGAAGTCCAGCAGCTTCGAGTACTCTGTGATGAGGTGAAACATGTAATCATAGACCCGGTCCATGCTTAGGCTTTCCATAAAATCTTGCCCTCTTTGTCCTATTTCCTTAGCCTGTTCAGCCATTGGGGAATATTGTAGCCACGATTATGTTCTTTTCGTGAAAAATATAAGGTTTAAAGGGGGAGAGGGGAAGGAATGGAATTGTACCATAACGATGGAAAGTGTTACACAATGTAACAACAAGAACAACATAATGTACAGCATAACTAGCAATCGATACGTACCTCAGATTGGTGTCCATGGGCCCAGTCAACAGCAGATTTTATGGACGGGCATATAGCATTGGGAGAGATAGGCCAATAGTTAACCCTAGGAATGAGACCACGGCTGAAGAAATCCTCATATTGTGGGGTTATTATTAATGTAAGAGAACCGCATGATACAATATATTTCAAGCTCACGGACCAAGCATAGCCTTCTGCATAGATTTTATACCTTCAACAGGAGGAAAAGATTTGTGAGATGCAGGATCGGTGCCACATGCTAATTAGATAAGAAGATAATAAATCAATGCAATATAACCATATACAACAGTTATTCATCAACCAAGATGAAAGAGGAGCGAAAGTTTGATGGATGGTCGCAGTAGTCAAGGTCCAGTTAGATAAGAAGACAGCATACAATGGAGAATGTCTAAGTCCTCTTTGAAAGTTAAAGAAGCCCCCAAAAGGGGAATTTTGAACTCCAAAACTATAATCTGAAAACGGCTTCCTTTTTGTGTTTTGATACTAAGGAGGACGAAAAATGGCATCATTTTCATAGATAAAGAAAACTGAACTTAAATAGACAAAAGCAAAAGAAAACATCCTCTAAGGACTACAAAACAGAGACAACAGATGATCTGTGTGACCATATATTATGCTAATAACTGATCAAGCTGCTTCTTCGCAGCTAACCAGTCACGCTATCTAATGAGAATATGATGATAGGCTATCACTTTTAGCAGCTGTGCTCACCGATGATTACACTGATTAGACAGTTTGGACTGCTCATAACCGGCTCTTGCTTCCGCCTCCCAATCCTATGATGTATATTAGAAAGACAATGTCAGGATTGGTCCTAGGCCTATTAAATCCAGAGTTCAAGTTAAAGAGATATCAACATTTGCAATTTTTAATTCAACCTGACGCATAATCTGTGCTTTCCACATCTTAGTGTCGTTACAGTTAAGTAACTCTGTACGAACAGGGGAACTAACATCTGGGTTTCCTTTCCAATACGCGAAAGGCTCCTTCTTTCTCCAACTTCTTTCCTTAGAACCCCGTTTGATTTTTCGGAACTGCTCATTCCAGGGATAAATATGTAGCTCCGGCCTGTGCAGTAATCATAGACTATAAAGACAATCAGCACAAATAAAACCATAACCAGGCATTTGAAGCCCATATAAATGCAACATTTTCATGCTACTTAGTACAAGTTTAGCAAACTATGTCAATCCTGGAAAATTCCATTTATGACAGCGGTGATTGATCCACCTAAAATGGGGACAGCTGAAATTGATGCAACCATACACTAATTTACAATTTCTTATAGCAATTCAAGCATACACAAACAAATCATAAATGTAGGTTCTTTCCCATTCTATCACTGGCAATGCGTATAAAACAAGCATATCTTTGTTGCTCAAAAAACAAGCATAATTACCCACATAAAAAAACTGTAAATTTAAAAAGACAACAATAATAAATGTAGAAGACGATAATAAAAAACTAATGATTCTTACCAACCCCAGAAAGACCAATCAGGAAATGGGATATCAAAGTGATCTTCATCCGTACAGTACCGGAAAAGTGGCAAAGGCATTGATTCATGCTCGGTCCGGTTAATAATGGGCTTGTCCATACAATCAAACATGATATCCACATCCGGAACCCGATCCGGGTACCTCGCAAGGAGCTGCAGCAAACCCCAAATGGTGAACATGGCTCGGCTCTGCACACAAGCCCAGTACAAATCCACGTACAGCTTCCCGCCAACAATCACCACGCGAAACGCAGCGTACTGCTTGGCCGCCTCCAGATGGGCCGCGGAGATCCGGGTTCGGGCCCACGGCTCTAGATCGCGGTGGATCCATCGGAAGAAATTGGGGCATTTTGGGGCTTTCGCGCTGGACGAAGGAGGACGACGCCGTTCAGGGATGTCGTTGTTTCTGTAGCGGCACACGAGGTAGGAGCAGTGAATGAGCTTGTAGGCTCGGTCGTGGAGGGTCTCGTCGGAGAAGGTCTTGGGAGGGAAGAGGTGCCATGGCGTCGGGTCGAGGTTGTGGCCCGCCAATGTCTTGGTCTGAGTGGCGAGGTCGTCCACCTGTTCGACAAAATGCCCAAACGAATTGAGACTGAGAAACAAGAACAAACAATGAAGACACAGAAAACGACGCGGCGTTTAAAAACCTTGTAGACGACGACAACGAGAGAGAGGAGGGATAAGGCGACAACGGATGGAAGGATGTAAGAGGGCGAGCGAGCGGTAGCTCTTAGAGCCATAGTCCAATGAGGTGGCGGTGGATGAGTGGTGCTGCCGCTGCTGCATTGTCTTTTCTTCTGTCGCCTTGTAAATTTGTAATCTGTCGTCACCTGGGGATGGGATGAGCTCCTTGGTTTTTTGCTACTGTAGGGACCCACTCAGCACTGGTATTTGCCACGTGGGTGGATTTTAATAGCTTCCTGACCCGTTTTCTCCTCGTTCGTGTTTCGCGGGGAAAATGGATGGCGCGGGACCCTCTGCGCAATAAACTGGTGATTTCATGAATTAACACTTTCATTTCGTACCAAGAAAATTCTTCGGACACTAAACAATAGCTTATGCAGACGTGGGTGAAGTCAATTCATAACCGGTGAAATTGCCCAATCCTATCTTTCCTTGACGTAGGTCTCGAGTGTTCAATTCTCTTGTATTTAAGTTCGAGAATTTCTCGTTCCATGAAAATATTTATCATAATTAAGGGGAATTACAATTTCGATCCTTGTGGTTTTGATAATTTTATTTATTTGTTTTGGTTTTGTGGGTTTATTTTTTATTTTGTCAAAGTTAGGAAAGGAAAATGAAATCTGACATGCCGCCAAAATGTCATGTAAATTCAAATAGTTTACTGTACTTTTTTGGGTGAAAATAGTTTATTGTATATTTTGAACCCAACCTTGGTTTTTAATTTGTTTTGTTATATTTGAAGGTTGATGACCACTGAACAAAATTACCTTGGTTCTTGTTTATAACAAATTGCACTTGATTCTTCTAGATTAAGCTAAATAAAATAACCAATAATAGTAGGAAAATCTTCATCTTCAAATCGAGTGAAGGGTGTATGAAACATTTGAATTATACAAAATCAGCTTTAGTTTATGAACAAATTACATGTGTGAGATATACACATCCGGAAAATCAAGCTACAATATTGATACAGAGAAAAATCCCAAACTTCAGAATAAGGGAAAGTAAACTGCATTATGTCGCCAGCCTCCTCAAAAGCTTCATGCGAAAACCGTATGAATTGCACAAACAAAAAGGAAAGAAAGAAAAAAAGGAAAAAAGAAAAGTCTCATATTACAATACAAATCACTACTTCATCTGTTAGTGAAAAATATCCACAATGGACTATTAAGAAGTATGGTGCAAGGGAGCTCCTACAAACTTGGCTCACTTATATACACAGCTCAGACTGTAAAGATCTTCCTCACTTTCTTCATCCTTCTGCGGCATATGGGACAAGTACCCGCCTCTTCGGCAATCCTGCACGGTGAATCCACTAATCAGAATCTAACGCTGCTTTGATTTAGCACAAGTTACAAAGATTTGATTAATATTAGTGATTATACTTAGCAAGGTATGGTGTCTTATGTTGCATAAGAGGCATGGTGTAGATTTACATACCTTGTTCCACAAGTAAAACAGGCAGCACAGTGCCCACAAGGAAGAAAGAAGCAATCTCTTGGACCATCAAAGCAAATAACACAAAGACGCCGAGTATTGTTGTTATCCCCTTCATTTATTGACTTTCCTACAAGGGAACTCACTTCAAGGCTCTCTTCCAAATCTTCTTCGTTATTTGAAACAGATTCGTAAGATGAACCCCAACTCAAAACATCGTCATCTTTCGGCGAAAGCAATGGGGTTTGTTCGGATTCTGCCTCCCCTGCTTGAAATTCTGTTCTGTCTTCACTAGGGTTTTGGAATATGTTACAAAATCTAAAGGCCATTAAGAGGAGCACAGTCATCACACCTATATGCAACATAGAGGCAGGTGTTAGTAGACCTTTTTGTTTTTTTATCAGTGTTATGTGAGAAGTATATGAAGGCAAACAAAAAGTAACCTGATCCAAGAAAATACATGACCCATCGCGGTCCATAAGAGAGTCTGATGTACCAGTCATCGTCAGGGACACCCTAGAAGAATCATGACTGAAGATTAAAGACACATGATTGGGATTCAAAGAACACATTTATCGTGACAAAGTATTGGAAGCTGCATTGATGACCTAAAAGGGGCAGAAGAGAAAGAAAACTAGCAAAGGAGAGTCTTTTGCATTACCTCTTTAGGACCTGGAGAAGTTATGACAACAGCACTTGCCCCCAAGAGGGAAAGCTTTAAGCTACATAATTGGTTATCTAAGAAGCATTTGTAATACGCCTTGGTTGTGTTATAATGAACAGATTTGATGTTGAATTCCAACTCTACCTGTTGGAAGGTCAATAAAGCTGTTAATGGTTATTTATGGATATATAATTATATACAACAGATCAGGCACATTTGAATAATTACCTCAACAGACTCAGGGTTCAAGTTCCCTACTGCAATATAATAATAAGAAGACTTTGGAATTTCCTGCTGGATCTTACCACTTTCTGTGAAGAAACCAGGTTGCTTAGAACAATCTAATTGGTGCTAAAAGAGAGGATAGAGCATTGATTGATGAAGCTCACCATAAATTATATTCCAAGACAATGTTGCGTTACCATATGATGGATCCTCTATCCACTCAGCCATGCTTTCACTACCTGCAGGTTCAGATGAAAGTTTTCAATACACGAAAACACATTTGAGTTCTTCTACCACCCCCGGAAGAAAGAGAAGAAAACCGAAAAAACAAAAGGCTCCCCCCTACAATAAGGGCTAGATAATAAACCTGCAGTAGAGGCATTTGGCCTCACGGTCACTAATAGGATGCAATTTCTCTAAAAGTACTTAATTATCAGTCCTAGTCTCGAGAACAATATCCAAGTTTGCATTCTTATAAAAGTATTTGATGATTGTTGGCATGACCTTTAGATGATTGTAGCAAAGAAGCTGCCACAGAACATTATTCCAATTCTTCAACTAATTGATTTGACATCAAGCCTAGACCTTGATACCGTAACGTTTAGATAACCATAGAGGAGGAGGTACTTCAATCATAATAACAAAATTTCCCAAATTTGAAGAGCAGAAGTTGGGAATTACCTTGTGCGACTACAAGGGTTAAAGGCAAGGAACTTGTAGGTTTTACACGGTAAAAAATATCTATTCTAGACCCTTTGTTTAGAAAGTATATCCATTCCTGTTACATGAAAAGGAAAGAAATTTTATCCTATCAATCAAAACATATGAAAAAAAAATTTGAGTGAAGATGAGAGAAGAAGAGAAGAGAAGAAACAGTAGATACTATACAGTAAATGGCAAGCATCTTGCCTTGTGATAATTGGCTGGCACAAGTGTATCATGTGTTTCAGTCCAAGCTATTTCAACATCCAGGGGAGGAGGATTGTGAAATCCATATAACATTGGCCCAGGTTTTGGCTCATCAAGTTCTTGTGCCTGTTTATGGACTAAATGAGTTTACTGCACACTAACAGCTGCAGCAGAAAGGAAAAAGCAAAAAAAAGAGGTAAAATGAGAATTATGAGATTGAATCACCTTAATGGATTGCACAAAGAAGGGATTAGGTTGTATCAGGAGTGAGCAATTCGGCCCCAATTTCAAATCGGCCGATCCATAAAAACCGAGTATCAAAGTCATGGATGCTGCGGGTGAGGAAAATCGAAACCACAAGCAATCCAAGCAAACCAAATGAGTTAGATGCTCAAGTCATTAGTAAATGAGTTCATTATGTAACAACAACAGAAGGAAAAACTTCAAAAGAAGAGAAAAAAAAGAGAGTACAAGTTAGGCTCTTCTTGTCTGCTTGGATCACATGGGAAAAACCAATATAGCAAAATGAAAACTTTCAGATCATTTCATACCATTTATGAAAGAACCAAATTCAACCCTATCCTTAAATGCACATGACACAAGCGAAATGTATTGATTGGTTTCTAGAATTTTTTTTGACAAAGCAGTGCCCAAAACTAGTAAAGGATGGAAAGGGAAACTGACCAAAGAACCAAAACGTGACAAGCACAACAAGACAAGACCAAACATCATCCTTCATCTCGGATGCTGCTACATCAGACACCAACAAATTCACATGATAAGTAAAAATCCTAGAAATCCTCTGCTGGTGCTGTTGTTGTTGTGGCTGCTGTTCAATATGATTGTGCTGGCTCTGCTCATCAGAAATATCATCCCCATTTTGAGGCCTGTTATTTTCTTCATCTTGCACCTGTGAGCTAGATGGTGAAGAAGAAGAAGATGGAACAGAAACACGTTGACCCTGATCTGGTTCTGGGATTTCCATTCTGAACACAAAAAACAACCAAAATTAATTATCTTTGGCTGTTATTATTATGCGTAGCAATGAGCAAAGAAGCAAAATTATTAAACAAAATTATATTAATATTTTGAAAAGAAAAAAAAAATGGTGTTTCAGTCTCTAGCACTCACCTTGAGGAATGTAGTGGAAGTAGTCGGCCATTGAAGATGGAAAGGCAGTGGTGAAGAGGCTGTGACACTCTCACCAAGAAGTCCTCTTTTTGATTTCCTTCTTTGGTTTTTTTCTCCATGGGGAATGGTAGTTGGTGCGTGACGGTTAGTTTATGTATTTTAAATGCTTGATTTTTCACTTTGAATGTTGTTTCTTGTGTCCCACAAAGTGGTCCGTCAACGAGCTTGAAATGATGTAAGTTGATGGGGGCCCATAATTCTTTTTGTTTATTTATTAATGTCTAACTTATATGAATGGTCATGTTGTTTTGGATTGGTAGTTGGGGTATAATTTTCAGGACTACATGATAGCACAACTTGAACACGATAATGCAAAGGTTGATCACAACTTCTATCGAAATCTAGTTACTTTATGAATGTCTCCATTTGCTCTTTAAGGGACAAAAACGTTTTCTCTTTTTGGGAAATAATAAAGATTAAAACAAAGGTTTAAGAAAGGATGTCGATTTTCTCACTATCTTTTTGTCCGCTTACACCACATTTTGTTTTTAATACTTTTTACTATACCATATAAGGGAAGAGAGTGTAAGTAAACAAATGAGAAGTGAGAAATCAACTCCCTTTAAGAAAAAAAATATGTCAACAGAGTCTAGTTCAGTGAAAATTGACACTAACTTGCAAAGTAGTGGTCTTATATTCGAATGCTCATAGCCACTGGTCTACAAGTCAAGCTTTTTCACTGAGTTAGATAGTGCTTGCATTATTCCATACAAGAAGACAGTTCTCATTCCTGCAAATTACAGTTTAACACATATAGAAGAAAAATCATCAAAACCACAAATTTTATTTGTTTGCACTTAATGTCTATAATTGGAAAGTATGAGTTCCTTTCCAAGAGAATGCGACTTTTGTTAATATTGACAAAGAAAGCACTATTGTTGACAAAAACAAAAATTATGACGCATGTAGGCCCAAATGCATCTCACCAATCCGCCACTAGGCCCAAAACAGCTCTCAGAAATCGGCCCGTATCCATTGACATCCAAAAAGTTTGAGACTGTCGACGGCACCATAGACGGCTCAACCAATCGCATTCCACCAAAACACCAAAATTTCCGACGTGTCGAAAGCGTATTGGCTGGGACACTGAACCCTAAGACTCCTCTATAGAATGAATGTGTACATCATTACCAAATCAATGAATCTGAGAGACAGAAACACTGAGACTTTGAAGAACTGAAGAAGCAAGAGATGGCTCGGACGACGTCGTTTTTGCTCTGCACCCTGGTCCTCTTCGGAACCCTAGCTCTCATCCAGGTGAATTTTTTTTTATATTAGCTTAATTCCTTATCACAGTCTCACTCTGCATCCAATTGCCTATTGGGTTGTTTTTTTTTTTTTTTTTTTTTTTTTTTTTTTTTTTTTTTAAATACATAAACTTGTTTGAAATCAGTGATTGATGAAGAGGGTTGATGATCATTCAGGCAAAGAAGTCAAAGGAGGATCTGAAGGAAGTGACCCACAAAGTTTTCTTTGATGTTGAGATTGCTGGCAAGCCTGCTGGTATGTTTTTACTTTGTAATATAGTTTGTTGATTAGATTGTAATACAAAATTTGACCCATCACTCAAAATTCAATGATTTTAAGTGGCTGCTCCCAAATTTGATATTGGTATTATATTAATATGATAATATACAAGCCCAATTGGGAACTGAAAGGTGATCATTTCTGTAGAGGTGGGAATGTGGTTATGTTCATAGAGTGTTTGCAAATGAAAATTGGGGATTCTATGATGATTTAGAGTTTTTTTTTTTTTTTTTTTTTTTTGTTTTGTTTTTTTTTTTTTGTTTTTTGTTTGTTTATACAGATATTGATACTGTTCTGATCACTGGGTTTCAGGTCGGGTTGTAATTGGTCTCTTTGGGAAGACGGTTCCCAAGACTGCAGGTATTGTAGTGAATAATCACTCATTTTGGGTGGGTTCTGTGTTCAAAGCTACATTTGCAGGACATTACTAACTTATTCCTTTTCTTTTTTCAGAAAATTTTCGAGCTCTTTGCACAGGTAACCAGCCACTCATCTTCATTTCCTTGTATTTAGCGTAATATATTATATGTGGTATCTACTTTTTGGGGTTTATCATCAGAAATGTATATAAAATGAGATTTGGTTAAGGCCTTCAAGCTTGCTAACAACTGGACATTTACAATGGGAGGATGCATATAATTGGTAGATATATAGAAATTTTCCTGTATTCTATATTGCCCCAAAACAGAAAAAATAAATATATATATTATGTATATATAAATATATCTTTGTAATGTTTTTTGTTTCCTTTTTGTTTTCCATATAATTTCAGGGGAGAAGGGCATTGGAAAGAGTGGAAAACCTCTCCATTTCAAGGGTAGTAAATTTCATAGGATTATACCCAGTTTCATGATTCAGGGAGGTGATTTCACACTTGGTGATGGAAGAGGTGGAGAATCAATTTACGGAGAGAAGTTTGCTGATGAGAATTTCAAGCTGAAGCATACTGGCCCAGGTAGACAATTAATACAACTCCTTCCCGCCCCCCACGCCCCAAACTTTTTTTTCCTTTTTTCCTTTTTTCCTTTCTCTGAATGGAATAGATGGTTGCCACCTATCATAATGCTGATGTGAACAAAAATCACTTGACTCTTGTGTACAGGGCTTTTGTCAATGGCAAATGCTGGTTCCGACACCAATGGTTCACAGTTCTTCATCACAACTGTGACAACTAACTGGTAATTTAATGTGCATCCATGCATACTTGTAAAAGAGAAAAAAACTTATAAAACAACTATCGTCTGCTGCTTGATGCATGGTTTCCTCACCTTACATATTTGCATCTTTGCACTCATTCGAATTGGGGTTGAACTACTGACTTCATCAGGAGTTGCTTTGAAGTTTCTGAACTAATATTTGAATCCCTGTTTACAGGTTGGATGGCAGACATGTTGTATTTGGAAAGGTGCTGTCTGGAATGGATGTGGTTTACAAGATTGAAGCCGAAGGAAATCAGAATGGCACACCCAAGAGCAAAGTCGTGATCGCAGACAGTGGCGAACTTCCTCTCTAGATGTTGCTATCTTTCTCCATGTACTGAGTGATAGTAGTTGTAACTGTTCTACTTATCCTTAATTTTCCATGTTTGAGATCGCTGAAGATGTTATAACTCATGTACCAATAGATTTCTTAATTTGAAATGGATATTTCAAGCTCTTCTTTTTGGGTGCGGATCCTCTTCTCTCCACTCCTTCCAAACTCTCCTAACCTCGCTAACCTTTTAACAACAAAGTGCTACGTTTCAAGTATGAAATCGTGAGGCTGTGAAATCCGGCAAGATCATCGAAAACCCCCAACCCACGTTTTTTTAATGGTAACCCATTATGTTGAGCCTGGATCTGTTTCTAAATATCAAAATGTTGGTGGGAAGAAGAGTTGAGAGCTCTGTGATTGTGGGTTTTCAAGCCTGTCGGTGAGAGAGGTGATGGCTACTTTCTTGCAAGTCTATTTTCCAATGACATGATTTTAAAGAGGATTGGTAGTGGACTGTTCAAGAAAGTTTGGGTCTTTGATAAACAAGCCGAAGCTGGGGTTTATTAACAAAGTTCTTTCTAAAGAACCCAACAGAAAAATTATAATTAATATGAGTTCGTTACTTGGTGTTTTTTTATGGTTCAAAATTTTGGTAGGTTGGGAGATTTAAGGTGATTGGGAGAGGATTTCGAATCCTTTTTTCTTTTTATTTAATCAGCATGATATAGTTTATTATATTTCTTAAATTCAGGTTACAGGTTCCTTTTGTTATGGAGCCTCACAATTTTTAGCCTGTAATATAATAAAGCGATGGAAAAAAAAAACCTAAGTGCCAACATAAAATAAATATTCAAAACAGGAATCCGAGACCCAGCATAATTAGGAAAACAACAAGTGATAAAATAAAAGAGAGCTAGGTGCCAACATAAAATAAAGATTCAAAACGGGAATCCGAGACCCAACATAACTAGGAAAACAACACCACCCCATGCTTATAAATCACTCACAAGCAAGCACAAAGTCAAGTCAGTCTTTCTTTCTCCTTTTCTGATCAAAGATTTAAGCACAGAGAGAGAGAGAGCGTGAATTGCTTTCAAATAGGCTAACAATGACTAATTATAGTGGTAATCGGCTGGTGGGTTTTAGGTTTCACCCTACCGATCAAGAACTCATCAGTTACTTCCTCTACAAGAAAGCTGTAGCCAAGGAGCCATTAATGGCGTCATACAACAACATTGTGCATGACTTCAATCTTTTGGGCGAAACAGAGCCCTGGGTGGTCTGGGATATCTTCGGAGGACCTGACCTCATTGACGAAGACTTGTATTTCTTCTCGGAGCTCAAGAATTTAAGCCCAAAGGGTTCGCGAATCAAACGCAAGATTGAGGCCGGAGGTACTTGGAGCGAAGCCTTCTCCAAAAAGGTTTACGACGAGACGACTGGAAACCCTATCGGGCGAAAAAGGAATTTGCGGTACGAGAACGAAGGGTGTGAGCACCACGGCAAGTGGCTGTTAGAAGAATATAGTCTTGTTGATCAAGAGACACAAAAGATTGTGCTATGCCGACTTAAAAAGAACAACAGGGTTTGGAACAAAATAAATAATTCAAGTCAAGAATTGAAGGAGAAACCCTCAAACAAGAAGGCAAGAAAAGGATTGGGATCACCAAGGACCAAGATTGAGGATGAGGAACCACACAGAACTTCTGGCCCAAGTAGCGTCTACAATAATCTTGATCAAGAGTTGATAATCGATACTAATTATAATGCGATTTCGAATAATATTTGTGGTGATAATCAAGATAACATGTTGATGACCAGTGACTTTGCGTCTGATCCGGTATGCTTCGACTATGGTGGTCTGACAGATGAAGAATATGTTTTTGACATCAATGAATTGTTGGCAACAGTAGAGCCACAACCATTGTCATTGGAGTTGCCTCAGATGGCTGAAACCCTAGAGCCTTTGCTAAGTTCTGGGCTTGGTGATGATAGGGCGGTGGAAGCTTGGAACTCAAGTGGTTTGGAGAATATATATGCAACCAACAAAAAGACATCACATATTGGTTCAACAGTGAGAAAATATTTTGAAAATTTGTAATTTTTTTTTAAAGATTGTGAATTTTCCTTTCTTAGTACACTAGAGGCACATTGTAATTTCCTTCTTGGTATATATGATAGTTTTTTTTTAAGGTTAAAAGTCACTTTTGGTCCATGTAGTTTGGCACTTCAACCACTTTTGACCTAGTAGTTTCAATTCCGTCAATTTTGACCATATAGTTTTGTATTTGTAGCAATTCAATGACAAGTCAATATTCCTGTCAATTTCTTTGACGGTGCAAGGGGCAATTTCGTCAACCCAAAAATCCTTGAGTATAAAAGCTCGTCTGAAACTCCCCTAATTTCATATTAGGGCTTGAAATTGGTCATTTGAGTTTAAGATTCTTCAAAAATTAGGATTAGTGATTGACTTTCGAGCCCTAATATGAAATGGAATGAATTTCAGACAAGCTTTTACGTTCAAGAGTTTTGGGTTGACAAAATTGCCCCTTGCATCGTGAAAAAAATTGACAAAAATACTAACATATCCTTGAATTGCTACAAATACGAAACTACAATAACAAAATTGACGAAATTGATACGGGATTCATATGGCTGGATGGTTCTGGCTGGTGGCAAGGGAGATTTGCGGGGGGGTTCGGTGTTGGCGATAGAGGCTGAGGCCATTCGGGAGGCATTGCTGGTCTGTGTACAAGGAGGATTCTCTAAACTTGAGGTTGAATCTGACTCCTTACAAATTATCCGAATGCTTTGTGGAAAGTGGAAAGTTGATTTTGCTGTTGAATCCATTATTTTTTACATAAAGCGCCTGGTGGCGCAATGTCAACATTGTATCTTTCTGTTTACTCCTCGCCTTTGTAACAAGGCAGCGCATAAAATTGCGGCCTTTGTGCTCAGAGTTGGCGGCATCCATACTTAGGATGATTTATGGCCTGAGTGGATCTTTGATACTCTTGCTATCACGTAAACCTTTCTATTCGTCTTTAATAAATTCTCTCTTTTTGTAAATAAAAAAAAAAAAAAAAAAAAAAAAAAAAAAAAAATAAAATCAGATCAAAAAATGATGAAGTGCCAAACTACATAACCAAAAGTGACTTTTGGCCTTTTTTAAATTTCATATTCTTCTTTAATTCATATAGTTTCTTCGGTATATATGATAGTTTTATATTATTTTTTAATCAAAGAAAGAAGTTGAGATAATAAATGTAATTGGATAAGGAGGAAGAATACAAAAGGCAACTTTTGAAATTAAAACTAAAGAATGGCTGACACAAGCTTAAGTTAAGTTGGCCACAACAGAAAACCAAAACGAAACAGTCGATTATAGATAATTTCAGTTTCTTGCTGCTAAAAGAAAAAAATAACAGATAATTTTTAGTTTTAATTCTCCTTATCTCTCTACTCTCTCCAATGAATTAAAAATAAATATAAATACAACAAAAAACAAAATTAAAAACACGAAACCGTATGAAACAAGGGATATGTATGTATTTGATGGAGTGTATCAGGTCATTGACAACTAAGTTAAATTACAGTTTTTTTTCTCAAGTTATATACATGCCCTACACACGGTAAGTACAAGGAGCAACTTGAGCTAAGCTGGACTTTTTCAAATAAATAATTTAGACACCTATGGTATGGTATGTAAAATGATGAATATCAACATCTGAGAAACCTGATCGACCTTCAACATTACATTCACTACACTATCCCTAACAGCTGTGACAACAAACAATGACCCGAAACACAACCTGTGGATGGTTTTACATAAACTAGTCTTCGTTACAGTTTAATTCGCTCGTTCCGGCAAAGGGATCATACTCAGTAACTATGTTAAAGAGGGTTACTCAGGATCACTCTCCGAATCTAGAAAGCTGAACTCTTTCTGTGCACCTAGCTTGATTAATACCGTTCCCTGATTCTCTTCACTCCATTTTATACCTTCATTCTCAATAAGTTTGATGACCTGTGCAAGGCAATCGGTTAGGTAATGTATCATGTATACATACGAAGATTTTGTCCCTATAAAGCTGAAGATTAAAAAAATTCAATGAAAAAAACATACATTCTTTTTTGCTAAAAAAAATTAAAACATGGAAAGGTCAAATTCACTAGCACATACAAATATGGCACCATCATGAGTAAAAAGAACATTTTATTTGCACATAAATTAACAAAGGCACCAGTTTGATCATTTTTATATGCATTTTAAAACCGTCAAGGCCTGATTTTCCAACAAATTTAATGCAATGGAGCAGCTAAACCCATACCGATTGCTTCAGCTTTGACTTTCCAACACCATGTGACCCACACCCTGTGATGACCCTGAGGAATTGAACCGCTGGACCAGGCATAGAAAAGTAATTAAACTCACAATACCTAACAATTTATCAGAGCAAATTTGTTTTAAAATGAGAAAGTGGGGTAGAAAACACTTACATTGTGCATATGTTCCGAATAGGAGATGGATTTTTAAAAGCTTCATTGCTTGTTTGACGTGTTGTCCATGCAAATCAATTGTTATCACATTTTCTATGCCCTTGTTTCTGCATATTATAACATTAAGTAGTTTGTCTACAAAGAAAAAGGTAGAGTTGAAAAAGGCAACGAATATATCATGCCAACCTAGCTTTAAAGATATCCTGGCTTGCCCTTTCATCAGCCTCTCGTGCCAACTTTGTCTGTACCTTCCCCTGGCCAAATGCAAGATAAGAGGTCAGGTAAATATCTCAACTTGATACAAAAACAAGAAAACAAAAGAACGACAACAGCTTTCCATGAGGCTTCGCCCTCTAGAAAATACAAACAAACTTAAACTGACAAATAGAGTGGGCATCCAAGGGACTTAGCCTAGGTGGTTGACTGTTAAATCATTAAGTTTGTATAATGATTTTATCCTAGACCATTGAGCAGCCTACTAGCCCTCATATAAGGAAATTGATAGGGGAAAAAACCAACGAAAGTGCAAACAGCACACTTCAGCTATTGTCAAATATTTACTAATAATTTCAATAGGAAGTCCAAACATCTATCTAACACATTGTGCCAACCACTCCTCCATCATTGACAAAAAATGACATGCATGCCTCAAAGTACATCATTATAAAACAATCTAGTGAAAGCGCACCCCTCCCAAAAAACAACCTTACATCATTATAAAAGAATCCAATGAAGCATGCCACCCAAACAACCTTACATCATTATAAAACGATCCAATGAAAGCACACCTCCCAAACAACAAACTTGCAATATTATGCTCTTAAAGAAGTACATACCTGGTCAGCGAGGTAACCTGCGTATTCCCGTGATCCTTTTGAATATGCCGTTGCAGCCTGTAGATAAATACGCTCTTGTCAGTAAGTTACTAAAATAACCAATAAAAGTAAGGTGCTAAAACCATCTTACTTTCTGATAATGTGACCTCACTGAATCCCAGTGCTCCTTTGCAGTTCCTCTGAATGCATGATACTCGTCTCCTTTAACTAAATGAAAAAGGAAACAGAAAAACATAAGAATAATTGCAACTACACTGCTACAGTTGGATAAATAACCATTCATTAAAAAGTAAACAAAAGAAGCATTAAAAAAATGAAACCTTAATTATGAGGAAATTAATCACTAATCTAAGAGGAAACAAGTCCTTCGTACAAGAGAAGATGCAATTTCAAAGGAAACATCAGGAAATCAAAGTTCAATACCAAAGGCGTCCTTCTGTGCTTCTGCAGAGCTAGAAGTGCAAACATCAAACCCGGGTGCCAATGATTGTAACTTATTTACAACATTCTTCCAATTCATGGCTGTTGGTTCATATTCAGGACTCTTGGAGATGTTAAACAAAGATTCCAACACCTTTTGAGGGAGTTCTGCTGGAGTACTTCTTGGGCTGACGGGTGATTGAGCTTCAGAACTAGCAAGAACCTTTGCATAATTCCTAAAACGAAGAAAGCAACTTTGCTTGTGAGACCAGGCTCTACACTTCTAACATTCTCACAGCGAGAATGACATTTAGCCTCAAACAAAGGGACCTAAACAAGCTTTATGCCATGACATATTTGCCTAATCTGCATAATAGCATATAAATGGTATATGAAATACTTACTACCATAAGTGGCACAAACTGAATGAATCCAGAGAGAAAAATATGTATATGTATGGTTTGAGACAAATATCAATGGTATCTTCTGGAATTACCCCAAGAGTGAAAAAACGAAAGGACTAAAACTCCAATGACTTAAGCTGCTTTACAAAAGGTTCTCCTCATAAAAAACTAACATCATATGCTATCCAAATGCATAGGCTCTTCAAGCAAGTTTTAACATAAATTTACAATGTACATCCTTGATGCAAGATGGCTAAGTGGCATAAAAAGCAGTGCTCCTAACCATCACAATCCTACACTGCCACACAACATCTAATAGATGCCATGCCAAAAGAGAAAAGGGGAAAAGAGAGAGAGAGAGAGAGAGAGAGAGAGAGAGAGAGAGAGAGAGAGAGCAAATAAAAGATTATCACTATAACTATACTGTATACTCAATATGAAATGATCAAGGATTTTATTGGGTTAAGAAAAGAAAGAAAAGAAAAATGGAAAACAGAAGCGTCGAATTAGAATAATTTACCGGCAACTATATCCGGAATACCATATATTATCCTGGAGCTCGCTTTCAGATGAATGAGAAGTGCAATCAGATGCCCTATCTGTCGGCTGTCACAAAATTCCATAATCAATATAGACAAAGCACAAAACCAACTATTATGAAATTTTAAAAAGAAAAGTATATGTAAAAAAATTTGTGGCCAACATATGTATAAAAATAATTCACAAAAAAAGTTAAATAAACTAAACTATCAATCGTTATCCTTCATAAGCCTTACAGCAAAGCCACTCACTAGGCTCTTACAGAAGACAGCATAAACATCTCAATTTCAGTAAGACAACACTCTGGAAAATGTATCAACTACATCCTACTAAATTAAGAAAGAACAAGAAAAGGGGTGGGGGATGTTTGAATTCACAATCAGATGATGTACAGACACATCTAAATAACACTATGTTAGTTATGTATATTTGACATGAGTTCAACCAACCCAAACCCTCCACAAACTCAGTCCCCTACTTGTCAAGATGTGAACAGAGGAGTCTTTATTCTAACATAGGGTAAATACAAAAGTAACTTCTGGTGAGGGACTGATAAGAAAAAATGTCTTAGCAAAAAGACAATGACAAGAAAGCCTCTAGATGGTCCTGAATAGTAAGAAACTAAAGGCAGTCATATCAACAAAACACAAACCACCAGAAGCACAAACCTACAGACTCACACCATAACAAATATGAGTGCCACCAGAAACTTGTGAAGTTAAACTCTGCATATCATCTATCAAAAAATAATGTTCAAAATAATAAAGTGACACAATACTATTGAACGAAAAATAACCAAAAGCACAACCCGACAAGTTTATACTATTATGTTTAACAACAATGCCTTGACACAAAATAAAGAGCACAAAATATAGTACTTACAGTATCAGACTGATCGATGCGATATCTACCATCTTCTTTAAAAATCAAACTACTGTTAGAACTACTACTGGACTGTTCAAACGAGGAAGAAGATACATCAAGTAATGCATCCAAGGCCTGGAGAAGCATATAAATGGTCATTAGATTATAACAGAAAACCCAGTAGGTTCAAATAGGAATTTTCTTTTAGCTCAAACAAAATTTCCATAATGCTCATGACCCCTGGCGAATGCTCCATAAATATCTTAAGCACTCAGTGAAACATGATACAAACTCTATACACGCTAGCCACAACTAACTCATCTTCAAACCGACATATGCAAGCCCTTAGAAGAGAGGAAAAAAAAATGATAAGCTCCGACTCACAATGCTCTTAGTACCTTTTCAACATCATACCCACACTGACCTGCAAAAACAAACTTCCAGGTCACGCAACAGCATACAACATATCCTATTCTACTCGACTCAACTCAACTCAAACTTACAGAACAAAATACCTTAAAAATAAAAATAAACAGTAAAAAAAATTCTACAGTGCTTCGCTTCAGTTAGTATGTAAATCATAGTTTATACAACACTACACATATTACAATTTTAATAACTTAGCTCGGAAATAAAATAAAAAATTAGTGGCTACTCACAGAGGACATCTCTAACAACAGCCAAGCTTAGCTCAGACTCATCTCCAAGCATAGAGCAAAGGAACTGCTCGGCATCTTCTTCCCCAACAGCAACTCCATTACCAAAACCCTTCAGCTTCGTCATCGTCGACCATGAACCTCTCCTAGGATTCGAGCTCACGTAATCTTTACCCAAAAAAGTTGATACCGTTCCCGCGGCCGCCACAACTCTCTTCTGCTTACCCCTAAAACCCTTCTCGCTCACCAAATTCTGAATACAGCCTGACTCGAACCCTTCTGACGAACCCGAACCCGAGCTCGAGCCCCAACTCGAACCCGCATCCGATCCAGAAACGCCACTCGTTGTGGAACTCGTGAACGGCTCTTCGGAGCTTTCAGCCACAGCTCGCTCCAAAATCTCTGCGGCTTTGTTCGAGTCACCGTTGGCTTCGCGATACGCAGAAACGGCGTCGTCGAGTGAAACCGAGGAGAAGTCCTCTGTTAGCGCGCGGATCACCTTCTGGCCTTTGTCTTCTTTGGCGACTGGCTTCGGATCTACCGAGCTCTTCTTCTTCCTTCTCCTCTTCGTGTGCTTCATCGCTGCAGATATAGCTAGGGTTTGACGTAACCAAGAGAATTGGAAATGATAATTATAATGATGAATAAAACCCTAGCGTGAGAATAGAATACGATCAGGGATGATTTTCTTTCCGAGAGGATTAGGGTTTCTGAAATAGGTCGGTGCACCGGGGGAGGATCGGATCAGAAACCCTAAATTGGAGAGGCAGAGAGGGGGCACAGATTGAGAATTAGAGAAAGGAGCTTGGCTAATTTGAGGATTTCTGAAAATAACAGGAGGAGAAGATGGTGGTGGTGATGGTTGGCGAATGGTTGACAGGGATTCATTTTTGTTTTGTTTTTTGGGGGACGACCTTTTGGAATTCTGAAGCTAAGTAAGTAAAAAGGGAAAAGGATAGGACTCAGCCATTTTATGGGATATGGGGCCCCATTTCTAACACCAGCTAGCTAACTATTGCCAAGTTTTTCACCTATCATTGTATTATTCACCGTAAATAGCAAAATAGCACTATCTCGTACATATAAGTTTTTTTACAATTATTTGCTGCTCATGACACAGCAGCCAAAACACATGGCACCGTTGATGGAAATAAACGGTCTGGTTAATTAAATTCGGAGTGTACAGAAAAACGAAGCGACCGTTGAGTTAATGACGATTTTTGATCCCCTATTGACCAAAATTTAAATTACGAAGGCTGAGACGTTCACATCCCTAATTTTAATCACAAGTTTACAACTAAGAGCATCTACAATGAAAGGGTATAAATATATACCATTTGTCGCTGGAATCATCTCTAATGGAAAGATGTAAATGGTTGTAAAAATATGATGCACATTTGCATCATGTTTTAGATGCACATTTGCATCTTTTTTTACATCCTTTACAGACGGGACCCACAAAAGAAAAAGGGAAAGAGAATGATTATAATTCAAAATGGAAGGCGTAGATTTCATGCAATTTGCACTGCACTTCCAATGCCTTAGATTTCTACATAGATATTTTTATGTTAGTTTGTAGGTAAAATCATATGTTCTCCAAATTAAAAATTTTTTAGGTCCATTTATTTGGAAAAATAAAATAAATCTAACATGCACAAAATTTAAAAAGTTAAAACATACAAACAAAAAACACACACAAAAGAATTATCGCAAACAAATCAAATATGCATCTTTGGATTTACATCGTTTCTCATTGGAGCAGAAAATGTATTTACACCCCCTGGAGGTGTAAATGAGATATAAAAGTGACTTTACACTCTCGAAAATACAACCCCCTTATTGTGGATGCTAAGAGCATCCACAATGGGGAGATGTATATAGGGGTGTATGTTAAATATACACCCCTTGTCACCGGAATCGTCTCTAATAGGGAGGTGTAAAAGAATGTAAATATACATCACCACTTTTGAGATGTAAAATAAAATGTACATTTACATCTAATTTTACATCTTTTGCAGGCGGGACCCACCCAAGAAAAGAGAAGAAAAATGAAGAAAAGTCAGCATAAAAGGCTGGGACCCGCAGCTACAGTAATTGTTGGAAAAAAAAATTCACATGTTGGGCAATTTTTTGGTTGTCCTCCCCTCCCCCCCCCCCCCCCCCCCCCACCCACGGCTAGTTTGCAACAGCCAGCAGTTTTTTATTATTATGAAGAATCAGGCCATGTTTTTTTTTTTTTTTTTTTTTTTTTTTTTTTTTTTTTTATTTATGAAGAATCAGCAACTTTATTTTTTATGAAGAATCAGGCCAAGCAGCGAACTTTTTTTTATTTATGAAGAATCATTAGCTTTTTTTTATGAAGAATCAGTAGCTTTAATAGATGTACAGCAAACGCCTTTGAATTTTCAGAAAACATGCCAACAGTAGGTCCAACGGCTAGTTGATCCAAGGCCAAGAAATATTCAGATTTTCTATATGCCCATATCTTTGTTCATAAAATCACAATTCTTCCTACTCTTAAACATTTGGCTTTTATTTATTTATTATTATTGTGCTTTCCTATCTTTAGTGATCATCAAAATGAGTGGAATTGGAGAGGGTTCAAAAAGAGCTAAATTGCCAAACTTTTCCACTGATGAATATGTTGCTCTATGTCATGCATACCTAGCAATTAGTGAAGATCCAATTATTGGAAACTCCCAACAAGCTAATGCATTTTGGGCCAGAATTCAGAAATAATTCTTTGAATTGTGCCCCTCCAATCGAACTTCTTACAGCCTCAAGTGCCGATGGAATTTCATTCGGCCATGATGTCAGAAGTATTGGGAGTGTCTCGTTGAAGCATATAGGAAAAATAAAGTGGATCCAGTGAGCTGAACAAGGTAAATCTATTTTGTTATTAAATGTTGTATTTTTGATTCACTAATTTTAAATTTATTTTATCATTTTATAGGTTCTCGTCGATTTGATCGGCGGTGTTCCATACGCAATCATACGTAAGACAGCTGTTAACTTTTGATGGGTGGACAAATCGAGATTTCCACAAGCATCTCATCGTTGTTGGAATTAAGTGTCGTAGTTCATGACTTGTTCTAGGATTCGGTTGAATAAGGAAGGCCTCATGCGAAATCTCCTCCAAAACTTATTTACATTATACACAGAAGTGGCACAAAAATAATATTTCATAATGCGCATATGGCCAGCTTCTCGTTCTCTTGGTACATACCTCATTCTTGATGACAACCCACCATGTGTTGCCTTCTCTACATTCTTTTTCTGTGATATCTCACATTCTACGAACATCTCCTCCATAATTTCCTCGTCGAAATCGGTGTCAAACAAGTGTTGGTTGCTCATTTTATTTTTTTTTGGGGGGGGGGGGGGGGGGGGGGGGGGGGGAGGGAAGAGGAAGAAGAAAGAACAGGAGAGATGCTCTTGAAGTGAAGGTAAAGATAGGTTAGATGAAGTGAACATATTTATAGAAAAATCAATGATATCTGATGTGAGAATCAAAGGGATGAGATGAAGAAAAGAGAATATGATCCAAGGGTTGAGATGAAGATAAGAGAATCCGATCCAACGGTTGAAGATGAGATCAAATTCTATCATGTCGTATCTTGAATCGTGTGAAAATCAAAAACAATAATGGATGTTGAATTATCTGAAAAAACGTGATACGATACCAACGGTTCAGATTAAATGTACTTTACGATCCAACGATTTTTTTTGGATGAAATCATATCTTCTTCGAATTTAAATATTTTTAGGTCTATTTGTTTGAAAAAATAAAAATAACTTAATATTAAAAAAAAATTAATTTTATAAAGTAAACACAAAATACAAATTTAACACAAAAACGAATTAAGACAAACAAAACAATTATACATATTAAATTTACATCCTTTCTTATTGAAGCAAAAAACGTATTTACACCCCTCGAAGGTGTAAAAGTGGCATTACACCCTTGAATTTACACCCCCCACTGTGGATGCTCTAATAGGGGTAGTTTTGGTTGCTAATGGGTAGTTGTTTTTATATATATATATACAGAGAGCTTCTGTTGAGGGATCCCTCAAATAAGTTATTTGAGAGACACCCCTTGTAGGGCTCACTCCGGATTGTATTTCACTAATCCAAACCGTCTATTTTGTATATACACATTCAAAGATCATCTCTACAAAAAATCACTTGAATCTGATATCATTTAACCATTCAACTGAGTTATTGAAATTTTAGTACTTTCTTGAAGCACCGTGTTCATTGATTTTGTAGGACACAATTGGATGTCGAAACGGTCTCCGATTTGTCTAATTTTTTGTAAGGATGATCTATGAATGAAGACCTAAAAAATAGATGGTTTGGATCATTGGAAAAAAAATTGTAGGGCACCCTAAAGGGCGTCCCTCAAATAAAATTATTTGAGAGATCCCTCAATAGAATGAGACTGTATATATATATATATAACTTTTTAATAGGATGGGCTCATGCTGCAAAATAGCCAAACCCCAAACTCGGCACAGCTTGATGGGCCGGAACTCTCATCCCAGCCCAGCCCAAAATGGTGCCCTAAAATAGCCAAACCGCCAACTCGGCACAGCTTGATGGGCCTGAACTCTCATCCCAATCCAGCCCAAAATGGTCCGAGCAAGTACCGAGAAAATAGATATTACCAAGAAGAGATTTAAATGGCTTATATTACCAAGAAAATGGCTTATATTCTAAATCATTAGAGAGAGAGAGAGAGGAGAGAGAGGAGAGAGAGAGGAGAGAGAGAGAGAGAGAGAGAGAGAGAGAGAGAGTAGATTACCAAGAAAAAATAGATATTACCAAGAAGAGAGATTACGTTTCCAAGAAAAAAGGGAGGAGAGGAGAGGAGAGAGAGAGAGAGAGAGAGAGTAGATTACCAAGAAAAAATGGATATTACCAAGAAGAGAGATTTCGTTTCCAAGAAAAAAGGGAGGAGAGAAAATAATTTTATTTTATTTTTATGAGAGAGAAATAAAATTAATGATTGTTTATTTAAAACATTAAAACTATTTGCCATGTTAGATTTAATCTCGACCATTAAAAATGGAGTAATCTAATGGCCCAAAAATTGTGTCAAAAACATAGTGCCACGGATATATATATATATATATATATAACTTTTTAATAGGATGGGCTCATGCTGCAAAATAGCCAAACCCCAAACTCGGCACAGCTTGATGGGCCGGAACTCTCATCCCAGCCCAGCCCAAAATGGTGCCGTAAAATAGCCAAACCGCCAACTCGGCACAGCTTGATGGGCCTAAACTCTCATCCCAACCCAGCCCAAAATGGTCCGAGCAGGTACCGAACCGTGCTAATACAAAACTGGGTCGGACTTGAACAAGCCATGCCCTTACTAAGCCTGAATTTGTCCATCTCAATTAACACATTCGAATCTTCGATCTTATAAGAGAGACACTTGCCAAGGAAAAACATGCAGAAACCATTGTTATTGCAACCAGAAGGATAAATTGAGCACATTTTTCTTGTCTTTTACGAATAGTGAAAACTTCTCCCTTTCAGTGAAAACATTTTTCATTTTTACTGTTCTACATTGATCTAAAGAGTAAAGATACAAGCATCTGGGATCAGAAATGTTGCAATCGCAGCCTACCCCATGCAAATAGATTTCTACATTACACATTATTTGATACACCATAAGATATGGATGGGGAGATTTGCCTGCCACACTGTCAAGATTCACGGTTTACTTTCAACGTTGACTGTTTTAATTGCCTCCTCGTAGACAGAGCCAGTTAACGATTTAGGCTGTGTTGTGTATTGACAGAGGACAACCTGCTCTGTGGATTTGGGAGGAGAACTTGGCAGATCCCATTGAGGTTCATGAGCAAGGCATTTTGTTGTCTGCTTAGCTACTCCAAGAGATGCATGAAATTGTTCATGTCCTGCCGCGTTCACAAACCTAAACTTGTCATCTTTTCTTTCACAGCAGTTAACACACTGCATTTTTCTTCTCTGCACCTCTTCCCGAGCTCCCTGGAAGATAAAAGGAGAGCGCAAACAATGAGATATTTCTAAAAGAGAACATTCTCAGTTCACTAGAAAACAATCAGTTAATAGTTACATAAAGGAGATGAAAATCCAAAACAGAATAAATTTGAGCACAAATAGAACCACATAATGAGCCTTGTGCCCTTCTTACTTAATCATAGTCACTCTATTTAGTGATGCCCTTATTCTCATGTTTCACAATAACCATTGCACTGCAACAATGTTCACAAATTTTCAGCTTGTACACAATTACCAATAGCAGAACAAAGAAGTTAGTATGGCATGTAAAATACTGTAAATGTTTTGAAGTGCTTATGAAAAAAGTTCCCTATACATCTTCCCTGTAGGACTTGTCCAGAAGAACTTTATAGCTCATGACTATTATGAGAAGTAGCATCTCGTTTACCAGAGCAAAATATTTCATGACACACACTAAAGAACATCGAGTCACATCTCCAACAGAATAACGACATGCAAGGATAAGTGTTGCATACTGCACAATACAACCTATGGATCTCCATCCATCAACTACAACTGTTAGTAAACTACAATGTTCCGAGCTACTTGAAAAACTTCTACCCATTATCCATAACTGAACATGTGATCAACACCTCTCATCTACATATAACTCAACACTCCCCAGTGCACCAAGTTGGATATCCAAATTGCACACAGGGTGATGCCTTGTTTTCAGAAATTATTATCAACTCCATATTTCAGAGCAAAATTTATCAATTCTATCATGTCAAAATACCATTAGTACCATAATCATAAATCGCATATAAGATTTCACCTATACCAAACTTTCGAGACGATAGTAGCGGCATCAAAGCTAAGCAGCCATACATCAACTAAATAAAACTAATGCAATCAGCGAGAGATTATTTGTAAGGACAAATGAGACAAACCTGTAGCAATCTGAAATCGAACTTGGGCAGTCCAATTTGCCCAACAGTCAATGACCCAAACAAGTTCCCAAGCAATGCAGCATCAGGCACAGTTAACCCATTAACAAGACCAGCAACAAACCCACCTAAGAAACTGTCTCCGGCACCCGTCGGATCAACCTGGTTCGTCGGAAACGGCCCAACTTCCACTTCCCCATCTCTCCAATACACTCTGCACCCACGCCTCCCGTTCGTCACAACAACACAGCAGAGCTTCCTCACCTCCTCAACCTCCATGAACAAGGCCTCTTCCGCCGACGCCTTTAAGAACCCAATTCGCGGCAATAGGTGGAAGAAACCACTCTCTTTCAAAGCCACATGCTTCACAGTCCCGTCGACGCCATCGAAAGCTCGGATCAGAGCCTGGATGTCCACAAACACAGTGTTGCAAATCTCAAGCAGCTTCTCCATCGTCTCGACCGTGACCTCTCCTCCGACCCCGACCGCCATTCCGAAATCAAACCCGGATTCGGGGAGATCCGAGGGCTTAATCGGGTCGCAGGAGCTGACCCGTTTCAGAACCCGGTCCTGGCGGCCGTCGCCGTCGACGCCGGAATCGAAATGCGCGTGGAACAGAGTGGTTTTGCAATTGGGTACAACAATGGGGTCACGAGGAACCGAGTAAGCGAAGTCGGAGCCGACTTTGGAGACCAGATTGTAGGGAACGGAGAGGCCATCGAAGACGTTGGAGATGAAAGAGGCTGCCCCGCCGAGAGTCTCGGCCAAAACGACGCCGTCCTTGATGAGAACGTCGTGGCAATAGTTGCCGGAGACTAGCACTCGGTGAGTGGAATTGGGTTGGTTTCGGTCTCGAACCATGTGGGGTTTGGTGGGTTGGGATTCGATTGTGTGATTTCAGGATCATGGGTGAGAAAGAAGAAGAAGAAGAAAGAAAGTTAGGGTTTGAGAGGCGCCATTGAAGAAATGAGGAGAGAGAGAGAGAGATATTTAAGAGATGACGATGGGCGCAGAATGAAGACAAAGTTGGGTTTGGGTTGGCAAATTGTACGTGCAGGTGTCGCTAGGAAGAAGACGCGCAATGCGCACCAGAATATAGAGATGATATGAGAGAGAGGGAAAGATGGAGAGGAATTGAAGCATATTTATAGTGTGCATGGATGGAGAGATCAATGGGTTGGGGGAGGAAGCTGACTGTTGTCGGTGATGGCCTCTCCTCCGTCCTTTGCTTACTTTGATTTGCGGAATTGGGACCATCGGGAATTGCCACTATGATTTGTTTATTCAAAAGTTATACTTAATAATTTCTTCTTCTCATTAGATATTAAAAATCATTACTGTCATCTTAGATTACATTCTCTTTTTGGGTCCAAGCTTGACATTATAAAGCCCAATGGCACAAAGAAGGACTCAATATACTAGGCCCAACGACACAAACGTCCCACAACACAAACGCTTCAAGAAGAACCCTAAGACATCCTACTTCAAATAGATTGGAGTACTGCCCTGGTCTCCTTTGGCAAACTTATAAATTCTGGATTTAGGAAAATACTTGCCTCCTCAGGGAGTAGGAACTCCTACTTTCCTGCTAATCACAGTTTGACATGTAAGAATGCCTCCTTTCAGGTAAGGAGTGAAGCATTGTCCTGGGATTTAGTTTACTAAATTGAACGACACGTCAATATATTGTGCCTTACAAAGGATGAGACTCATAAAGACTGATTTAGACATGATTCCAATTCCGTACACGCCAAGCCACTAAACAATGCCTAAAAGCTCTACTGAGTGTCAAAACAAGAAGAGAAAAGTCTTTGTAACAATCCAAAAGTGCAACCTCATTCTCAAGGTCACTTATATCGCGACTCTACAATCACTATTCATTACTTATTCTAACTTTGGCATCAAAAGAGTATCACTATACATTACTTATTCTAACTTTGGCACCAAAGAGTCTTTAGCTAACACGACATCGGTGTTCCTCAAATCACGGAAATCAGTCCTTTGTGCAAGATATTGAGCATAAAAGACCAGCTCAATAATCGAGCAGAATTTTACTTGGGTTCGAGCAAGAACATCATTGAGACCCTGCTAGGACAGCCATTATTAACAGGCCAAATTTAAGTATAACGGTCCTAATGAACGAGCTAACCACTTTAGGACCACCTCATGGAAGAACTCCTCCCTTCATAGGAGCTCCCGGAAAATATTCAAAAAATACATGTACTAAAGTGCTAACCAAGCAGAGCATAAAGCGGTAATCATAACAGAACATCCATCAGGTATTTGCTGCTTTTCTACAAGCTTACACAATTGGCTAATAGCTATCATCCAACGAGGGGGCTGGGAATGTGATTCCAGATCACTTACAACCCTCTGAAATGGCCTAGTGTGTCACAAATTGCACTACTTTAGAATATGATTCTTATTCAAACTCCAAACGCTACCTCTGACTCTAAAGTAAACCATTTGAGACCCGCATTAAAAAAAAAAAGAAAAAAAAAAAAAGTGGAGCACATCCTTCTCGGGCCACTCTTTAACTTCAGAGAGTTTTTCCAAGAAGATGGTGTTTTTCTTCTTCTCCTTTGGTCACTTTTTAAAACTAAAAGGTATGGCAATTTCATCTTTATTTTCGAACCTTCCAAATCAAATCTAAACATATATTTACAGGATTGATTCAATGCCCAACATTCTCATGTTGCTAACTTTAAATTTTCACAACAGAGCAGGATGGGGCATTTACTATATGATAAAACATGTCTGCTGAAAGAATGCAAACTCTAACTCCTTCCAAGTATTGGATACTAGATATTCGCAAACTTCTTTACCTCTTTTAATTGCATTTATAACATAAAAAGAGAAGGATTTGGAAGTGTCATTGCAGTAAAGTGGGGAAGCAGACACTGGAAGATGAATTGCACAAAATCTAGGTTGGTTACTTTACAGTTATAAACAAGAAAAAACAGACCGTAAGTAGTATTGAAGTTCGTACAGAGATTGCATGAAGCCTAGTTGGCCAGCTAATCAAATTGTCTTATTTACTAGATGTTGGTCAGGATGCTATACCAGGCTAATGCAGGCAACTAATGCAGCCTACCAAGCTCATCAATCAGAGCGGATGCCACCCATAAAGGTCCTCGGATCAGGGCAGCCTCCATTGAACTGCGCTTGTGAAAAGTCAAAACCAGGGTTCTGCACAGGACCAAAAAAAATAATCACAAACTATATTACCAGGAAAGTCATATAAGGGCAACTTTGGTTAAGGTTCATTTGATCTGTACAAATTCATTTCCATAAAAGAACCCTTTTCTGTTTAAGATAACTAGAATAAAACTAATTTGTAGGCCAAATGGAAGATGTCAGGAACAAATAATTACACCTAATGTAAACACCATGCCCTTTAAGATCCTGCATCAACATTTCATATTGATAGAAAATCAGAAGGCTAATTTTGAACCTCTAATTAGACAAGACTACTACTGTATATAGGGAAAATCATGCGAAAAACGTTCTCATCTCTTCCTGACAAGTAAAATGAAATATATGCGGAATCTTGGGCACAATTAACGATAAAATTGCCACATGTTAATTAAAGAAATCCTAGTAAAACCACCTAACAATATTAGTTGCACTTAGCAAGCACTATCTGTTAATCATTAGTAACAGTAAGATAATCAGCTAGCTTCACATTCAGTTCATCAATTCGAACACTAAAACATAGTTCCTTACAACGAGAATAAGATGCATAAGTCTAACTCACCTCTTCTTGAAATCTCTGAAGCATGAGGCGCTTCTGCTCAAGGTCAGTGGAGTAAGGATCTAGCTGACCCTCCCCCACTATAGGTGAAGCCCATGTCTGCCCTTTGTCCCTCTTTTGCAGTGTAATGTGCATTATATCATCCTCTACCAAAATATTTATTTTAAAAAAAATCAGCATAATTCAAATTTATGAAGAAATTTAAAAAAAAACAGAGAATATAAGGGGAAAAAGAAAACTACCTAGTGTCCAGAAAGAACAGTCTGTCTTAACTGGGCTTGTAAGATCATGCTGTACAATCCGCATACGAAACTCACCGTTTAAACCACCTATCAAAAACTTCATTTTTCGAGGAAATAAATCAAATGGAACTGAATTACTTACATTGAGGTAGGGAGGATTGCCTTTAATGCCGACTTCGACGTGCTTCGACTGGATTTTGCAAAAAAATTGCTTCGAAGGAACATTTGGGGGCAGATTTATGTACATGTTCACCTCCTCTAGGGTTTGGTCCCATTCAAACACCTTCTGACCTAAGAATTTCAATCCGCACACAAATTTCAGTCACTGCAAACCAAAATGAAAAGCAAAATCCATGAAAGGAAAGAGATTTACCATTGTGAACGAAGCTGTGGCGCTTCTCTGGAGCCAATTTCTCGGCCATTTGGGTCGCTAGGGTTTGCTTACGCTCTGCGATTTGGGACCTCTGTTCGCGCGCTTGTCTTCCTCTGTCTTTGTTTCTTGAAGCTTCTAATGCGAAAGTTGGATATTCTTAAAACTGACCCTAACATTTATGAATTTTTATGTTTATTGCCCCTTAACTTTTGTGAATGCGCACCATATCCACCATTTATTTAATGAAATTGTGAATGCACATGTATTAAGCAAATTCAGGTATTTTGTTTACATAAGACATTGGGAGTTTCGAGTTTAGAACTTGCTTCCTGCTCATCTTGCTACTACTGAGCCACCTAAAGTTTGTAGAATAAGCCTTTTCGACTCCAATGTCTGATGTACAAGGAAATAATGACCATTTGGAAAACCTTGTAATAAGGATTCTCGAGTTCTACGAACATTAGACATGTAAGGTAAAAAAGACATGAATCAAATGGAAAAAGAAAAAAAAAAGGCATAATTAACTAGCAAATTGGTTTAGTGATACTTTTCTTCCTAATGCTAGAGGATGTTCCAAGCTCGAATTCACCTCTCCATTAATTTTATTAAAAAAAATACACAATAATGACATAAATGAGATAAATAATGCGTATATAGCGACAAGTTTGTAGTTTATGATCAATTGTACCGTAATATGCATGGCATGGCACCACTAAAATACGTACAAAAGTGACCCATAAGATTAGGGTTGCTTTTCATGATATGAGTACTAATTTGATTTTGCATGGGTTAGCCAAGCCAGTTCCATTTTGGAGTGTAAAAATGAGAGAGTCCATGTCTTTGAGGAAACTTCGTCCAATATTTTCTTTTGGCCAAGAGTATCTGACCAATCAGTTTACGGGTTTTTTCTTCTTCTTTTTTGGTTTGATCAAACTTAAAAGAAATGACAACCGTTTGATTCCTTTCGAGGAAAAGGCTTGAAAATTCCACGAAAGTTCGGACTCTCTGGGTACATCACATATGTACATACTGCTGCTTCCTTTTAGCCTCTCTCTCTCATTGGACTAGTACGTTATTGCTTGCTTGCTTGCTTCCATTGAAGCACACGGCCGGAAAGATGCAGGTAGAAGCTAGCAGCTAGCTTAACCAATGACGCAAACTGAGTGGAGATGCAAAACCCGAAAGAGACAATTGGACATAATATTATTAAATAAATATATTTTGTCATCGAGTCACTGCCGCTGGCAAGTGTGGCGGGTAAAGGGTAAAGGATAGAGTAGAGAGCTTTGCATGCACTACTCTCCAAGTGTCGATAAAAGTCATGCATGTTTCCACATCAATCTGCTGCTATTTATCACTTTTACTACAAATCAGCCCCAAAGAAATATATACACAAATATAATTTTCTTCAGAATTAAAGTCTAATAACCTTTTGGTTACTCTCCTAGAGGCCCTCGGCACAAGTAGGTAGGACGGTCGTTTAAGGCCCTCAAATTGAGAGGGCCTCAATTTGTATAATACTATATATATACATACCTATATTATTTATAAATACTATATTATATAAATATTATGTTAGGCCCAAACCAATTATTGTAAATATAAAAAACTTACATAATTATTTAATTCAGAATTAAAAAGAGGAAACTCAATAAACGCCCACCCATTATTAAAAATAAAAAATAAAAAAAAAAGAAGAAAAACTTGCTCAATTACTCAATTTAAAATTAAAAAGAGGAAACTCAATAAAGATCCAATTATTTTTTAAACTTATAGTTTAAATCAATTAACCAACTGGGTCTAGCCCAAAGGAAAAAAGGCATTGACTTGCACACAAGAAGTCTCAGGTTCGAACTCCCATGACATTTTTGTTGTGTGTGTGTGAGAAAAAATCTCTCCTCTAGTTTAGACAATCGCTTGTACTAAAAAAAATCATTTAACTTAGTTGAATCAATTAGGAAATTGAAAAAGATATAGTAAAAAAACTTGATTATGTAAAGTTAATTGATACTTTTGAATCTAAAAATGCAAGATAAGTGATATTTAAATGATGTTTTGATGCTTTTTTATAAAGTTGTTGTGTAAACATATTGATTGTTTTTTTTTTAACTGTTATAATTGTGAATTTGAGTTTATATAATATATTTTTTTAACTTACTGGAAAAAAAAATCACATATATACATATAGAGTAAAAGGCCCTATTTAAGATTTTCGCCTAAGGCTTTCAGAACGTAGGACCGCCGCCTCCACTTCTAGTTGTCATCTATTGAAATTAGGAAGTTCAAACATAAAACCTTCATCTAATAAATAATGGCATCCGTCCTATGTTTACTCTTTTCATATGTAATTTGTGTCAGCTTAAATTTTTATTGCATTTCGAGTAAACAAGCGATATTGAGAGAGGAAATAGAATTTTCGAATAATTACTTTTAGTTACTTGAGCTATAAGTTCCTTCATGTATAATTTTTTTTTATTGGACCTTCATATATAGTGATACTTTTGTAACTGATACTTTTGCTCACGTTTTGGGCCTCTCCTAAATTGCTTTTGAGTTGCATTCACATGTATGTAACCCACAGGACTAATGCGAAAATCCCAAATGTAATACAAAATTGAACGGTGTCAAATCTGGTTTTATTTTATTTGTCAGGTTCAACCTTTTTTTCCTTAAAAAAATATTAAAACATTTTCATTTTAATTTTTTTTAGTACAAAGGAAAGTATGAATTAGAGGAAGGGGAATTTCACACACACACACAAATAATATCATGGGAATTCAAACTTGAGATATCTTATTTGCAAATTAAGACCCTTTTAAAATGCACATATTCATCCACATTTTCATTTTTGCCAACCAATTGTGGATGAATACGTGCATGTTTTTTGTCGCCATCCGGCTACGCGGCTTGTAACTCCACCTGCTGATTGAGTACGTGGTATCCATGCAAGAATATAGAAACAAACGTGAGAAAATTCCAGGAAGTTGCCATGCCTACCTATGTTATTTATATCCACGACCCATTTTTTATTCACAGAGAGAAAGAGAGATAGTTAGTCAAGAAACTGAAAGAGAGAGTCTGTAGCTACCATGGAAGAATCACAGAACAACATAGAGAATGGGATCATTAGTGATAATTATAAGGGATTATTAGACAATAATCACAAGGAGCAGTGGGCTAATAATATTAATGGATCAAGAACACCACCTCAAAACATGGCAGCCTCCATGGTCCGCAAGAAATCCGACCCGATACTTGTTTCCAATGTTCGCTTCCAAATGCTCAGAAGTTTGCTCAACAATTTGCAAGAGGTGGTTCTTGGCACCAAGCTTGCTCTGCTCTTCCCTGCCATTCCCCTTGCAATTGCGGCTGATTTTTATCACTTTGGAAGAGTAAGTCTCAAGCAAACTATTTTGATATTCCCTTATTTTTCTTATGATTTATTTCTTTTTTGTGTGTAAATTAATGATCATTTTCCTTAATTTGATTGTTCTTGTGCAAAATGTAGCCTTGGATTTTCGCTTTGAGCTTGCTTGGACTCACCCCTCTTGCTGAACGTGTCAGTTTCCTCACTGAGTAAGTTTTTTTTTTCTTCTAATTAATTATTATTTACCATATATATATATATATACAAACTTTTTCTAACATTGTTATTTCCTATTTTGTAAAAAAAAAACTCAGACAATTGCTTACTTCACTGGTCCAACAGGTAACAATCTCAGTAAATTATAAATTAATTAGAATGTTTAATTATTTATAATGACAATATTTTTGTGAATAATGATGATTTTGATTTAAATTTACAGTTGGAGGCCTTCTTAATGCAACATGTGGCAATGCAACAGAGATGATAATAGCATTATTTGCTCTCCGCCAAAACAAAATCGACGTGGTGAAGTACTCTCTGTTGGGTTCCATTCTCTCCAACCTCCTCCTTGTGCTTGGGACCTCTCTCCTCTGCGGGGGTTTGGCCAACCTGAAAAAAGAACAAAGATATGATAGAGTAAGCAAAAAATAATTATTTTAATTTTAATTTATTAATTTGCTGTAATTAAATTTTGTGCGGCTTGAATTGAAACAGAAACAGGCTGATGTGAATTCACTCCTGCTGCTGCTGGGGTTGCTTTGCCACATGCTGCCACTGTTGTTCAGATATGCGTCGGGGCTGAGCAATCCCTTTGCCACCAACACTCTCCAGTTGTCTAGAATAAGCAGCATTTTTATGCTTATAGCATATGTTGCCTACATCTTCTTCCAGTTGAAAACCCACCGCCAGTTTTTTGAATCACAAGAGGTAGTAGTGATCTTAGTAGCATGTTTAATCCATAATGTAAAAAACAACTTAAGTCTATATGAGTTAACAATAAAATCCATCATTATTGATATCCATTCCTTAAACAAAACAAAAAAAAGTCTTCAGTTGGACGAGGTGTACGCTTTCCTCTCACAATCATCTTACCATGTGAATGGTGTTAGGTAAATGTAAGAGCGAGGGCGTATGAAGAGAATGAACTAATTTGCTCACCACCACATTATTTGTTATTATTAGATGAATTTGATTTTTGGAATCCTAGTCATATCACATTTATATACCACATTATGTACCACATTTTTAGCAGAGGTGGACCCCATTGTATTGGTGGGCTCCATAGAGGTGATATGCAAATGCTATATGCCTAGCATTGCTCATAGACTAAATCAAATTCATTCAACGACACGACCCTTTAATGGTGAGGAGCAAATTAATCTATTCTTCCGTATATGATCATTTCATTCCAAAAATTATCAATCATCCTCACTTGCATAATGTGACTTTCACGATAGTATGGTCCTAACCCATACGAGAAAATTAGAATTAAAATTAAGAGAAGATTATGAAAGCATATTCCATATATTTCGTCTGTTTCCATAGCTTTCACATACTAGCATATATGTAATTTATGTGAGTTCCTTCCGGAACAAGGCACCAGTCCATAGACCAATCTTTTTGGGACATAAAACTAGTTTTATAAATAATGTAAAAGTCACAATTTGTAATATTGGCTAGTGATTAGCTTGTTTCAATGCCAATGAACAGGGAGATGAAGATGAAGAAGAAGAAAAACCAGTGATAGGATTTTGGAGTGCATTCAGTTGGCTGGTTGGTATGACAATTATCATAGCTCTGTTGTCTGAGTATGTTGTGGGAACAATTGAGGTATACATTAGATAGGCCTGATCATTATACTAATTTTTGTTTAAAATTCCTTGATGGTGACTTTTCAAGCATAAATTATTGCATCAATTAGTACCTAATTATATACATTTTGCCTCAATTAGGCTGCATCAAATTCTTGGGGCATTTCTGTGACCTTCATCAGCATTATTTTGCTACCAATTGTGGGGAATGCTGCAGAACATGCTGGATCAATCATCTTTGCTCTCAAGAACAAGTTGGTATGTTACAGCAACAAAAATACTCTAATTTCCCTTTTAGATATTACATAACATTGGTCTGAAATCTGATTGTCCCATCTCTGATTTTTATGCAGGACATATCTTTGGGTGTTGCTTTAGGTTCTGCATCTCAAATTTCCATGTTTGTGGTAAGATTTAAAGTATACCAAGTCACATAACAGAGAAAATATTTGCTTCGAATTCTCTTGTAAGAAAAACCAATTGCCTATCTTCTTCTTTTTTCAGGTCCCTGTAAGTGTGATTGTTGCCTGGATAATGGGTGTCCAAATGGATCTTGATTTCAATCTCCTTGAAACTGGTTCTCTTGCTTTCACTAATAATTATCACAGCCTTCACATTGCAGGTTTTCTCCCTATTTTTTTTTTTTTTTTTTTTTTTTTTTTTTTTTTTTTCTTCCTTCTTCTGTTATTGTCCAGGATGGAACTTCACATTATCTGAAAGGGGTCATTCTTTTCCTTTGCTACATTATTATTGCTGCTTGCTTTTTTGTTGACAAAATTCCCATGAGTAAGTTTCTACCCTAAATTTATAAAGGTACTAATTAAGAAGAACCAACCTTAAGCTTGTGATTAATTATGTTATACTAATTAAGGACATTATGGATTTTGATGACAGATGAAACAACTGTGGGCAATTTGGGAACTGTACTTGAGCCATCCTCAGGAGTCTCGGTTGCTTGATTAGCTTGGCATCCCAAAATAAAAGTTGAGATCTGTTAAGCATCCATTTTGGTTAAGAGTTGAGATGGGGTGTGTTCTTCTCAAGAAGCAAGGACTCTTGGAAATGAATGGAAGTTCCCCTCTGAAGATGTTTGCTTCATTTTGGTTAAACTGGTGGCAAATTGGCAAGTGTTTTTATATTCAATATTTGACTTTTCTCCCTGTGACTAGAAAACATGTATTTGATATTTAAGCAAATATGTGGGTGAAGCAGAGGGAAATGCAGCTATGTCTTCTTTTGGTGGCAATAATATCATGGAAATAAACAACTCTAGATTGGAGTTCAACTTTGCCTTTTTAAATAAATGCTATGAAATGTCACAGGTTTGACAAACTGTCACTATATAATTTACCATTGCAACATATGTGAGGAAATTATTCACATTACTTCTTTTTTGTTAGAATTTAGGAGGTGTGATGTGTGTTGCTTTGATACCACTTGTTGGTTTTAAGTGATGAAGGGATTTAGGACAATAGACAATAGTTGAAATAAAGTAATTTTATTACATTGGAGGAGAATAGTACATAGTTAGCTTGGTGTAGGCTAATTGGCCTCCTTCTTAACTTATTGGCTTATTGACTTATTCGCCACCACACTTAATTTAGATTAGTTTGGGCTATTTGGCCCTAGCTTGAGCTCTTGTCTTCAAGCTTCTACCATAGGTTGGGTAGCTCACCTGTAGTTTCCCCGTGGATTGGGAGTTGTTGTGGTTAACTCCCACCAACTTTAGTTGATTAGCTAGATAGCTAGCTAGTTTAGGTTGCTAGCTTACTAGCTTAGATTTGGGTAGCTTCTTTGCTCCCACAAAGATTGAGAGTTCTATTAGTTGACTCCACACAAAGCCAACCGGCTATACGACCGTATAGGGCCTCCAAAGCGACCGCATGGGGCCTCCTAAATATAGGAGCCTCCAAATTTTTTGCTGCCCAACTATTCCAATTACAAAATAAAATAAAAAGTGTCATTCCGTTTTTTTTTTTTTTTTTTTTTTTTTTTTTTTTTTTTGCTTTTTGGTCGAAAATTTTCTCCTCTGCCATCTCTTTTTTTTCTTTTTCGAGCTATCTACCTTTTCTCTCAAGAACCATTGAAGGTGCATCTCTTCTTCTTTCTTTCTATTTCTATTTCCATTTTTCCCCTCTCATCTGGATGGTAGTTCAAAATATTTGAACTGGCAATTGTTCTCTCTTTTTTTTCTGTAGGTTAGTTAAAGTCAAATGTTGAAACCACAGTTCATAAAAATAAAAAATAAAAAAAGGTTTTTTTTAGTACATTGATACGGGGGAGGGGGAGTTTTTATTCGATGTTGTTGAAAGTTTCAAATCAAGTTATACTGTTTGTTTTTTGTTCTCATTTATGTTGGGTTGCCAAATTAGGACCTCAACATCTTTCTTTACACAGAACCTCTAAAATCAATGGACCAACTCTAACTCCACATCGTTTGGGAGTTCTTTTTGTTGACTCCACATTTCATTGTAGGTTGCATGCCTATTTATAGATGATTGTTTGCCGACTTAGCCTTGGTCCATCGACTTGGGCACTTTCTCCCAACCACATGTTTGTAGTCATGCTCTATAGATTTCTTCCACCGCCATACTTTAGCCCTTTTCTAGAATATTCTACCATATTCATTTTGTTTTGCCGCCACGCAACTTTTTTATCGTGAACTCTTGACTTTTCTAGAACTTTGTAAAACAAATGAGCATTAGTTTTTCAACATTCACTACAAAAAAAGATGGCAACAGTTACTATTTTGGTAACTCTCAAATAAATGTGGGGGTTACTAAAGGCTTTAGTTACTGAAAAAAGCGAAAAATGTGACTAAAGCCTTTTTAGTCACTAAAAAAGTCAAAAAATGTGACTAAAGCCTTTAGTAACCCCCATAACAGTCATCAAAATTGGTAACAAAATGGTGACTGTTGCCTTTTTTTTTTGTAGTGATTTTCCCCCACTAATTTTGTGGATTTTCTAACTTTGCTACAATAAATATGTCATGTTAAAATGTGTGTATTTGTGAAAAGCCCTTAAAAGAAAGTTTGGAGATTGCTTCCCAACAAAGGACAGAAACCCTGAAGGACTGCTATTTTATGTCTTTATGTTTCCAAACTACCATTCTAGTTGCATTTTATCAAAAATACTTATTCCTAGCACCAGACATTTATTTATTTATTTCTTCTGTTTTCAGGCAAGGGGCTTAGCTCAAGGACTCAAGGACTCAAGGGTAGGCCTTCAATGATCAATGATCAATAATCAATGATTATTTAAAGAAGGGCAAGCGTGAAAGTCAAACTTTTGTCGTGACTGTGAAGCGTGTGAGTTCACTACCAAAATAAAGTGGTTAGGCCCGCATTGATGGCCAAACTTAGATATCACAAAACCACTCAATATTATATTTTAGAAACTAAATGTAACCACAAAGCCAGCAATATAACGGCAAGGGTCGCATTCTGCCGGCTGACTTGCCCATGTAATAGGCTTTGACGCCGCAATGAATTGGCATCTTGTAATGGATCTAACATAAGCCAAAAGATAAACAATATAAATAGCCACCAGCCATCAAAAGGAAGCCATTTAAATAAAGATGTTGCTCATCTTCATTACAAACAACTAGCATGCATCTTATTATAATTCAATTATTTTCTGTCGTAAAATGCAAGCTTGAAATTGTGCCAGAAATCCTCAAAAGCAGGGGATTTATACTTCTAGTTGTTGATTTTAACCAAGCACTAGACCTTTTCAAAAACAGTGAGGTCAAAGTTCTACCCAAGAAAAGTTCTAGCATATAATAAGACTTCCAAACTCAAACTTGAGGCAGAGCTTCCATTTCTGTGTTAATGGCAGCTGAAGAAACCAAAAGACCAGAGGCAGCTGGCATTGAACATGTTGCAGCCATTTTCGGTGTTACAGGGCTAGTTGGGAAGGTGCTGGCCAAAGAGCTAATCTCAAAATCCAAATGGAAGGTTTATGGTATAGCTCGAAATCCGATGATCATATCGAATCAGCAATGTTCAAATTTCCATTTTATCCAATGTGATTTGCTAAACCCTTTGGAAACCCAGCAAAGGCTCTCATTGTTACAAGATGTGACTCATGTGTTTTGGGTCACTTGGGCAAGCCAATACCAGTTAGATAGCATTGAGTGTTGTGAGCAAAACAAGGCCATGATGTCCAATGTCTTGAATGCCATCATCCCCATGGCCAAGGCATTGAAGCATGTTTCTCTTCAGACAGGGATGAAGCATTATGTGTCATTGCAGGGGCCCTTCGATGAAGCAGAAGCTCGGTACTACAATGAGAATGGCCCGAGAGTGAATGCAGGCTGCAATTTTTACTATGTGCTGGAAGACTTGCTCAAGGAGAGGCTGGATGGTAAGATAGCTTGGTCTGTACACAGGCCTGGTTTGTTAATTGGTAATTCTTCTAGGACTTTGTACAACTTTATGGGTAGTTTATGTGTTTATGGAGCCATTTGTAAGCATTTGAGTCTTCCCTTTGTGTTTGGAGGGACAAAGAAGTGTTGGGAAGAGACCTGCATTGACGGCTCAGATGCAAGACTAGTAGCTGAACAACACATTTGGGCAGCGACCAATGATGATTTAAATGTGCAATCCACCGATGGCCAGTCATTCAATGCAATCAATGGTCCAAGTTTCACATGGAAGGAGATCTGGACAGCACTTGCAGAAAAGTTTGGACTAGAAGTAGTACCCAAAAATGCATTTTCGGAGGACTTCTGGTATTCAAAAGCAATGGCTGACAAGAAAGAAGTTTGGAAAGAAATTGTTGCAAAGGAAGGGCTGATGAAAACTGAGATGGAAGATTTGGCCAATTGGGCATTCTTGGATGTCTTGTTTCGTTGTCCGTTTAAGCTATTGGGAACCCGAAACAAAGTTGATCAGCTTGGTTTTACTGTAAGGTATAAAACACTGGATTCAATCTTGTATTGGATAGATTGTATGAGAGATGAAAAATTAATACCTCAAAAGCATATGCTTTTGATGCATTGTGGCTGAATGCGTGGAGCACCACAAACTTTTCCTTCAAGAAAAATGAAACTGGTGGAAGGCTGTACCTATGCATGTTCGTTTGTTGACTGCCTATTTCTTGTTTCCTTATTTTATGATCATACAGGTTGTTTTGGGGAAATTGAATAATACAGATGCGTTGTTTTCTTCATAAGTGTCTCCTCTTTTTACTCATCTTGTCTTTGGGGTATTTGGTCAGCCAAAACTTCGCCTAGTTCCATGCCCCAGCCTCACTGTGACCGCACAAGTAAAGGGGGCCTGCACTGGCCTAAGTTTTATATTTTCAACATGTCCTTAAAAAAATTATATGACAACCGGTCTAACCCAGTGAAAAAGGACATTGACTTGTAGAAAGGAGGTCTAAGTTTTGAACCTCCATGACATCTTAGTTGTGTGTGCGAGAAATCTCATTTCCCTTTAGTTTAGACTATCTCTTGTACTAAAAAATAAAAATAAAAAATATAGAATTTGAAGTATGTGCTCACCATAATTTTAGTATATTTGACATGTGTCATATTTGTATAGGCTAAGGGGGTAGGCATGTCTCAGTCTTGACTTTTGCCTTTGTTTATACAGTTGACTAATCTAGGCAGTCTGTATAGAATACCTTCCTAAGATATGAAAATGGAGCAGAGCATATTCTATTGGCTTACATGCTTTTAGTATATTTGTCACATGTCTTATTTGTGTGCTGATTGCACATAAGAGCACTTCTATCCATTTGCCATGACAAAGGATAAGGACAAGGGCAAGGCAATGACTGTTACTATTCATATGAATAGTGTCAGCCCTTGCAAAGGCAAAGTGTGTTTCCACTTATTGCCATGGCAAAGGGCAATTATTATTCACTTCCAATTATTTTTATTTTTTTTATACATAAATGATTAATTTTGATAGGGTTTAGGGTTTTGGTGTGGGAAGTAAAGAATATGATTAGGTGTTTATAGAAATTTAAAAAAATTCTGAATTTTTTGGTCTTTTTTTTCTTTCTTTTTTTTCAAATTTTCAAATATTTTAATTGACTGATGATGTCAGCATTATGTCACTACCCAGGCAGCAGCACGGGTTGGATTTGCCTATGAGCTTGCTCGGTTTGTTGGGACCCATTGTTTGCTCGAGTTGCTTTGACTAGCTAGAATCGCAATTTGGGGCTCAGACCCCTTTTTGCCCAGGCCAACCTCCAGTGCTGGAAGTGCTCTAATTAGGCTACGACTTAGGTTAACTCTTTTTATTTTGGTAGATAGACATATAGACAACTGGTTTTTATTTGTCGTTTTTATATAGTTGACTAACTCATGCCTCCAAACCCTTGCTTATGTTTCAAAACTATGTAAGTTATCTCTCAAACAATAACCTACCCTGCCAATGATGGTTGGTTGAGTTGGTAAGGAATATTCTCTTTGTTAGCAAGGCCTAGATTCGAGTCCAACTGTCGACAATCCCTTTTTGTGGTAATTTATAAAAACCAAAACAAAGGTTAAGGTCCTGTAAGTCCTCAAAGAGGCTTTGATATGCTCTGGCCCTAGGATAAGGTAGCCTCCCCTCCTCCTAAACATTTTTTTATAAATAAATTTATTTAAAAATTATTATTATTATTATTTAAATAAATATTTATATAAAATTTAAATAAATAATAAATTTTAAAAAAAACCAACCAATACCCGAAATGCTTAACCGTACGTTAAACAAATGCGAGGCCGCTTAAGCCATAAGCATAGCAGAAAATATAAGCAGATAATCCTTGAGAGATGAAGAACAAGACAGCAAATCAGTTATATCGTCTTTTTCTTCCTTATTAAACTATATGGAAAGCCAATGGATAGCAGAATGTACAACTGACTGTAAATCTATACCATACTGCTAAAGTTCAATTGTTAGAGCTAAGGGGAAAACTGTAACTATCCTCAAGAATTCTAGTAATGATAAGGGGAAAACTGTAATGTTTCTGACCAGTGCATGACATTGTGAAAAAAGAAAAAACAGGTTTTTATTTCAGCAGATTGAAGAGCCTCCTCCGCCACTTGAGCTTTGATTTCTGCCAAAACTTTGACATGGACTTTAGTCTCTTTCTCGCGACATAGATGGACCGCTCTTTCAAGATTGTATGATGCGGGAAGGTCATGAAGTTGATATAAACCAAACCTCCGCTCATCTTTTCTGAAAGTTGAGCAGTTTGACTGAAAAGGCAAAGACACCAAAGAAAAGGATGCAAAAGCCAACAAGCACAGCCGCTGAAACTCCAATCATCCCAGGACCATAGCCAAGACTGACTTCCAAATACTCCTTCACAGTGCCCTGAAATGTACCTTCCATCTTGGTCTCCACATCACCAAGTTGCGAGGTGATAATACCTCGAAGTGTCCATGCAACAGGGCAGATGTAGTAAAACCAAATCCACCATCCTGGGATATGCTGAAATGAATTTTGTAGAAAAACCAAAGGTTGGTTAACAAGTGGGGAAAAGAAAAAATAGGTTTTCTTTTTTTAAACAAAGGTACGAAAAATCAGACAACTTACTGGCTTTGGGACGAGAAACCCGGAGAGGAGGTTCCACAAAGAATAGAAAGCAGAAGAAATGACAGCGGCCAGGTGTGGAGAAGGTGTGAGACCAACAGCCGCCATACCATAGAAGGTAAAGTAGGTGAATGTGAGGAACATGAACACAATATAGAGCAAAAATTTTCCTGCAACAGAAAATGTAATTTGAATTTTGAGTTGAAGTTTTCACTCACAGACTAAGAAAATAGTATCAGGTTATCATCTATTCCTTATCTTTTCCTTTTCGTCTTCTCTTCATTTTATAGATGAGAAACAGCATTGTAGGTAAGTCAGTCCTGCCTACGGAGTCTCTGTAGCTGTACTTGTTGGCTTTTACATCATTTTCTTTGGTGTCTTTGCCCTTGTTGCTCAACATTCAGAAAAGATGAGTGGATGGTTGGGTTACGTCAACTTCAAAACCTTCCACTCCAGATTGTATGATGCGGGAAGGTCATGAAGTTGATATAAACCAACCGTCCAGTCATCTTTTCAGAAAGTTGAGCAATTTGACTGAAAAGGCAAAGACACCAAAGAGAAGGAAGCAAAAGCCAACCAGCATAGCTGCTGAAACTCCAATCCCTAGGCCATAGCCAAGACTGACTTCCACTCGTTCAGCGAATCCTCAAGTGTACAAGGTGTACAAGAATGTCTACAAACTTTTGCCGCAAAATATATTTTTAAGAGTCTTTTTAGAGAATAATGGAGAAGAAATGTAGGGAAAACTTGTTGGAATTGGATATGAAAATCTGCAGACGTTCCTACTCTATTTATAGAGATTCCTGCTCTCATAGATGAAAATTATCTTGTTGTAAGCAATAAAGTGTGAGCTAAACCAACCACTTATATAGAAAACCTAATCAAACCAAACTAAAAAGGAAAGATGATTACACCTTAGCCCAAGCTATCTTCATAGTGTTGCCATGAATAGAAATAGGAGGCATTGGCTTAGGCTATATTGGTATGAACCGGGAAAACAACCCTTTCTTGGTGAACTCTTTAAAACCTTAAGACCATATGATTTATCTTACATTAACCAGTTCATGGAGCTGGAACACATGAGAAGAGAGAGAAAAATATTACTGTAATATCCCAGGATTTGTTCTTCCAAGATTTTCTTTAAGTAAATTCTATGAACAATCCATAGGCATTGATTGTATTCTGTGCAATAATTTTGGGGCAGTTGAAGCAATATGAAAAGGAAAAATGGATGCTCAGCAAGCAACCTATAAAATCTACATGCTTCTTAAATTCTGGCCAGAGATATTATGTATAAGGTAAACCTATATCTAGCTTTAAAATGGTACTCTTCATCACACCCTAGTTCAACAAAGAAAGAACAGAACATTAATGATATTATCACGGTTAAGGAAGAAATCAATTTGAAATAACACAAAGTGTATCAAAAGGAAACATTAGAAATCTTACGAAGTGTCCTTTCGAAGTTAACCATGAAGTAAGTGATGACGCCATATACTATTGTCTGTACAGCAATGTATGGGATCTCTACAACGCCCTGCATGTCGAGAAGGCAAAGAAGTTATTTATATCACCTGTTCTTTCCTTAAATGCGCTTTGCTAATGTTTCCAGTATAATGGCACTTACCTGGGCTGATGCATAAGCTAATGGAGAATACATTCCGGCTGCTTTCTCTCGATAGAACACTGTCCTCTCAATTGAAACAATTGGTTGCACTGAAGAAGCATTATTGACCCCAAGAAACAAGCAAGCAGAATAAAGAGCTCCCATAACCATCATTAGTGCTTGAGCAGAGTCCCTATGGAATATTTATAGATTCAATTGTTCATAACTTTGTTAAGAAAATTGCAATAAAGGGGGGAAAATTATTGACGTCATGTTACCATTGTCATATATGTGACATGTAAAGTTAAAAATCTAGGAATTCTTATTTCTTTGACTTTTGTCAAATCATGAATACTATAATAGGCTCATCATCTGGTCTTCCTCAACTTCAACACTCATATATTTTTATAAAGATTGCTACTACCAAGTACTTCCCAAGGGATCCATATCGAAGAATTTGCCTCCCCAAAATGTTAACAATGCTCTTAAGATCTAGGATCTATCCTTGAATGACATTCATCATTCCCAGCTAATTATTCCATCAAGTCTGCTTTGATGTAGAAACTTCAAAACTATGAGATATACCAAACATCCAACTCAACAGCCCGGTGAATAATATGCGATTACAGTAAAATGAGCTCACAGTCAAACAAATTTCAAAACTTACTATAACAGATATGATATGTACCTTTTTTTACCAATGTCCCAAAATGCCGAGCCAAATATCAATGCACTGATTGTCGTAAAGATTAACCTCATCGAATTATATTGTGGACTTCTCCAATATACAAGATTTTGTTTCCATAAGCAGATCCAAAACTGAGACAGCGTGTTTTGAGAAAACTTGGAAGCAAACTTTAATGGTTCTGAGTCAGCTGGGGGAGTACTAAATTGCTTGATGGACTCTTCCACTTCCCTGAAACAAGGAGGTAAAGACATTTATTAAACACTACTAATAACAAAATAATTGTAAGAATCAGTTCCCATTAAAGTTATTAACAATAATGAATAAAGAACTAGACAGAACCAGCAGAGGTCTTGGTCAGACTACAAGCACAACATGAAACTAAAGTACCTGTATTGCTCTGAATTTCTGTAAATGTTAGCGAAGTCATCACCAATTCTCTCTTCACAAGCAGGTGTAGTAACCTCAAGCATCCACGTTGCTGGATTGTACCCGCTGGGAATTGGAGTTATTCCACTAAGTCCCTGCACACACAAAAGAATCATGAGGGAAAACTTGTCTTACGCAGACAATACAGTAGATTATTCCACTTTGACACAATATCGAGTGGACCAATTAAATTGAGGATTAAGTAATACACATAGGTTTTTACAATGTTACCTGAAAATAGTTTATCATTGTCTGTGAGTGCAAACCAAGCTTTCCTCCATATATAACTTGCCCCCCTCGTTTCATAAGAAGAAGCTGTACATAAAATCATTTTCAGAATTATAAGAAGATAGCGCATCATAGTTGGTTTTCATATGTGCTTTCTTTCTGCTGTAAGACAAGGATCTAACTAACCGCATCAAATGCCTCAAATATATCAATACTTGGCTGATGTATAGTACAGACCACTGTTCTTCCTGTATCAACAGTATTACGAACAGTCCGCATCACAATGGCTGCTGCCCGTGCATCAAGTCCAGATGTAGGTTCATCCATAAAGATAATTGAAGGATTTGCAACAAGCTCCACAGCAATTGTTAAGCGTTTTCTTTGCTCTGTTGATAAGCCAGAACTGCCTGGTAAACCAACCAAAGCGTGCCTTAGAGTATTAAGCTCTACTAATCTCATTACTTCTTCAACAAATTCCTGCAATGAAAAGTAGTAAAATTATGCCCAAAATAAAGAATTCGGGAAAAACAAAACAGATATAAACATATAAAGTCGTATGCAGAAACTCACATGTCTTTTCTCTTTGCTGACTTCCTTTGGAAGGCGAAGAGCAGAAGAAAACCATAGAGATTCCTCAACTGTAACTTGAGGAGAATGTATGTCATTTTGCTCAACATATCCTGATATCCTGGCAAAAGTGCTTTGCTCTTTTGGGTAACCAGATATCTTTATATCTCCTTCTATGTATCCACCAGTTTTCCTACCAGCAAGGACGTCCATCAAAGTGGTTTTGCCAGCTCCACTCGACCCAACTAAAGCAGTAAGAACACCTGGTGAGAATACTCCGCTCACACTTGACAAGAGTTGCAACCTATCTTCCGGTATACCTTGCGACTTCATTTCCTAAAAATCTCACAAAGATGTCAGTTTGCATTCATATATATATATATATATATATATATATATATGTATATATAACTGAAGGAAATCAAAAGCACTAAGGCAACAGACCTTTGGCATGTCAACAAAGTAATTGACATTATGGAAAGTCATTGTTAATGGCTGAAATGGTAAGATCATTCCCTTTTTTGGGCTGTTATCTCCGGCTAATGTTGGATCTGATTCTTTGTTACCGTCCACTGCATAATCATATTGATTTATTAAGGATATTTCTGCGGTATTTTAATTAATACAAGCCAACTGGAGCCTCTAAATATATAGTGGATCACTTATGCAAATTTTGGTGAGTACTGACCATCTGCAGGAGGGCTCCCTTCTGTGTCGTCAACGAGAATCACTGTCTGGGCTTTCCTAAGTGCTGTGAAAAAGAAGAACACAGCGATGAAATACAAATAAATATGAAGAGAGAAAGAAACTAATTACTTGAAATGTATTAAATGGACACATAAACACAACTTTTTTTCAAACTTACGATTTAGGTATAGCAAGGCCATAGTCACAAGGCCATTGAAAAGCACTGCATAAAGCAATAAAACAGCAACTCCAATCCAATAATAATAATCACCACTTGGTAAGCTGTGTGATTGGAGAACATTGTGCCCAATAGTGTTATCACCAATGGCAGATTTCTGCAGAGTAACAGTTTCCAGAACCAGTAGAATTAATGCATATGGTCCCGAACAAAATAAGGTACTAATGGATATTTTTATTATTTGGTGAATTATTTGTTAATCTATCCATAAGTCTGAAGTGCATACCTTCATCCACCTTGTAGCAGAAAATTCATTGACGGAAATAGCACGTTGCCCATAAGATAGTGGTGATACCCAAAAGCCCCAAACCCACCATGGCTTAATGCTTGCTGAAGAAGAAAATAAACAAGCAAATTACCAAACCTAACCTTTTAGTTTAAATTCTAATTCGAACAAGTTAAATCAATAATAACTAATGTCCTAATCATAAAGAAGATTTAATACCTTTCGGAATGATGAATCCACCCAACAAAAATATAATTAGTAGTGCAGCTGATCCGAATGTATTGGCAATGACCATATCCCTTGTAATAGCTGCCATCATCCGAAAGAGACCCAAAGCCATTTGGTGCACTGAGAATAGTAAAAGCATGAAACGGAAAAACCTGAACATTGACAGAAAATAATGAGTATAGGAATAATTGTAAGAACATCTTCGAGCATATAAGTAAACTGAGGATACCTCCCAGCAGCTGGAGCAAAACCAACAGTGTAGTATACAACACAAGACCATACAACAGCTTCAATAACAGAGTATGGAACACGCAGAAGCCAACTAACTATAGACCATGCCCACGCAGGATGAAAGAAATTGTCCCTTTGCTTGTAAAAGACTGGAAGCCGCGATATCATGAGAGACAGCTCAGAAAATCCATTAAACATCATGTGCACCAACCCAAAAAACAAGCAAGAAAGATAAAGTTCGCCGTTTCCCTCATCTGTTGGGTGTAGTCTCGATCGCGGAAACATTGTGCAAGTGACAAATCCAACAAATGCAACCTTTAACAGATATGAGATATAGAAAACTATGTTAAGAACAATTTATAATGGAAATGAAAATATGAAATTGCAAATAACACTTTATATATGCCTTTTAGAGAGAGTTATATATCAAGTCAAGTCCCTATTGGAACAAAACATCTTAAATTCCAACAAATATATGACTTAGCATGTAGACAAGCAACGATATTTCTGATCAATAATTTGTAGACAAGAAAAAAGGACAGAAGTAACAGAGTAAAGCATACCTGGCATGTCCTAAATATGTAAAGAAACCTATGCCTGCTGATCAATAATATTTCTCGTGAAAAGCATGCTTTACAAAGCTCCCATCTTGTGACTGCATATTTTGATTTTGACAAAGCTGTAGGATGACTGCTAGACTTATCAAATGGATCAGAAAGCTTAGACTCCACACTCCTTCCAAATTTGGAATTTTTAAAGGCTTCAGCAATTTGTGGAACAGAAAGGTACACGTAGGGTTTTGATTTATCAGCCCAGTACTGAGATTGATCCTTTCTAGAAGTCACCTGGAAATAAAAAAGTTATATCAATGCAAGCAGTTAAAAAAAAAAATTGAAATCATCAAAGTGTTGTTACAGGTACATATACCTCTTGAAGAAAATCTGCAACTCCCTTGCGTGGGGGTAGACGAAAGCCTAATGACTCGAAGAATTCCAATACTTGGGCTTGAGGGCCCTGATAAACCACATGCCCTTCTGACAACAGCACCAGATCATCAAACAGTTCAAATGTCTCAGGTGCAGGCTGAAGAAGAGCCATTAGTATAGTAGCATCCATTAGATGAACAAAATTCCGAAGGCATTTTACAATTTGGAATGTAGTAGAACTATCAAGTCCAGTAGAAATTTCATCCATAAATAGGGCTTTTCTTGGGCCAACAGCCATTTCTCCTGCAAATACATAGCAGAGTTTTTATAATTGATGAAGGGATGTTACATAGGCAACCCAAATCAGTCCAGAGTTTCTATAATTGCAATTAAAACATGTGAATAAAACTCAAGAAGGCCTCAAGCATTTATTGGTTCTTATGAAGGGAAAAAAAAAAGAGCTTTTTGATCTTGGATTTAATTAGTTAGCAATTCTCCAGGAAAGTAGTCCAATAAAATAAAATCTATCCATCCGAAGAACACTCTAGAGTTTTGGAATTTGCAACATAACTAAGCATAACACTAGATGACAATGGCATGACATGCACTCAAATGGATTAATATCTTTACAAAACATTAGCATATGCAGTTGAATGAGTACTTTCATATTCATTATATAAATATTTATATATATATATATATATATATATATAGAGAGAGAGAGAGAGAGGAGAGAGAGAGAGAGAGAGAGAGACCTGTGGTAACTCTTTTCTTTTGTCCACCTGATACGCCTCTTAGCATGTCGTTTCCAACAATTGTCTCTGAACATACATCAAGACCAAGCACTTTCAAAACATAATCCGTTGAAACACTGTGCTTTTTACCGCCAACAGATGATGCCTGTATGTTCAAATTCATTACAAGAACAAATCAGAAAAATAAAAGAAAACCTTGGGTATGCAAGCTAAAACATTTACAAAATCCGAGATTGAATTTTTTTCCTTTTTTCCTGGGGTACAATAACAACCTTCATATATGCATCAATTTCTGGATCTGGCCTTATGCCCCTTTCCTTCTCTGCCCGTTCCAAATCTTTCATGTATGCTACAAGCAAAAACAATAGAGCAAAACAGGGGAAGAATACAGTTAGCTCTCAAATACTATTCGTACTTGATTACAATACTTCAAAACTATTGCTAAATTTAAAAATATCCACATAATACATGCAATGTTACGAAATTCAAATTAATGTGAACAAACCTCCAAAACCTTCGCTTGCACCTTGACATCTAGCTGCAAAGTCCAAGGTTTCTCTTACAGTCAGCTCTGCAATGTGATTATCTGTTTGGCTGATGTAAGCAGAAGTTCTTTGAACGCAAAACTCGTTCATCTTGTGGCCATTGTAGGTAATGCTACCAGTTTTCTGAAAAAACAAAAAAATTTGCCAAAAAGTTAAGAAGGTGTGCGTTCTTAGAAACATACTGGGTTAACAAACGCAAAGGGTAAGTATTAACATCTTATTTGTTTGTTCAACTTAAGGTTGTAAAATGTCCTTACGATCAATCAACACAGATAAAATGTCTTTTCAAAATTTAGCTGACAATTCTTTGAAACATAAAAGATTATTGTGTGTATCTGATATAGCACGTCGCATATCCGGAGACATGGTGCTCCCGTCTTTGTCAAGTACTCAAATCCAAAAGATTTTGTTTGTAAAATATGACATAATATTAAAATTACATTTTCTCAGAAATTAATAATACTGTACTCTTATTTAAGAGAATGCTCTTTGTCAACCACATTGTCAATTATTTCCTTATTTACATAACATTAGTGACAACTGTAATAAACAATCAATTAAGAAAAATAAAATAAAATAAAATTTTCACATCTACTTCCAATCCGACATATCAATTAAGAAACAACTGAGTAATAAAATGATATGTCATAGTTGAAAAATGCGAAGTTTACAGAAACTTCTCGTGATAACTTGTGATATTCACCGAAAAATGAAAGGAAAAAAATCACCAACTACTGACCTTTAAGTTGGGGTCAAGTTTCCCTGCAAGAGCCAAAAGCAAAGTGGATTTTCCAGAACCTGGAGGCCCTAACAGCAATGTCATCCTAGAAAAGTAAAAAAAGAAGACGTATTAAATAAAGTGAACCTGTATGCTGATTATGGTTATATCACAACAACACGTGAAAGTAATGAATTTCTGTCACACGGCACCAATCGAACTAGGCATATACACATGTAGCTCGGTGTAAAAAAGTAATTTAAATTTACATTTGCATCCATAATAGGTAATTTTATCTATCAATAATAAATAATCAGTATGTTTAATACAAAATTAACTTCCAAATTAATTAATGAAAGTAGTTCCAATATATTATGACATAAAACCCATAATAATTCATACCTTCTTGGTTTGATAACGCCGCTAACGTCGTTCAAAATGATTAAAGAGTGTCGTTTGGGTCGAAATATCCTCAAACCAGTCAAAACATTCTGCGTCCAAACACATAGCAATGTAAATACTTTGCAATGCAAAAATAGGATAAATCAAACCTTTTTAGCGAAGAAAAGATTAAGGAAATTAATTGATTAATTAATTACACACCTCTAACAAATTACGAGTAAAATTAATGAGAGTAGGCAAAGCTCTTGATCCAGTTTGAACATTTGCCACGACTTTCAGGTTCTCAAACTGCACTTCAACCTTTGGGACTTCCAATCCGACTCTTTAATTTAAGATAACAAAGAAGAAGAAAAAAAAAACAAACAAAATTAGTAACCATATCAAGAAAGATTCCGCAACCAAAAAAAAAAAAATATATATATATATATATGTATGATGCATATATGAAGAAAAAAAAAATATGTATGATATATGCATATGAGCAGGAAATGTTATCAATAATTTCATATCGAGTGGGTCATTTTAAGAAGTGCACGTAATATGGGCCCCACTAACAACTACTTATTAATTACAGTCCTAGAAATCCCAATCACTTAATTATGGTCCAGTAAATTCCAAACACTTTACATGCATGCAAGGCCCGGTCATGACAGAATTGCAAATGCATTGTATATGTATATATATGTTGATAAAAATCACATGCATGCAACAACATCAACAAAATTCATCACTTGCATAAATATCTTTTATGCAATCTAAAAGTAGTAAAAAATAATTATTATTATGTTTTCTAAAAATTAATTGAGCTAATAAAGAGATCAAAGAACAAACATCAAATGCGCAGAGAGATCGAGAGCGAGAGAGAGAAAATGGGCGTACGTACTTATCAAGGCGCTCTTTAATGGCGGAGAGCAAAAGAAAGTTATCCTGATCGGTGGTGGCCAAAGCCTTCTTGACGACGAGCTCGCGATTCGTCCGATCGAGCTTCCGCACGTCGACCGTCTCCGTCTTAGCGCCGCCATGCCTATCGGAGCCCTTCTTCCTCAGCAGCGCCATGTTCGATCGCTTCTGCGACGGCAGTCTCGCGATCGCCGCCCACATCAGCTCGTCCTCATCCTCTGCCACCGACTCCGCGTTCGACGGCCGAGCGAATGACTCGCTCCCCGCCTCTATCTCGAAGAACTCGCTGCCGTTCGATGCGGCCGCCATTGCCACACCTCCGATGCGTATCGACCGTTCTTTCTCTCTCTCTCTCTCTCTCTCCTCTCTCTCTCTCTCTCTCTCTCTCTCTCTCTCTTCTCTGTAAACGAACTTTTGATTTTTGTGTGAGTTTGCTTGGTGGAGTTAAGCAGGAAGGGAAGGCTAACAGACTCTCAGAAAAAAGAGGAGCATAGCAGGTGGCATATACCGGCACAAATATGAGCTCTGGGGGCTTTATGGTCATTTTCACTCTAATTTTTGGGCCTTTAGCCCCGCGAATTTTGAAGACTGTGTATTTCCGGTTTTGCCCTCTGCATTTTGGTATTTTTTCGGCTTTTGCTCCGGAAGAAAGTATGAATTGGTTGCAAAATTTCTGGGGTATGATGGGTCTTTCCTCTTCAATTAATTTTTGGGTTCTTAAGACAAGGCCATGCAACTATTATATTCTCTTTTAAAACATTCAAGAAAAAACCCAAATTTAAATTTTTTGCCGTATCAGATAATATATATCCTGAAATTATATACAAGAAACTCACATTAATCTATATATATAAAGCAAAAGGCAAAGAATTGTGAAATATTCAAAATACCAGAAAATGTCATTGGTTAATTCAAACATTAAAAATTGAAATTATTAATTAAATGAGGATAATATAGTAAATTCACACTTTTTCATATTTAAAAAAATAAAATAAAAAACAAAATCAGATAATAAGTCATACTTTTATGGAACATAACTACCCATGTTATCTTTTCTTAATTCTAAAAATAAAGAAAAAAGAAAAAAGAAAACCAATTGACACATGTATGAGCATGTGCCAAGGGGCTAGTTACAATTAAAAAATTTGTTCTAGAAACTCATGTTAATTACAATTAAATTTTGTTCTAGAAATTCATGTTAATTACAATTAGAAACATATCCTAATTTCTAGCATACTAATAATTCCACTTCTTTTTTTTGGCTGTTCATTCCTCTAATATTGTACCTACAAATTTATTAACTTAATAAGGTGGAATGAAATCATTTTCCTCAATTTTAGGAATTAAGTTTCCACCAATCCAAATCTTAATTAATTCAAATTATCCTTCTAAAGCCTTTCCATGTGTACAGGTGACATTTACCCACAGTATACCTACGAATTTACTCACCTTTAAAGGACGACAATTTACCTATCTTGTATATACCCCATACCGGATGAGTAAATTATTTTTACAATATACCTATAAATGTGCTAGTTTTAATATATCTACAATATGATTATAGGTACATTATTATTTGTAACCTACAAATATATAAAATATGGGTAGTATTTCGTAATAGGTAAATTACGAGTTATATTATTGCATAATATGAAATTATTTGAATAATAAGAAACTTTATACTAGGTAAATTTTTTTATTTTTTTGGTTACAAGGAGGAGGTAAATTTTTTTTTCATAAAAAAAACAATAAATGGATTATTAAATTACTTTCATAAAACAAGTAATAGGTACATTAATTTTCCAAAACCAATACAGTCGATACATACCAGGTTTTTTTTGTTTTATTATCTTTTTGCCTTTTTCAAGTACATTAGTTTTCCAGAACCAATATTATAGGTACATTATTATTCACAAAAATATAATAATGTATACATTAATCTATTAGATACCTTTTTAAAAGCAAATCCCTAAGCCAATCTAAATTTGATATGCTCTGGATTTGGGATGGGATAGCCTCATACAAATTTAAAAAAATGATTAAAAGAAGAAAAAACGTGACTTTTAAATTTGATTAAAAAGTGAAAAAATTTACCCAAGCAAATCCCTAAATTTAACAAAAATGCTAGGCTTACCACATTTTTCATACCACAATTGTACTACCTCTCTAATAGAGGTGGGCCCTATTGTATTGGTGGGCTCCACCTCTATTAGAGAGGTGGTACAATTGTGGTATGAAAAATGTGATAAGCTTAGCATTACTCTAAATTTAAAGCACCATTTGAACTTAATGAAATGGACATTAATGGCAATTAAGTTGCAATGAATGGACACAAAGACAACTCAAACTTTAAGTGGGGCTATTATAGGGATATGAAAAGTATAATAAATCAGATTTTAAGCTAGATTAGGTAACTTGTTGAGTTGTATCCTAGTCATAGGATTTTATATATAAAAATTGGGTTTTCCTTATAGAAAGAAAAAAAAAGGGTGATGGATTACAGGTAAGGAAAAATTAATTTAAAGGGAAAAAATTTTTTTTTTTTTTTTTTGAGTGCTTGGTGTTTGGTGGGGTAATTTCTGGAAATAAGAATATGAAACCAATGAAAATAATGAATTGGACACTTGATAATTTCTATAAGAGTGCTGCTATTTTCACCCACCTGTCCTATTTTCTCATCAACTATCTTCAAAATTTTAAAGACTAATTTACCCCTTTATAAAATGACTTCTAAGGACTTAAGGAAAAACTCTCAACACACCTTTAACCTCCGCAACCTACAACGTCTTATCAATGTTCTCATGTGCTTTCAGGAAAAAAAAAGGTGTAGTATCCAATATTCAAACAAACCCAATAAATGAACAAATGCTCAAAATTGTGAAAGAAATTCAAAATCCCAATATTTCCTGAGAGATCCACTGTTTGGTCACTAAGAAATTAAGATTTTTTAAAAAAAATTCAAGAAGCTCTAAGACCCATATTTGGTTCTATTAAGAAAAGTAAAGGCCAAGTCAAACTCAAAGTGAACCAAAACTATTGGTTCCATATTCTTGTTGAAGAAGATTTTATGGCGACCCAAACAGGAAGTTAGGAGAAGACCACATGGGTAGGACGCATAGAGGTTTCAAGTGAGGAGAGGCGGTGGTCAAAGGAGCTGAGAATGGAGACGACGTTGTTAGTGATGGTTTGGCTCTTTTGCAGTCCATCTTCTTCTTCCTCCTCCTTCCTTCTTCTTCTGCGTTGTTGTGTGAGAATTGGAGAGAGAGGGATTGAATTTAATTGCATTATTAATTAATTAAAGGGTATTTTAGGAATAATGGTGGGTAGAAAGATAAGATTATGTTTTTTCAAATTTACATGAATAGCAGCACTCTTTCTATAAATAAGAATATTAAACCAATCAAACAAGTTTTTATTTTGTTAATTACAACCTATACAATTCATGTTCACCAAGATTTGCACAAGAAAGAAAGTTTTTCAAATTGCGGGTAAATGCGAGAACCCTAAATGTAGAAGTTCGGGATTCATTTTTCAAATTGTACTACTTCTAGTAATTTCAAATATATGCAAATGAAGGTTTTCATTATTATTATTATTTTATTTTAAGAAAGAGAATTCATTTATAAAACCAAAGACGTAAAAAGAGCGACATGATATAGTAACCTCGTTAAAACCTTCCTAGGACAATCTCATGGGACAAACTCCAAGGGAGAAAAAAGTACCACACATGTTATGGACTAACGAGAGAGTCTAATTCATGTCACTTTGGACCATTACAATAAAAGAACAAATCAAAAATGAAAATTAACACAAAAACCTTCGATGAGAACTGCAACTGGAGACCAACACAATAGACCCACATAAGAAGATTGCAGAAACCCCAAATATTAAACCCACATGAGAGGACAACAGAACATCCCAACTGTCAACATAAGCCTTCTATGAACAAAATCACAGTCTTTTGACACCCACACAAACTATAAGGCATATGATAGCAGAAAGTATGAGAGAACGAGGAGGGGGAACACAGAAATAACAGTAAAAGGACCCATGTGAAGCACTACACTTTAACTCAGAACCTGACAAAGAAAACCTCCTATGACCAAGCATAATTCGTTGGTCGGCGCAGAGTAGAGAAGAGCATCACATCCCAACAACTACTATCAGCATCGCTACTACCACGCCCGTTAAAATAAAGACAAAACATCAGCCATTAGGAATCACAACTCTCCCGAGAAGAGACCCAATCCAACGTCACTACTATTGCCGCTACCGAGACAAAGACAATATCAATCACCTAGAACACTACAAAAACAACCAAACAAAACAAACAGACAAACAGATCTAAACTATATGGGGAGGGGAAAGGAAAGAGATAAAGGAAAAGAGGAAGGGACAATATGGGAGAAAAAGAAGGGAAGATGAGGAGAGGAATGGGAAGATGTGCGGAGGGACGGAGGGACGGAGGGGAGGAGGGGCAGTGGCCACCTCCCTCCCTTAACTTCCTTGTGATCGATTGTCGGCAAGGAGAAAGGTGACTAGGGTGTGGCTAGGATTTTTTTGCCAATTGTTCGATTATCATGTATTTTTGCAAATGTAGTTGTTTATGTAGTAAATTTAGCATTTGAAATCCCCCCACCCAAATGATGCATTAAACCAATCAAAATAATAAATTTTGACAAGTTATGATTTGATTAAATACAAGCGTATACATGTTATTTCAAGCATCTTTTTTGCCGGGGGGGGCGCGGTGTCAAAGTTAGGAACGGGGAAGGGAGAAAACTCACACACATATTCATAGGGACTTAAAATCCAAAATCACTTTGAGAACACACCAAAAATCTCAATCAATCCAACACACACCTCATTATGTCATATTTTTCTACTAAGAATGAAAACTACATATATTACACGTCAAGATTTGACTTTCGTCTTTCTCCCCTACATATGTTAATTCAAAATGTGGTTTTTCTTTTTCATTAACATCAACTAGAACTCTATGATATTATTGAAGATGATAATATCTTAGATAAATGCATGATAAATAGTAAATTTAATTACAAGGGCATTCTATTGTTTATTTTGTATTTTTCTTTTTAGGAAGATGAGGAAAACTCACACATGTACCATGGGAGTTCAAACTCAGTACCACTTGGGATCAAACCAAAAGCATTGGTCAATCCAACTTACACTCCATTGTTCTAAAACAGTATTTTTGAACATCATCAACATAGTCATTTTCATTTTTTAAAACTGAAGGTATCTTATCATTTTTGCATTTTTTTTTAATGCTTTCATTGGGTACCACCAATAAGTAGAAAGCAAGAGTTAAAAAGCAAATGGAAATTTTTGCAGCATTTTTAAAGCTAAACCATCAATATACACACCACCGGTCAAGAGATTACCCTTTCTTTCTATTTGAAGAAAAACCAGCCAATTTAGCAGTTCTTGTTTTGCTTGCCACAATGCAAAAGGATCTAGCGCAGCAACAAAATACAACAATATATATTGTAGGTCCTCCCGAAAGAAAACATCTTGTATGGGACATGTCCTACGGCCCCCTCTCACAGTAAGGTGAGACCCGCAAACATGGTCCACCTGACCGTGAGAGAGGGTCGCATAAGACCTTCATGGACAAAAGAACTCTCAGAGTCATTCACCTTCTAACGTGTTTACAAAAGCAGTGAGATGTTAAAACACTAGTAATGCTATGTCGACGAAACACTAGGGGGGTGAACACGTTGGTATATCTGTACAGGCTTGGTGGATGAAAAACCTCAACACCACCTCAAAAAAAAAATTTCTGCACCATTAGATATCAGACTACGTTCTTGTGAGATCAGCGTTTAACCTTAATAGTATATTGACTTGATTTCAAAGCAGATTTTTTGGACTTTAAATTCTTGCCCTTGGGGCAGAACTTGTCATCATCAGAATCATCACTTCCGTCCCCAAGCTTCCGGTTCCGCTTCTTCTCAGCTCCAGCACAAATAACAATCTTCCCTTCATCCTTCTGTTCCACCGGCTCGCACTTCTCCTTCGGCTTCCAAATGAAAAGTGACCTGAACAAGTAACATGGTTACTGTAGGGAATTCCAAGTTTGGTAATCTACATTTTAACAGAAACTAATTTCCTATACGACCATAAAAGAAAGATCCTTGGTTGTTAAACTGAACAAACTCCAAGTTATATTAGTGACGAGCGTAACAGTGCTCAGACCTTGAACTACCAGATGCCAAAACATCATCACGCGGATGTAGCTTATTCACTGGACTGATTGTAGTGATGTTTGGATCCATGACCTCAGCAACTAGTTGTCCTGTGCTGACGTCTATAAAATCAATGGGATGCAAGGCAGCTCCGTCATAGTTCTCACTTATATAACGACCAATAACTGCAAGGGACTCTGACGAGTCCTGAACCGAAAGGCATATTAGATCTCCAAAACATGAAACAAAAGAACTTAGGGCAAAAGAAAAATAATTCAAGCCGAAATATGCACCCTTGGATCCCATTCAGCTTTGAAAGCAGTCAGATGGCGATTAAAGTCATGACTGTGTACAATCTCTCGGCTTGGTGAATCCATATTGCCAAATATGGAGTCCCATATACGAAGACGGTTGTCCTGTGAAGTGCTAAGAATTTTGCTGCCAGATACTGGAGAAAAATATGCAGAGTTAACAACACGGCTGTGCGAAAGGTCATAAATGGAAGAACCAGCTTCGATTCGACGAATGTCCCATATTCGAGCCTAAGGAGTAGAAACCATGTCACTTTAAGTCTTACATATTTTACCATATGGGAGAAAACAGACAGGAAACGCATGTATTTAGGCTGAAGAGAAAGCCAGACAACCAAGCAGACCATAATTAATTCAATCAACAAGCTTACAAAGTGATCATTTCCGCAACTCAGGAGAAGGTCTGGTTGAACAGGATTGCAGTGGAGTCCAACAACTTTGCTACCTTTCTTATGGATCAAAATTGGCTTCCCAGTTGGGTCATTTGAGCGAGTATCAACCCTAACCATAAAATAAATCAATAACCAAACAATATATCAACCAACCCCCAGAAGAAAGCAAAGGAAGCACCTCATATCTTACCAAATGATCTATGGAACGAATATAACTATTATGGTTGCTGGACCAAAAACTACAACTTCAGACAGAGGATAGGGAAAGAATGGAAACACATGTTAAACGATGGATCGCTGTACCAACGAACTAAACAGTTCATTGGTTGCTTTCTCTTTATTATGTGATTGTATATCTCTTTATCTTAATTAAGAACATAAGATAAACAAAAACAGTACTTACAAGTACAGAAAACCGAAGTTATCAGCAACAAGCACAGCACCTTTTTCTGCATTGATATCCATGCCATAAAGCATCCTCCAGCTGTTTTTCCCCTACAGGCAGATCACATATATAACTCATTCTACCAAATTAAATTGAAAAAATTGATGCAAAAATAAGTTAGTCTTCCTCCTATGTTCACCAAACACAAGCTAGACCTCAATATTTTCTATTATCCTTGTAGTCTGTATAAGAAAACTAAGCTGTTGCAATACTGATAATAATAAAAATAATGATATTACTCCTACTACTACTCCTAAATAATAATAATTATAATTATAATTATAATAACGATAATAACAATAATAACAATAATAATAGCAAATACTAGTATCAACATTTGTACATGTACAAGAAATTTATCCAATTGAGCAATAGACTCAACAATCATCAAATATCAACCTCGAAGTAACAAACAATTAGCCCAAAAGAAAACATTTACATATGGGCATGATCATTGCAGCTAAGGTAGTTAAGCACTAAGATGAACATTGGTACAACAAACTTTTCAAATCAGGCAACAGACACAAGGATATGACAATTCGAGAAAAAACAAAGTTATGTATGTATATCGAAACTATTAACTACGGTAGGCATCCTTCAAACTTTTTTGGATTTCAAAAAACACCAGGTTATTGAAGCTCAGACGCTCCTCCTTGACGTACATCATTAACAGCAAGAAAAGAGTAAAAATGATTACCTGCCATCCATCAGGGTTAAGGTTCATCAGAGATACTGAAATTCCAGTCTCCAAATCAGTGCAACTAATAGTTCCATCTGAGGATGCAGCATAGACTGTATCATCACTTGCAGGTTTAAACCTGCAAGAAGTTTAATGCAGAAATTTTTGAATAAGTAAACAATAAAATCAACATAAATTAGTATATGCATGTGCATGCAAACAGATATTCTACATTTACAAATGTGCATATATAAATTCATATCCAGGTAGAGAACTCACTTCATGTTGTTGAGTATACATGAGTGTACATTTCCATAAACAATCTTTTCGTGTACTTTGACAAAATCCCAGACTCCAAGTTGCCCTTTCTTTACAACAAAGCAAGAGGAAGGACAGAGAGATAGAGGGAAGGAGTGCCAGGGTTAACCATCATCAACCAATCACTCTTGAGTAAAATAAACCTAAATCAAGTCACAATGAAAACTATATGCGAGACTTACCTTATCCCCAGATAAAAGAATGTTATTTTTTGTTGGATGGAACTCCAAGCTAGTTACCCGTCTACTGTGATATCTGATAACCGCACAACTTACTTGATCTGGGATTACATATGCTGGCTTGATCTATCAGAAGAAAATAGAAACTATAACAAATATACCAATGGAAACAGAGAATGTCCAAAACAAGACGGTATAGTATCCCAGAAATAAAATATATACAAATCAATGGTAGAACTTTATGAGGATCCAACAAAATTACTCATCTTGGAATTTAATCTCTAAATGCATAAATTTTATACACAGAAACAATGCCAAGAAACCAGGAAAATAGGGCAATACAGAGATAACAACCACTTCAAGTTGCAAGAAAAAGTTAAATATACTAAGGAGGGAAGGGGGGAGATCATCAAATTTCAATAACCAAGCACCAAAATCGAATAATTGACTATAGTGTTAAATTATACAAACTTTGCCATACAATTAGTTTCCATGAAAACAAATGCAAAAACATAATATCACCAAAACATTACATGCTCACTTGCGTTTGATTCACATGATAGTAATAATTTCGCTAGTGAAACCAATAAGAAAGCACCAAGAGTTCCTTGTCATGGATTCAACCGTGCTAGTAACACCAATTGCATTTAGAGACAAGCAGTATCCAACAAAATTAAAACTACACAGTTTCCGGATCATATCCATATGCTGCAACTATAAAACCAATAAAATCTCAGCTAACACAAAACACAAGCAGATAGTTGACTTGAGGCTTACTGGAGGAACACGAGGTCTAATCTGGCGTTCAAACATATACTCCAACGCGTTCCGGGTACTTTTATGGGGTGCTGGGACGACCCCATACTCAGTAGCCACTCGGTGTGGGCATGCCACTGTAGTGTGGCCTTTTAATTCCCACACAAACCCAAATTCAAAGAAATTCTTCACTCAAAGAATTAAAGGGAAAAAAAAAAAAAAAAAAAAAAAAAAAAAAAAAAAAAAAAAGACCAGCAATAAAGTAACAAATTTCTAGCAGTTATTACCAGGCATTTTACAAAGAAAGCAAGGTTTCATTGGGCAATCAATGTAAGTAGCCCCTTTGAAACCAGCTTCATGTCCAGGCTTTTTGCACACCTACATGAACCACCAAAAAAAAATCAAAACAAACCCAAAACCCCAAAACCCAATACGGAAGTAGAAAATGTTAAAGGACCTTACTTTGCAAACTTTCTTCAGACTAATCGTAATGGGTGCTTTCCCTTTCTTCTTTTCATCCAAAGCCTCTTCGACTTTCCCTTCATTTTCGCTCTCCAACACCTCCTCTTCCTCTTGTTCTACGCCTGCTTCGTCTTCTTCGGATGAGCTTTGCTCAGAGTCTGTTTCTCTCTCAATGACCACCTTCGGGAACGCCATTCTTCTAGTTTGTGGGGGCATTTTCGGAAGTTAAGGATACTGGGGTGGAAAAAAGGGGACCAGAGGAACAAGCACTGGAACAGAGTGTATTGAGAGAGAGAGAGAGAGAGAGAGAGAGAGAAGCTGAGGGCGAAGCGAAGGGACAGAAGCCGACCTTTAACTTCGATAGACGGGAGAGAGTTGAATTTACCAAAGTATCCTCCATATTTTGATACTGGCGTCTCTAGTTTTGAAAGCTTTTACACTTCGGAACAGACACAACCAGGGAGGAGAATGATATGGAAATTGTATTAAAATATAAGGGTATATCCGAACTTACAGAATTAGAGCGTGGCGGGAGAATACGTGTCTCACTATCTGCCGCTTGGTTTGTTCGCACGTGTACTGTCATGTCACACGAATGCCCGAAAAGGTCGAAATAAAAGGGGGAACAAATTGACAAGAGAGGACAAGGGGATTGAGAGACTGTCGTTTTCCATGTTTTGTCAAACTATTTTTTGGATGAGATTTGTCAACTATTTTTGTGTTTGGAAATAATAAGATTTTCCCCCGAATCTAATTTCTCGATTCAAAATTATCATACACCAAATTAAGGTATTCATAAACTAATTTCAAGCTTCCCTATATCAAATTTTAGTCTTCCAGTATTAGAGCATCCACAATGATACTCTCTATTTCTTAGCTAAAATTTAGCTAAAAATTTAAGAAAGCTATTTTAGGAGCTCTCTAAAAAATTTCAACTTCAACCATACTCCCTAATTTGGAGAGTCATAAATGCTATAACTCTTTTTTGATTGGTCCATCTCTATTAAAAAATAAAATAAAAAATAGTTAGCATTAAGGTTTGAAATACTCATTAAATAAAGCAGTATTAAATTATAGGGAGTCACTAGGAGTCCTTTCTCTCTCCTCAGATTTAGGAGCTCCTAGAGGACTCCCTATTTTAGGAGGTGGATAGGGAGCATGGTTGGAGTTTTATTTTTATGATTCCTCCATAAAATTTGTCTAAGGAGATGGTTTAGGGAGCCCATTGTGGATGCTCTTAGGACACATGGTTTGATACAAGTTATGATTATGAAGTAAGAGTAAGTGATTCAATATTAATTGTACTGAGGCTTTCTGAGTTACATATAAATGGGAAAATTGGGCCTTATATAATGTATTGAATTTTTATGTTTAAATTTAAGATAATATCAATATTAATTTGGACTTAACAGTGAATTTCGCTAATTTGTTTAACCGCATGTTCTAAAGTGCCAACGGGGTCTAGGTAAGTGGAAAAGGATCTTAACTTGCAGTCATTGATCTCAAGTTCAAACCCGCATGACATCTTTGTGGTGTGTGTGTGAGAAATTCCTCTTCCCTTAGGCTCCATTTGGTTTATGGGAAATGATGCTTGGGGATGGGAAATCAATTGTTTTCCCATGGTTGGTAAGTCCAAACATGGGAAATGGTTGCTTGGCAGATGGGAAAGTAGGGAGAAATCCTCCTCCATTGGATATTGTTTTCCTCCTCATGGGAAAGTTTGGGAAAATGAGCCAATATTAAATGCACATTTTTCATGACAATTTTATCCATATTAACAATTTAGAATTACAATATAGCATTAAATGCATTCTTTTGTTATTTGATTTCATATGGGTATAATTGGAAATGAAATATGTGAAATGAAATAAAGTGGTATTTCCTGGTTACTTTCCCACGATTACCAAACATGATAAATGAATCTTCTATTTTCCATCATTTGAGAAAGACATGAAAAGTTATTTCCCATCAAATCTTTTCTACGAGCCAAACGAGGCCTTATAGTTTAGATTATCACTTGTGTTCAAAACCACATGTTTTAAGGTTGAACTTTAGCATAAATGAGTGCCCAATCAAATTTGAGTTAGGTTGATTTACAAAATTCAAAACTACAACCAAACAAAATCATTCCGATATGATTCGATTTTTAATTGTTTAACTTTGTTTGTAATTTAAATGGGGTTAATTTCAATTTAGTACCTCAGGCATTCACTCTTAAGACATGTTTGCCCATGCACTCTCAATTTTAACAATTATGTATCATAATCTTATTAATTTTTAGCAATTTGATTCCAGCGTTAACTTCACCAGCAAAATTTTGGTTAATCGCCTACATGACAGGCTTGTGTCCCACCTATTTGTTTATTTCAATGTCAATTGAAGGGTATTTTCATGCAATTGATGTCAAATGAGTTCGGTGGGATTTTTTTGTGTCATATGGGTTTGGGCAGGAAGACATCAATTGTCCGAAAATACCTTTCAAATGGCATCAAAAGAAGTGAATAGGCAAAACTAGGCCTATCATGACTCGTGTAGCCAATTCATGAAAATTTTGATGGTTAAATTAATGGTGAAATCAAATTGCAAAAAATTAATAATATTAAAGTACATAATTGTTAAAATTGAGAGTGCAATAACAAACATATTGAAAATTCAAGGTACTAAATTGAAATGAACCCTTTAATACTGAATCAAACCGCCCACTCAAATCAGTCTGTTAGATTGGTTCGGATGGATTGATCCACCTACAGGTTTGGATTGATCCACCTACAGGTTTGTGTCACACCAAATATTTTCGATTTATAGTGTCAATTTCAAATGTGCCTGCCATGTCTTTGTGGTAGTCATATAATATTGGCTCCAATTATGGCTTTTGAATATGTGCACAAGTAGGAGTGGGCATCTTATTCGAATTATCTGCATACCAACCGTACAGTATCGACGATTTGGTGTACTTTGGTTAAATAATTATTTTTTAATTTTAATTATTCTGGTTCGATTCATACCAAAATGTTTGGTTTGGTTAACGGAAACAAAATTCCTAACTCGACAGAAACTCGTACCGATCTGATATTTATATTTATTTTATTATTTAAATACAAAAAAAGAAACCAAAGGTAAATACAATCAGCATTTTGTATCACTCATTTATCACTACTGTATCACTTCTTTCTCACTATTGTATCACTGCTTTATCACAATTTTATCATTACTTTATTACCACTGTATCACTTCTTTATCACCATTGTATCACTTACTCGGGTACTGTAACACTTTTTGGTCAGAGAGGAATTTATGAATTTCCTATGTTTTCCAGTTTCGACCTTTGTCCCATTTTTTTACCTATAACTTTCTAACTGTTGATCCAAATTTTATGGTCTTTATATGATTGAATTCAACATGAAAAACTAAAGAACTCAATGCATAACAAATGTCAAAATCATTTACATAAATCTAGAGAATTCAATAAAAAGAACACTCAAAGGTTCAAACAACAAACACAAGTGGCTCATAATACATCTTGAGTACATATTGAATGATATAGTAATTAAATTATTTGATTTCATACTTGAATGAATTAGACTATTTGATTTTTATATTTTACAAGGATAATTTGGTGTATTTGTTCAAAAACTTATATTATGTGAAAGTATTATAAATTGTATTTTTATTAGTATATTTTTATTATGGTGCTATCAGTGTACCGGTCAATCCAAACTGAATATTAGCTTAACCAATCCGAAGTCTACCAAAGTATTTGATTTGGTTAACAGAAGAGAAAATGGTCTACCAAAGTCTTTGGTTTAGTTAATGGAAGAGGCTTATACCGTTTCGAACCGATCTGTGCCCGGACCCATGCACGAGTGTCTCTAAGGCCTGAACGGTCAAAGCCACTGCGGCGCCGACCTACATAGCCGAAGCAGCAGCAGCAGGGCAAGAACTTCACAGTTTAAATCAAATCCCTAACCCAGATAATGCTTTCCCTACGCTTCCCTATTTCATTCGAGAATGCTCTGATCACTCCCTTCAAACCCAGACCCTCGCGCTTCCAAACACCCATAGTCCAATCACTTCCACGCCGCTCAAGCTCATTCTCTCTTCCTCGCGCAACCACAGCTGGCGTGGTTCTCAAGGAAGAGGACAGAGAGTTATCAAATAACCGATTTGCCCCTCGAGGAGACTTCCCGCCAGACGGCGAGCCTTTGCCCGCCGGTCTCCAGCGAGAGCTGATGCCGAGACACGTGGCGGTGATCATGGACGGTAACGTGAGGTGGGAGAGGCGGAGAGGGTTGCCGGCTGGGTCGGGTCACGAGGCTGGTGCTCGGTCGTTGAGAGAGCTAGTTGAGCTGTGCTGGAAATGGGGGATTAGGGTTCTTACTGTTTTTGCGTTTTCGTATGATAATTGGGTTCGGCCCCAGGTCAGTCGTCCAAGAGCGAAAAAAAGAGTACTTTCTATAGTTCGAAAAAGCCGAAAAAATGATTTTAAAAAAAAGTTTTTGTGGAACTGTGTAATGATTTGGTTTGGTTATAGTGTAGGTGGAGGTTGATTTTTTGATGAATTTGTTCGAGAAGATGACAAGCTCAGAAATCGACAGTTTTGCAAGGTAGCACATTTATGTTCAAATTAATTGTTGCTTGTTTAAATTCTTTATATTTCTGTTCTTGTATGTTGTAAAGGGAATTTTTTTCTCTAATGTGGAAGAGCAATCTGCATAGTTTTGTTGGGTTGTGGTGGAATTGGAAAGTTTGTGCCATTTGTGGTCAGTTATTCAACCACAGAGGAGGACATGGCTCCCTACAGAGTTTCGAAACCATTTTTACTTCCTAGGGGATTGCAGCCAGTTGTAAGTATTAGCTCTAAAGACTTCTTTTGCGCATTTACTTTGGTCAGTGGTGCATTTCTACATGGTAAATTGTAACCTAAAACTCCTCATTCGAACTGGTTCTGGTGCCTCTATTTGTATATTTTCTGGGTGTAGGTGTTAATAGTTGATGGAAATATTTTATGAAAATTGGCCAGCAAGGAAAGAATTGTTTCAGATTTTGATGAGTGGTTTTTGTGGGATGTGAATATTATATTTTCTTTCTTTTTGTCTCTCATCAGACTCAATGTCAATGTTATTGCAAAACATCTGATCATTACCTTTTTGTTTTGACAGGGATGGTATTCGAATTTCGGTCCTTGGGGATTTGTCAAAGCTCCCTAACTCTTTACAGAAATTGATAAGTGATGCAGAGGATAGAACGAAAGGCAACTTTAGACTCCACCTGATTGTAGCAGTGAGCTACAGTGGAAAGTACGATATTGTGCAAGCATGTAAAAGTATTTCTCAGAAGGTGAAAGATGGCCTTATTCAAGTTGACGACGTCAATGAAAGCCTCATTGAACAAGAACTGGAAACTAACTGTACTGAGTATCCATACCCTGATCTACTGATAAGAACCAGTGGAGAGCTCAGAGTCAGCAACTTCTTGTTGTGGCAGTTGGCTTACACGGAATTTTTCTTTGTATCAGCTCTTTGGCCTGATTTTGGGAAAGCTGAGTTTGTTGAGGCCTTGATTTCCTTTCAGCAGCGGCAGAGGCGTTATGGTGGAAGAGATTTATAAGTGATCAAAAGTCATGAATTTAAATCGTACATTTTTTGCTGAAAGCTTGTACATATCAGCATCAAGTACTGGATGTAAATGTAATGAATAGTATTTATGCATCTAATTTCTTCTGTCCCCTACATCCGGACTTGTATAAAATATTTATGCATACTCATATCATGTCCGTGTGCCTAGATGCTTGGTATATCATTGCCATCTTTGTCGAAGAATGAATTGTTCATGCTCTGTAATTTCATTATTTCTGCATATCTTCACTCTCATCTGATTAATTTAGATTTGCAGGCACTTCTGCAATAAGGGTTTTATTAATTTTACCCTGGCTTGTCCATTTACATAACAGATAGCACGAAGGCATATTTAACTGCAGGGGCAATAAGCATATGTGAAGCAATATCTCTCATTCAATGGTAAGAGAAAGCTCAGTGACAGTTTTCTGTACTCGCTATTCCTTTCTTGTCCATTTTACTTAATCTTAAGTTTTAAAAGTTATTATTGCTTCACATTAAAGCAAACTTGTGTGCTTCCTGTTGGATTGATTGTAAAACAGGTGCTAGTCTATCTTTGTTCACAAGAGAGATACATTCTAATTTGAACAGCTGGGCTTACCGGTTGCATAGTGCAGGTTCCCTGATGAGTGTTTATTCTGAAGGATGTTGTGTTCTCTATTATCCAGACCGGAGCATGGATATGTAATCAGCGTGGTGCCTTTGAATAGGAGCAGCTCATGCATAATGCCGTGGAGGTTCCTGTCCTGACTATGGTATACATGAGATTATATTGCCCCACACTGTGCAGTCATTTAGGTTCAACTTCATCCTACTTGAGTGTTTCATGGTTTTCTATTGCTGCAGTCTTTGCGCTGATTCATTTAGCTAGGTTTTGCACAACCATGTTTTCAGGGCAGAATGCAGATCATGAACAAGAACAAGGTTAGTTCTGCTCCAAGGTATTTGGCTCTAGATTATGCCTTCATCTGTTGATGATGGTTTGTAGTCATATGACTGAATCTGATGGCCGCTAGATTTGGCCAAAACATTTACTCAAATATGGCAACCTTATCCGAGACGAAGATTTAGAAAATGGAAAAGAATAATGAGAAAAATGAATTGGAAGTTTAAAATTTGAACAATAATGTGGTCGATAGCAGCCCCAAATTAGGTGAGATGTTAATAATATATTAGAGTTAGTTGTTGACTTTCTATTTGATTCCTTTTGCCTGGCATGGGTTAGGTATATTGATGGTTAATTAAACATTCATTTTGCCTTGGTTTAGGCATATCCAAAGTTCTTCAAGTAAAGAACTGATTTGGTTTTGGTCATGTCCTGGAAAATTGCAGGCTTATCTCAATTCTTCAATCCACGACTGATTTGCGGTTGAAGGTTGAAGGTTGAATGTCACAATAAGTGGCCCCAAATACTAAATTGAGCATGTGTTCAAAGGAAAACTACTTTTCAGAGATGGGTCATATTTTATTGTTGCTGTCGAAATCTTGACCTCACCAATAAAGATAGTTTTTATTTCTTCCCAAAATTGGAGACTTTTCAAGTGAGGAACAGTGAAACTCATGGGACAGAAATTCTCTTTCTTTTTTGAGAATGCAACCAACCTTATCTTTAATATTTTCTTTTGAACTTTCTCTTTTTTCCTCCTGCCATGTGTCGCTTTTTTTATACCAAAATAATATCATTAATTCATAGTTTTTGTTTTTCAAGATTATCCGTACTAAATATATTGACTTTCATATTACCTTTAATTTATCTAAATTTTTTTACAAATTGGAAAAATAAAAATTGAAATTAATAAAATAATATTTTGTTTTACCCAGCAGCCCCAGCTGTACGCCCCATCTCCATCTTTCAAAATATGTTGCTTCTCTTGCCAACTACTCACCACTACTACGTAACATTTTCCTCCGCCCCTTGTGGCTGGGTTGTTTTTTCAATGCTTTCATATTTCCTTCGTAATGTTTTAAAGGTTTTTTAGGTTTTAGACATAAAAAAAATTTCACTTTTGGAAAAAGCCAAAGCTTTTTAAAAAAAGACAAAGCTTTTTCAAAAAAGACAAAAAAACCGCTCAACTTTCAAATCAAAGACATGCAAATGTATTGGATTCCTTATGAAATCTAAAAATAAATAAGGGCATTTTTGTCCATTTTTGCTTCTTTCAAAATTTTTCTCTCTCCTTTTGCTTTTTCCAAAATGTCCCATGTTTTAATTATTAATATCCTAAAACTGATTTTTTAAATTGAACTTTGTATTTTTTTTAAGGAACTGAGGGGGTATTTTATATCATTCAAAATTTGATATGCTACCAAACTACAAAAGCGTTATCCACTAATGTTTTGGAAATTCAAATTGTCAAAATTGTGTTTGTTAAATGATTAGATATATATATACATATATATTTTTAAATAACATTTATTATTATTTTTAATAGTAATTCAAAAGAAAGTTAATACATTCAATAAGGGTAACTTTAGAAAACAAAAGTTATGCATTAATGACATTATTATTATTATTTGATTAAGTTGGGGGAGGGGCAAAGCCCCAAGAAACAGATCATCAACAAGATAATCACTTAACCAACTAGGGGCTTGCTCAAACACACATAGCCCAAGATTCACTTGATGACTCCAATTAGCCAATCGGTCAGCAACAATATTCTTTTAACGAAAAACATGCTGAAAGGCACACCTAGGAACCTGCTGCATAAGGTCACAACAGTTCTTAAACAAAGCAGCTAAAGGATGCAGAGCAAGCATAGAAGATTTCTGACAGAGATTGACGGCTTAATGACATTATTTTAAGTGTAAAGAAAGTGACACTTAGCATAAGAAAAAGAAAAAAAGTTGCTAACATTCCCTTGTTAGAAAAGTGAGTTGTATAATTATTTTGTTTTTAAAGAAATGCTAAAGAATCCCTTTTTTTTTTTCTTTCTGTCTTGATAATGGTTTTTTTTTTGGTTGTAAAGTTAATAAAACTTTATACGGCTTCTTGTTTATCCACCAAATATATGTAATAATGGTAGTGATCTCTCTCAATTATTCAATGTGGGCCAGTAAAGGAAGGACAAGGTGACATGCATATCCCTTATCCAAAGTCCAGCTATACACCATAATTACTATATATAATGGAAAATGAATTTTTTTTTTTTTTTTTTTTTTTTTTTTTTTTTTTAAATTAAAAAAAATAAAAAAATTGAGTAGTTTTTTATTCTTATGAAGCGAGACGATAATATACTAAATTCACACACCTAATACATATTAGGACTCAAACCAAGACATTTCTTGAAAAAACAATTGCTCCAAATCACTATACTAGTTAGTTCTTAGCCAATGGTAAATCAGTTTTAACATTTCATTATCCCTTAAGACGTATTAATCACATAAAAGTCATCAAGCTAATCATAATTAATAAATTACACGTCATTGGTTGGCCTTGGACAAATCGTCCTTTTTTCGTAGTTTTGTCAAATCCTCCACCCGCTGCGCCTACTGGTTTTGGCTCCCTTTACTGTCTTCACTGCAAGTTTCTCAAACCACCAATTAAATCCTGCCACGTTACGACACTAAACCACTTCAAATTTTCATCTCTCCCCATAAAACCACGTGCCTTATGATTATTGGCCACTGCACAGGCAAAGGCAAAGTCTTCTCAGGAGAGAGAATCATAAATTCATAATCCGTATTAGATGATAAAGAATTTAAAAATCAGCCCTTTCGTTTGTTTAAGGAGTTGGAGCTGACAGTGCAGTGGTGGTCTGAGCTCGTCTCTGGTTTTGGATAAAGGTTGAGACTTTAGGGTTTTTCTAAACTGTTTTTTTCTCTGTTTTTCTGTTTGGTGAACGGGAATTTTTTTTCCCGGAAAGTGCCGGCCATGGGAAAATCGTTCAAGGACTCTCTTAAAGCGCTTGAAGCAGATATTCAGCACGCCAATACTGTGTAAGTCTCCGTATTTTTCTTTATTCAGCTATCAACTCCTTTGTGTAAATTTAGGATTTTTTATAAAAAATTTCCCAACTTTTTTGTTTATGCTCTCTAAAACTTTATAATTTTTGTTTTCTGGAACCGTCTAGTGTTTTTGGGACCAACCCAAGAAGAGAGAAAAAAAAAATTTGAAAGAAGCCAAACTATAATTGGGGAACCTCTACAGTAGCTTCAGTTGAATGCCCCTGTTTGGGTACTTGAGAATGAATTTGGAAAGATCAACAAATAAAATTGTGCTTGAGCTGGTGCTCCGAAAATCACAGTTATTGGCATTAAAAGAAAAAAAGAAAAAGAAAAAAGAAGAGCCATTGCAATTTTGCAGAGGCCACATCTCATAATTAAACTCTAGTAACTACACTTTTGTTTTGGTTATTATATTTCTTTGACAGTGTCTGCTGGCCACCCAATATTTTGGGCAATTGGGTCTTCCCTAATCCATTAGATTGGTACTAAATACTCAAAATGTGCAATAACTTGATTTGTACCATGTATAAATGCTGTAGATTTTATTTATTGTGTGCAATTATGTCACTTCGGTGATATAATAATTGTTGAATGCTTGTTAATCAAATGCTTTGCTGGGCCATTGTTTTGTTTAGGGCTTTAGATTATCCAAGGGAGAAAGATGGAGCACGTCTCCAGATGAGACTATCCTACTGTCCGGCGGCAAACTTTTTTCTCTTTCTTGTCCAGTGGACTGACTGTCACCTTGCTGGGGCCCTTGGTTTGCTCAGAATTCTTATTTATATGGTATATTTCTGTTTTTTTTTAATTTAAAAAAATTGAGTTTTATAGGTTATGTCAATGCTCGTTTCTGTTTTTATTTTTGTAATTAAAGATATAGAGCCAAGAGAGGAGAAGGAGATGAGAAAGCCGAGCGAAAGATAATAGATGAGAAAGATAATTTAAAAAGTTGAAATAGTTTTTAGTTTTTAGATTAGCACATGCTGTCTATTTCTTCCTCTCTTGCTCACCGTTTCCCACTCTACTCTCCTCCCTTCCCTCCTCTATTTTTAATTATTAAAAAAAAACACATGTTAGCAAAAGAGCATTTTTTTCTGTGTAGGTTTCATCATTTTTAATTCATTCATATCATATGCGCCTAATATTAGATTCCATCTTCAGAAAATGTAGTGAGTTTATTATGACTTCTTATTTGGGTGTGGCAATGTGGTGGATTTGTGCAGACATATCCCGATGGAAAGACCACCATGTCAGTTTATGAAAGGAAAGCCAGCATTAGAGAATTTTATGGTGAGTGATGAAGTAAAGATGAACTTTACCAATGTAGTAACATTTGTAGGCACATGCATAATACTGAAAGTTGATCTTCTTGGGAGGCTGTGAGGGGGGAAAGGATGGGAGGCAAGGGATATATTTTTTTCCTTCATTGATATTTATGGATGTCATTTGTGTTCACGTGTTTTTCTTTTCATGAACAGGTGTGATATTTCCTTCTTTGCTGCAACTTCAAAGAGGCATCACAGATTTAGAGGATAGGAAGCAGAAAGAGGTTTGCACTGTCAGATACAAAAGAAAGGAGGAGTTGGACAAGGGAAAACTCTCTGAAATTGACATCGAAAGAGAAAAAGAGTGCGGAATTTGCATGGAGGTGGACAAAAAAGTTGTGTTACCTAACTGCAGTCATACATTGTGTTTGAAGTGTTACCGGGACTGGTAAAAGCTTGAACCAACACCCCCCACCCCCCCCTTTTTTGGTCTTCGTTATAGTTTTCAACTTATTCTTCACAACATATTTTGTTGTGTATAAATCGTGTTTTCTATTGTGTGCAAGAGATTTCTGCTTAATGTTTTCTGTGGAAGCTTTTGGTCATAACAATTTTATAGGTGTGGATTACATTTCTCTGTGCCCATTTATCCCCATATATGGAAAGAGCATTGTTTTCAGAAACCGTTGTACCTTCTCTGTCATTAAGTTGTTTGGTTACCATTTTTGGCTCAGCTGTAAGATTAAAATGGCCGATGACTTAGACCTTGCTTAATTGAATGATATTTTGAGTAAAGCTGGCATTTGCATTTCAAAAGCTTCATGACTTGTTTTTTTGTATTTTATTTTTTCTTGTTAAAAAAGGTTTTTGCCAATTTTGAATATGGGATGGAACTTGATGTTATTCTGCTGTTTGTTTCAGGCGTGGGCGGTCTAAGTCGTGCCCCTTTTGTCGTGATAGCCTCAAAAGAGTAAACTCAGGCGACCTTTGGATCTACACTGAAAAATGTGATGTTATTGATTTATCCACAATATTAAGAGAGGACCGCAAGAGACTTTTTATGTACGTTGAAAGATTGCCTCTTGTTGTTCCAGACCCTGTATTTCTACCCTATGATTCTCATGTTCGGTGAGACTCATGTACAGCTTTTGGGAACTACTTGTAGATAAAAAGCCTGATTGTATTGTGTAATTCGTAATCTTTTAAAATGTAAATGCACTTTCGCCATAGTTTTGATTGCCTTAAGAGTAACTTGAAAAACTGGTTCTGCGTAATAGCATATGTTTTGTTCTTTCCTTTTGAAATGTAATGATAACTTGAAAGCATTACTTGCAAATTTGCAATACCAAGAAGCAGGGTATATATAATTTGGTGAATCAAGATCCATTATCTTGCAAGCTCACATATTCTGCATAAAAGCGTGGATGATTTTCGTCTGAATGAACATAGGCATGGCCTCCATGACTGGAAACATCAAGGCCTGCAACTTCTTCATGAGCAGAGATCCTCAAAATCTGAAGACTGTGAAGCGCGTAGAAAAGAGGGCCCATTGTCAAGCTGACCCAGCCCGCAATGACCAAAACCTCAATCACTTGGGCTCCGAGCAGACCCCAGCCGCCACCCATCAAGAGACCATAAGGCCGCACAGTACCCACCGTGCCCGAATTATAGGCTTGGATCACAAACTCCTCTTTTGCAAACAGCCCAGTAAATATCAATCCCCATGCACCGCACCCGCCGTGCAGTTGAGTTGCTTCTAATGGGTCATCGAACTGTAGCTTTAGGGCCAAGATGTTGAGCCCAATTAAGACCCAGGCTGCGAAGAACCCACACACGACAGCAGCCCAAGGCTCGACCACAGCACATCCGGATGTAATTGCCACAAACCCACCAAGCACTCCATTGCAAACATCTAGAGCATCCCAATGGCCTACTAGTAAGCGCCGGCCGAATAGGGTTACAATTCCGGCAGTTGAACCGGCTAATGTGGTAATAACCGCTGTTCGGCCCACCGCGGTCCAATTCCCTTGATCACTTGTGTTTGGATAGGCCACAAGAATCTTATCAAACGAGCCCGGATTAAACCCGAACCACCCGAACCATAGCAAGAAAGTCCCAAGCACCACAAGAGTTGCATTATGGCCTCTAATAGGTATGGGCTTTCCAAACGCATCGAACCGGCCCACTCTCGGACCTTCAATGAAAGAACCCCAAAGCCCAGCAACTCCACCAACCAAATGAACCACACCACTCCCAGCAAAATCAATGGCACCAGAACCCAACAACAAGTTACTTGAATTGGGGCTGAGCCACCCACTATCAGACCAAACCCAATGAACCACCACAGGGTACACAAACCCAGATAGAAAACAAGAGAAGATAAGATATGCACTGAATTGGGTTCTCTCAGCTATGGATCCACTAGTGATGCCAGCAACCGCAATAGCAAAAGCCCATTGGAAAAGGAAGAAGCTGTAATCATAGCCATAAGAGGAGCTGGGAATGTCTGAGAGAGCAAAGAAACTTGTACCAATAAAAGGGTTGGAACGGGCGCCTTCTCCAAATGCAAAAGCAAAGCCAAAGATGTAGAAAGAGAGGCTACCTACCACGGCGTCGACGACATTGGTGAGCATTATGTTCATGGCGTTCTTGGCTCGAACGGAGCCAGCGCAGAGCATGGCAAAGCCAAGCTGCATAATGAAGACGAGGTAGGCGGAGAAGAGGAGGTAAATGGTGTTGATAGAGTATACGACACTTTCCTCCCATGAGGCAGCCATGAGAGGGAGAGGGAGAGGGAGAGGGAGATGGTTGGTGGTGAATTGAGAGAGGTGGATGATATGGGTTTTGATAGTTATGAGGCTTGAAGTTTTGAAGGGTAGATACACATTGGTGGGTCGCTATATAGATATTCATGCAAGGGTAGAGTGGGGACCAACTCGGCCGTTCCCACTCAGTTGCTTGATTTTGACTCGAGTCTTGTACATGTAATTAAAGTTTACTTGTAGCTCTTTTTCCCAAGTGGGAGGAGTTTCTCTTAAAGTTGCCAACTGCCATAGCAAAACCTAAAAGTCGTTTTGGCTTTTGAACCTATACAGGTGATTACAACATTTACTAGACTGATACAAAGGCTTCCAAGATTTGACATAGAAGTCTACATATTTCAATGCCCACCTGAGTTCGAGGAGATTCTAATTTAGTTCACTATTGACCCTAAAAGATTCAACCTAGTTGGATTCTGTACCAACCATTCTTCTCTGTGTGTGACATTATAATTTTGAAAAGAGAAAATACGAATTCGCCTGTTTTCTTCAATTTTGGTGCCACACATCAATTATCACTCGGGACATTTTGAAAAAAGCGAAAGGAGAGAGAAAAATTTTAAAAGAAGCCAAAATGAACAAAAATGCCCTTATTTATTTTTAAATTTCCTAAGGAATCCAATACATTTGCATGTCTTTGATTTGAAAGTTGAGCGGTTTTTTTGTTTTTTTTGAAAAAGCTTTAGCTTTTTCCAAAAGCGAAATTTTTTTTATGTCTAAAACCTAAAAAACCTTTATCTCCACAAATACCATATGGACTAACCCAACTATAAATTGCTATAATCTCTTGGCTAGCTAATAATGTACCGATAACAATTAGTTGTCGAAGGCTCCAAGCCATTTTCATACAGTTATTTACTTAAATATAACTTACACTATACACATATGGAGTTTAACTCCTATTTACAGCCGCTATTTTTGAAGTATAAATCATTGAGTTTGTAGGTGGGAGGAGCCATGACCTTGCATATTAACTCGGCTAGTGAGGGAAGGTCTCATCCTAACGATTGCAGACTCGTTGGCTCCGGCTTTAAGTGCAGCTCGTCCAGCTTCCAGGAACCTCTTAACAGCATCCTCTGCATATCTGTTGGCTTCAGCCACTCTCATGCTTTCGCCGATATATGGGTACGTGTTAAGAACATAATCACCATTGAGCTGGGATGCAAGCTGGATCAACTCAACTTGAAATTCTGAGAGGCTCACATCTTCTCGCGGTCCCCCAGGCCTCAGTGACATAGTCACCTCTGGAAGAGTTTCTGTAACCAAGGAATGTGGATGAGCATTGACTGGTTTGTGCAAGAAAACAAAAATGGAAAAAACTACTCCAGAGCACAAGTGCAGCTCTTTTTGTAATAAGCAAGGGCATTACTCATCAGAAAAAAGAAAATATCAGAGGGATCGATGCATACCTGGACAGTCGTCACGAGGAGTACTGCGGAGGTAAAAGTAATTCTCAAAAGTACCAGCCCATGCATCTCTCTTTGTCAGGAAGTTCGATTTTAAATTGAAAAGCTTCTTTACAGTCGCAGGGATAGACGAATGCTCAAAATGCGAATCTGGTGTCGGCCCTGTTGGCTCATGGATAACTGCACCAAAATACCAAAAGTCAATCAATAGGAAAAAAGGCCTAAACCTGTAATGGCATGGCATAGAAGCGTAACAAGTACATGCCTGCAGAATTATTCTATGAGATATTTGCTAAGACTTTATACCCTATATATGCATCAAGAAATCACAATGAAGGGGGGAGGGGGAGGGAAGGGATTGAAAAAATTGTGGTTCTGATTGGCCTCGAGGTAGATGCGTAATGCAGATTCTTCTAGTCTAGATGTAATAAAACCCCTTTCTTTCAGGAAAATTTATGCTGTCTGAACTGAACCCCAACATTGGAATTGGTTCAGGACAGGGAACAAATTTTGGGAAAATGAGATCGAGACAAAGTTTCAAGCATGGTCAGCCCATTGGAGGTTTTCACTCATTTGTAATGCATAAGAGACCATTTTCAAATATATCATGTTCATGACCCAATTTTCCCTCCTTGGATGAATGGTGAATCGCGGAAATATTGCCGCCTTTGGTGGCTTGCATCTAACACATGGACAATAGGGACAACTTGTGAAGACAACAAAGATCCTTGTCTACAAAACTTTGTTATAGAGGGAAATAGAACCAACTCCCTTCCCTTAAACAGTAACTATTGGGCGTAGGCGTAGCCACATAGAAAGCTCAAAGCATAGTCATATGAAAGAAATACTCATTGCAAACACAACCCAAAGACCAAGACTTGAAAAATTCCTTGTATATATTTCAGAAAACAGACCAATCCCACATACATTACCAAATTCCAACTGAAAAACCAGTTAACAGACTCAAACTTGATTATTTTCCCCAATTAGAATATCATATAAAACAATTTAAGAAAAGGGTCCATATCCAATTAAATATCAAAATTAAACAAATTAAATCTAATATCACTCATTAATCAGCCACATTATCTATCCACCACAAACCTCAACAAAAACAAAAACACAATAATTATAAACTTATTAAACAAACCAACCAAGAAGAAGCAGAGAAAACTCACCGGTACCCTTTTCGATCCAGGGCGAGACGAGTATGGTCGGCACCCTCACACCCAACCGGTCAAACCTGAAATAAAACGGGTCGGGTCCGACAATCCCATCCGGGCTCGGCACACCCGAAACCGGCGTAGGCACGTGATCGTAAAACCCGCCGTGCTCATCGTATGTAATCAACAAGGCCATTTCTTTCCACTGCGGGCTTGCCCTCAGCGTCTCGTACACCTCCTTCACGAACCTCTGCCCTCGAGCCACGTCATGCGACGGGTGGTCGTCGTTGGCGGGAAGCTCCTTGACGTCGAAGTACCTCTGCTCGATCACCGCGTAGTTCGGGAGCTTCCCGCGCTTCGCGTGGAGCTTGAATTTCAGAGCATAGCTGTGGAATTTCGTCACGTGCTTCAGCTTCCTCAGGCTCCTGAAGAAGAGGGTGGCAGGGATGTTCTGGTAATAAATCCCGAAGTCGAGGGCATTTTCGTCCAGGGAGTCGAAGATCGTTTTCTGAGGGAAGCCGTGGATGAGGTCCTTGCGGACGTTGCTGGAGGCGCCGTGTGACGTAGCCGAGTGGACGTAGAACCGGTTCGGCTGAGTCGACGCGGGTACGGACGCGAACCACCGGTCGAACACGGCAAACTCGTTCGCTAACTTGGTGTAGACCGGCAAGACCTCCGGCTTGAACCCGCTCATCACCTTGCTCGACATGCCCTCAGCCATGCTCTCTGCCTGCTGAGCGAACCCGTTCATCGGAGCCGGGTCCTCGAAGCTCCGGTTGGACCCGAATATCTGCTCCCTGATCGCCTGGATCGAGTGGCCCGGGTCCGAGTCAATGAAGAAGGCGTCGCTGGAGACGGGGACCCGAAGCGAGTTGGGGTTCGAGACGGAGAGCGGGTTCGACTCGTTTCCGGTGAGGCCGTCGATTTCGGGTCGGGTCGACTTCAGCCAGCCGAGGATGTGGTCGAAGGAGCGGTTTTCCATGACCAAAACGACGACCGTTTTGATGGGTCCTTGGATTTTGGGGGTTTTGCGTGCCCTAGCAGTGTGAATGGATTGGGTCGATACTAACAAGAGGTAGAGGAAGACAGTCCATGTGATGGGTATTCGCCGGAAAGCCATCTCCGGTTACCAGAACTGGGAAACGCCGGTGACCCACAGAGAAAAGCGAAAGGCAAAGCCTTTCGAGCGTCAACTGTTGTATTTGTAGAGAGAAATGGTGTAAAGGTATATGCTTTGAGAATAAAACCTTTCTTTTAGATGAGTCGTTTCTTCTACAATTCAAAACCTTATCAGAAAAGACTCCACCAGATACTGATCATTCAAGAAGAGAAGTCTGAAATTGGAATTTTATTTTTTCCGAGTTAAAAGTACTCAAACTCAGACGTGGCATTTCGAGGCCCAAGGATGTTTTTTGTTCAGTAGTTCGCTTTTATTGAAATTCTCGTCATTGCCGATCAAAAGAAAAATATTTAATTTATTTATTTATAAAAGGTCGCTTTGCATCTTTAAATTATTTATTTATATAAACGTGACGTGCCTTTCATTCTTGTCGAATGAATTACGAAGTCACTTGATTCTATTGGCTAAAAATCCAGAAAGGAAGAAAACAAAATTGCCAGTCTTTTTCTAAGTGAACAGAAAATCAAGCAAACCTTCTTGTTTTGGCCAATACAATCAGATGAACAACAAAATGACATGATCAAAAGTTGGGATGTTGATTAGAAACCAAGTTAATCCCTTGGCAGCACTAGCATATCAAGAAAATTGCATCTGAGCTTAGAAAAGGTGAAGTGCCATCTTGAGCTTGTTCTGTTTCCATTTAGCAAGCTTATAGAAGTCTCTTTTGGTCATTGCAAATTGTGCTTGGAACTCTTCATCTGCTAGATATGCCTAAAGCCCACCAGAAGAAGCTCATCAGTGATTGCTCACTAGTAGCTAGACTGAAGATACATTAATTTCTTGAACTTTTAGTTGCATGGTAACCGAAGAGATTTAGCAGACGATACAGAAAATCGACATAAAAGAAAGCAGTCCTAGAAATGAAGGTGACTGTCATGGCATTGACAAAAGGCAAAAAGGAAAGAATACAACACACTGAATAGATCAGGTTATCACTAGATGAGTGCAAAAGGGGGTACCTCTCTTTTGGTTATGTCGATGCCTGCTATTGGATCTTTGGAAATCACTTTTAATCGTTCATATGGGTATATTAACAAGTTTGTGCCACCCTCACTAGGCTCATTTCCATCAGCTTGAGTGCCACCTGTAGCAGGTAATTTTGCCTCTGCTGCTGGAGAACCTGCAGATGCGAATGACACATCTGCCAAAAGAAATTAAAGATACAATAATAAGGCATGCATTCACAAACAAGAAAAGAAAGTCTCAACAGATAAAATGGTCTCATATAACTTCATGAAATTCAGGATCCTTCATTACCAGGACTACCGTTAGGAGAGGATCCTGTAAAGATTTTCCTGTTAATTGGTGTTGAGCTGAACAAGATGTAATTGTTTGAAGACGTGACGCTAGAAACTGAAACACCAGATGCAGGAGAAACACTTCTCTGGCCATTGGAACTCATGGACTTGCTTCTCAAACCATCTGGGGTCGTTTCCCTGGAGTATGCCTTCCATGAATTTCGTTTTGGTGCCTAAGTAATTCAATGAGAGACACATGAAGTCACTTACTTCTAAATGAAGACAAATAGAACTTAACATAAATTTAAGCATCATGAAGTCACTTACTTCTAATTGTTGTGGTTTTCCCTTTAAAATAGCAAGCTTCCGTTCAAAAGAGTTGCCAAGCATCTACAAGGGCAGCAGTTTAGTTCAATAACCTCAGGCGGGCCACATTGTTCAATAGAAATCAAGGAAATCTTAGCTAATAATTTATTCTAGTTTCATCTTCAAATTGTTAGATAATAAGTTGGGTCATAAGAACTTCACGAATATTTTGCGATACATAATGAAAGCACTAGCCAAAAGATACATAACAAATTCAGCAGGAGCTCAACATGCACCATTTTAGTTGGGAAAATGATCTTACATTTGACTTTGAGGAATCCCATTCAAAGAAACGAGTGAAAAATGGTGGTTCATGCCCTTCACTAATGACATAAATAGGAGTCTCCAAAGATAGCCCTTCGACAAGTACATCTGTCTCGAGAAATTTCTGCGAGAGCCCAGAACAAATACAGTTATAGGAAAATAAGAAGAAGAAAAAAGAGAGCATCAAGTATGAAAAGATACTAAGATTTTATACGTCTAGCATTTGATTTCATTGGTGTTTTCAATAGAAGCAACAACAAAATTGTGACCATGAATCTAAAAGTTTGAATGATGAATTCATATGCAGTAAAATCAGATTACCTGAATTAGGGGCTGTTATTGTATAGTAACTTATGAAACAATCTATCCATGAACTAAACAGTTCTGATATAAAATATAATATAATTTTCATGGTGGATAATTTACCAGGCCAAGAGTAAGGGCTTGTTGCTTTGACCTAATATTTGAGTGGCATCCAATCCAAACATGAATCTCTGTGTGGCAGTCAAGGACTAACACGTCTTCAGTAGTTAAATCATCCTGTGTAAAATTGTATATCTCTTTCACCTGAAATATTCAAATTGATTCAGGTGAAGTATCTCTTAAGTTCAAAGAAACCTAAGCAAGAGTTTTAACATTTGCTCATTTGGGAGTGCTTCTTCTCGAAGCGCTTATGCCAATAGTGCTTATGCCCGTAGCGCTTATGACATAAGCGCTTCTACAAAGAAGTAGTTTGTTGTTTGGATGTCACATTTAAAAGTGCTTTTACACTATATAAAAGCGTTTTTGATATTTTGTTGAGTGTTTGGCTGACACAGTAAAAGTGCTTATAAAAGTACTTTTAAAAAATGTAAAGAATCTCAAAATATTATAATAAATATAGGAAATTTAAAAAAAGAGAAAAAAAAAAAGAGCAAAAGAAAGAAAGGGTATTTTGGCATTTACAAAAATTAAATATGGATATTTTCAGCATTTTAAAAGTTTCATTAAAGGGAGCCAAGTGCTTCCCTTGTTTTTGTCCTGCAGCGCTTTTAAGAAGAAGCACCTCTCAAGTGCTTTTTTCCAAAACCACTCCAAGTGCTTTTGGATCTCACCTAAAGCGCTTTTGCAATTTTTTGCCAAACACCATTTTTAAAAGACAGAAGCACTTTCACCCATTTAAAAGCGCTTTTCGCTACTCCAAAAGCACTCCCAAACGAGCCATGAATACTAAATATGGAAAACATAGCAAACCTCAAATTTGAAATGAAATTCCTACAAGTATACTGTGAACATAACACTTTTTGTTTAAGCAAGTGAGCTTCATCTAGTTTACTGTTCTTCACTGATAATCATTTGATTGGAAGGGGCAACCCAAAAGGCAAAAAAAAAAAAAAAAAAAAAAAAAAAAAAAAAAAAAAAAAAAAACATTGCACATTCAACAAATGGTGCCAGTAACCAGCAAAACTAATTTATAGAAAAATAGTTGATAGCTGCATGATAAACGAAACAGTTGAGTTGGTTTTGGATCTAAGTGGTGGGGTTGGTAAGGTCCAAGGCCCATCCTTTGATCACCTTTTAGAGCGATTCCGGCAGCCCCGGGCAAGGGGGGCGACCCGGGCCCAAAAAAGGCTGCCAGGGCTGTTGGTGGGCTCCACAAGCCTGGGCTGGCCCTCAGGCAAAACCAGCCCTTGCTCTAGCCTGGGTTTGCTGACATCAGCGATGACGTCAGCAACAAAATTTTGTTTTAAAAAAATACTAAAAATGTCAAAATTTAAAAAATATAAATACTTAGTCATATCACCACAAGCCTTTTGCAAGGGCTGCCACTATTCACGTGAATAGTAATAACCCTTGCCTCCCCTTGCTTTTGCCATGGCAAATGGGTAGAAGTGCTCTTAGATCCAAAACATACTACTTGATAAATGACAAAACTGTTTTGTTTATAAGGCATAAGGAAAAGTTGGCTTTTGTCAATGTGGGACAAGTTCAATGCCATTTGCTTTCAAAACTTCCAACAAATTTCGGTTGAAACTAAGCTAGTTATCGCAATAAAATGCATGAAAGTCAACATTGAACAGCATGTTATTGGGCCTTCAATGCATTAAGGGGAATGAAAAGGAATTCATTTAATACTTTTTGAAAGGATTAAATGAATTGATGACTGCATTCAGCTTTCCTTATCATGAAACCTGAAACTCTCATAGTTTGATAGATTGTATGTGGAATTGTGTTCCAAATGTATGCCATATGCTGAAAGGTCGACCAACTGTTGAAATGAAAGCATGCCTATAGAAATGTATGTGAGAGTGTACCTTGAAAGAACCTGAACGGGAAGTTCCGATGATCATGAAAAAGAAGCAAAACCCATCATTAGCTCAGTTTTAAGCAATGCAAAGCCAGGATGATTCTGAACAAGGCAAAAGTGCATTATCTTTTAAGAGAACAATTTAGAAGAATGTGGGTATTTTGTGTACCTTCAGTTGTGCTCAACATAAACAAATGCGGGTCTTCTATGTATCCTTTTATCTCTTTTGCCCTTGCATAGTCTGCCTTTCCACCAAGTGCATTCCAGAAAATATCAGATTCACTCCCTTCCCTTACTGATATTGCTTGCCATGTTGGCTGATTGGCATCAAAAGAAAATAAATATGTCTCTTACAATTATGAGTGAAGTATGAGAAAAGAAAGACAGTAATCTCCAGTATGATATGTTGCTATAAATTTTATTTAGCAACTACTAAAAACTTAATGCAATACTTTGCTTAAAATTTTCTTTTCAGATTGCTTTGCTGCACATGATGTATTTACAATTCTATTAAGGAAGAGGTTGTGGTATATTATAAAAGTTTAAGGATTGAGTTACAATTATTAGTTCCAGCATTCTGTCAAGAAGGTCATGGTCTCTGGTTGAGGAGAGATTCCCAATCCAAGTGAAAGCAGATGTACCAGTTTGCAGGATGTAACAATAAGACGAGTTCAAAGAGCCCGAAACCTGCAACAGTATCAATACAGTCATGCACTTCAGATACTGGAGGACCAGAAGCCAAGAGACACACTTTCATTAGCTGAATAATATAGTGTGAACCCAAT